AAAATGTATGACAGTTATGTGTCGACAGTAATTTAATTTAAGGATAATAGTAGCCATTCGTTTGAGCCGATACCATTTTTAGCTGAGTACATAATTGGATTGAGTGGAGAAAATGTTGTAATGAATTGGAATATCCAGTAGGCCAAGGATTGAGATCTCATGCCGGACATACTGGGATTAGTCAGACTTTCCCCAGAGTGGTTCGATGTTCTTTTCTAATTAGAACCTATAGAGATTTTATAAAAATCTTTATACAAATGAAAAATATAAAAATACATTTCGTACAAGTATAATATACTTATGTGTTATACATATTTGTTTTAACGTGTTTTATATTTGGGTTAAATATTGGCCGGATTAACAAGACTTTTAAATAAAAATTATGCTTAAATTGTGTACTAAGCTTGCAGCTTTATTTAGTTGAGTGGCTCTGTCCTGGCATCAAAAGAACATCTTCAGATATTTTCATGCTTATGCTTATTATGGATCCTTAGATCCCAGCTTAGCTTAGCTTTGTAAGCTATTCCTTGAACAAGGCACAACTCTGATTCCCTGGAATAACAAGTTACAAATTGTTTCAGCCACCATTTCTAATATAACTTTTTTATCCGGAAAAAAGTGCTCGAAAACTGGAAAACCAAACAAAATGAGACAGAGATGCGCAGTTACAGCAGCAGAGATTGCTTAATTCTTAGTCAATGAACTGCAAAGACCTGGATTTTCCTTGGGTTTCTGGGGGTTTTCCCAACGTTCCGTTCAACTTGTTGAATAAACTTTGGCCATCTGTCTGGCGTTGGCCACGGGAAGAGTTGGCCAACTAAATCAAGTGGAAAATGGTTTTAAATCTAGCCTAAATTCATCCGGGAAAGAAATGATAGGAGTTTCAAGTATTTTTGGGGGCCCCAGAGTAGATGGGCAATTTATAGGCAATAAGTAGGCGAACAATAAGTCAACAAATTTTGATGGGTTTTGTCTTTTGTCTGTGCTGTTCATCTGTCACTTGCCGCTTGCCACACATGCCACATGTCAATGTCCATTTCCGTCGGTGTGGTTTGCTGTTTCCCCCAGGACTTCTCTGGGACAAAGCCAGAGAACAAAAGGCAACAAACGAGCAGCAAGAGAAAGGCTCCCTCTCTTTGGCACTGGCCAAATTAAATTAGCCCATCAACAGCCACGATGATAAAAACAAAAGACCACCCCACCGTGCTTTAAATTCTGATTTTTTCAAGTGGAAACCTTTTTAGTCTGTTTGGACACTATTTTTTTCAGTTTAATTGCGGCTAAAAGCGTCCTGAGTGCGGTCAAAATGTGTGGCATGTTGTGCCAGGGAATATGCAACGAAAATTTCCCCAAAAATGTAGTGCAATTTTTTGTTTGGGTAGAGCTTTTACTGGTTATACGAAGAGAATGGCATCCATTAAATGAATTTTAAGCAGAACCAAAGAATTTTGTCATAAATTAATGGTTTATTCTGTGCTTGGATAACGAAATTCTTAAATTTCTGCGTTTTTTATGTTCTCAGCAAATTCCTAGAATAAAAATCAAGTATTCTTGAGTTAATTTTCACTTCAACTTTACATGAGTTTTCCCCATTTCATTGTTAACTTCCTAGCATTTGCAGTTGGAATGCAATTTACAAATCCGAATCCCAAAAACTTGGCCAACTGACAACAATTGTAGGAGCGAAAACTTTGTGTACCTTCGCAATGGAATGAGCAAGAGGAGCCCGAAGAATCCCTTCTTCATGCAGTTGTTTGAAGGCTTAAAAGCGTTTTAGTGTTCCCAAAATATTTAGAAACATTGAAGTCTGAGGGGCACACTTTTCCACAATAAAAGTTAATGAATTGATTGAATAAAATCATGAAAACATGATTCACTACTTAATTGATTGATTGTGCTTAAATCAATATGTAACCCCAAAAACAATATGCTTGTTAATTGATGTAGAAAATTACTTTTTTTGGCTCGATTTATACCGTACACTCAGAGAAACACCCAAACTTAAATTAAATATTCGGCTTTTAATAAAAAAAAATATGAAATTAAGTAGAATTCACTTTGATTTAAAAATAAATGCATTGAATATTATTTTTAATACGACCCTATACAAAAATTTGAAATAAATATAATATATTAAATTTGCAGGAAGTATATTTAATTGAAATATGAAAATATTTTATTTAACTATGAGTATATATTTAAATTAAATTTACTAATAAAAATTTTGAATTTAAATATGAGTATATAATTATTTTTAATTTGAATATAAAAATATTTAATTTTTTATCGAATATATTTTTTGTGAATATGAAACATAATGTCAAACTTTTCAAAATATTATCTCTGGGGTCCAATGTATTGGTATACATTTTTAAACCTAAGTGTAAATATTAACATTTCAGTCAATTTGTCTCTGGGTGTATATGTTCTATATCCCATTTTATTGAAAACATATTCCCCTGGCATGTATGAATGCATGTTATTGATACATTTATTCATTGATTAGTGTCTATTTTCAGTCCGAAATACGTTTAGCGTCAAGTGCTATTCATGCAGCATTTAATGCCACTAATTGGAGGGGCCAAAACAAAGACTATAACGGCTCTGTAGTACAGTGAGGACTCCAATTGATGGTAAATGCTATACATTTCAGCAGTCTCTTCCTCTCTGAAAAACATTTAGGGTAAAGTATATGGATGGATAGATGCCATGCGTGTGGTGTATTGGGAGTACAATTGGAGGAGCATGTCGCCAGGGCAACGCGATGCTCGCGCTTCCCAATTTGTTGCCTCTGCTGTTTAAAGGATGCTAAACGAGGATACTCTGGTTGCTCTTCTCGTCCCTTAATTGGTCTTTGTTCCTTTACCTGATCATCCATATATCCACATATCAAACAGAATCACTAATCATCCTGCTAAAAACAATTTGCTGGAAGCTTCAACAGCATTAAGAATGAAGCTGTACAGCCTCCATCCTTCTCCAAAACTGTCTAAGAGGCATCCTTCAGATGCGTATGCATATATGCAAATCTAATTACGGCTACAATGGGTTTGAAGCCTCTTGTCAAGGGGGCAGCCTCTGTTAAGTCATTGTGCGGGTGCCACACTGCCACATTTCCATTGCCATGGCCATGGCCATTGGGTACAAAATGTCACCAGACTCCCGCCGTCTGTCTGACATGTTCTGTCTAATTTATGCAGTGGCAAATCTCAACAGCGAACGAGGCTCTCTCGAGTGCCAAATTATTAATAGTGGAATCTTTTTCTTCCGCCACAGATCTTGCCACTGTACCCCGCCCAGTACCCGTAGTAAAGTGTACAAATTTTGTTTCTTAAGTTATTAAAAATCTACCAATCTCCTGTTAAATGATTGATCAAACAGCAACTCCCCAACCTCCCTTTCTCTTTCTTCCCTCGTTTCGCTGTGTATTTCCTACACTTTTAATTCTTGTGTGGAATATTTTATATACATACATACATATGTATGTAGGTACGTTTTATATTCAGTTATTTTTCTTTCTTTTTTTTGCGATAATCTGTAAACATTGATACCGCTATGGCTATGGCTATGGAAATTTTTACACGCATCACATTTTACATTTCTCAATTCAATTTCTTCTCTCATTTTTTTCTTATATTATTTTCTCACACTTTATTATATATATTTTTTTGTTTATTATTTTTACTGCAACGCGCGAAAAACTTTTCAGGCTTGTCAGTCATGAAAATGTTGACAGTGAAAAATACATATATACATACAGGTACATGTGTGCATACATATGTATGTATGTATGTTTTTTTGCGTCTTTTTTGTCGCCTATTTTTCATGTCTGTTTGTTCATTTATGGATTGTTAAGCAAAATGAAAATATTTAAAGGTGACAACGAAGTGTAAATGCCCTGCAGGTAAGGGCATGAGCATATGATTGGTACTGAGAGTCCATATTTTATCCGTTGATCAGCAGGACTCCCTTGCCTATTTATTTACTTTCCACCTGACTCCCATAGACACCATCGAGCTACGATGTCGGCAGTGGAGCCAGAAAATCGGGCCAGTGAAACCGAAATTTTTAGTATTTGAATGATTCAAACGTTTATGTATATTATCATCATTTTCTATATTTATCAAATAAATCACACTAAAAACATAAAATTCAATTTATTTCTTGTCTTTCAGAACATTTTTTCTTCTGGTCCGTACTGTTGGTCACTTTGATCTTTACTTTAAATCTCAGAAAACCTATAAAACTGCAAAAAAAAAAAAAAAAATAGTGTAGCAGACATTATTTATAAGACTCTTGCTTGGTTCGCTCCTATAGCTCCGCTCGCCTCATAGCGTGTAGACCACAAAAAAAAACACGAAACATCGTTTTATTAGATTCGTTTAGAATTGAACTTCTAATTTAATTATAGGCGTGAAATCTCTTGTTGACAGTTGACAGTTGACAGTTCTCTTTTTTTTAATCGCGTCTCACTTTTTTGCTCAGCTCTCGCCGGAATTTATATTATTTTTATAAATACCCGTGCACTGGGGTTTTGGTTTAAAAATGAATGAATAGCGAAGAGCTCGACAGAAAATCGAACAGGTGATGCAAGTTGCCAGACATCTGGGGAACTGCGACACATGAGCTTTGAATCTTAAACTATCCTGTCAGGGGTTTACTCAGGAAAGAGGCGGTGAGAGGCCAGATGGTGGACCATGATCCTTGCCGACTGTCAGATCTTCCACTCGCTTAGGCCACACTACGGCTTTAGAACAAGCCAGGAACGAACACTAACCGAGGATGCAGTAACAACCAGGAGGACATTCCTCTCCTGGTACAGCTTCTGTTCAACACTGCCTGGACAGTGGAATCTGTGGTCCCTCCCCGAAGAAAAGTTTCATCGAACAGTAAGAAAAGTTCGAAGAAAAAACGCAACCAACCATTACGATTACCAACACTTATTAGCATGCTAAAATACAAAATGCGTGAAGTTGTACAACACTGTTGAGTAACCCAGCACTTTCATCGACACCTTTTAACTGTCATTGCGTCAAACGAAAATTTCATTCAAGTCAATTTGCAATTAAGCAAACAAAAAAAACATGTCAATCCATCCATCCAAAATGCATTGTTCTAGCGGCACAAAGGAGTTGAAACGCCTCGTTAAAGCTCAGGACAATTTCTATTTTGACTACGTTGCACAACAAAACAATAATCTGCAGAATAACAAAGAAAATAATGCAGAGGAAGAGGAAAAGCCCTGCAGGTAAGCGCATGCTGCGCTTTCAAAACCAGTAAAAAATCACCCATCGATTGCCAATTTACTTGCAAAAACTATTTGGTGTGAGAATAATATGTAGGGCAAATGTCTGACATTTCGTTCAAGGGCATGCTAGATCGGGTAGAAATTTTAATGGAAAACAATTAGAAACATGCCTTGAAAGGCCATGAATACATACAACAGATCTTAAAGAGCGTTCCTTTTCCGTTTTACAGCTCTTTTCATGCCAGAGAGAAACGGCCCAGAGTCGAGCCAGAGTCTGGCTCCTATCCCATAATCAGCACTCCCATCTGGAATAGACGTCATGGTCCCATGCCACCCACCATCTCCACGCCAGAGTTCGATTTTATGGCCAAGTTTGTGGCCAACAAGAAGTCCGGTGTCGTCAGGGTGGCTGAGATCTTTGATACATTTGCGTGGGGCCGGGAACTCAAGAAAAGGGGCTTTCAATCTCCGCACAGGTTGCCCGGCGCCTTTCGCAGGTATGTACCGAAACAGAGATTCGTCGTACCCAAGTTGGAGCCAGAGCCCTACCATGTGCCATCGATGATGGATGAATATCGAGCTTTGCAAAGTATAAGCCCCATCCCAGAGGCCCCACAAGTACCAGCAGCAGTTGTCGGGGCATACGAAGAGATCCCAGCAGCAGCAGTTGCGGAAAACTTGGAGGTACCAGCAGAAGCAGACCCAGACCCAGACCCAGCAGAGATGCCAGCAGTGCCAATAGAGCCGCCAAGATATCTGCCCAGACATATCCCAACGTCTGAGGAACTCGTTCAGATGGCAAGGGACATTGAGGCGGGTCTGTTGGATCCAGAAACTTGGCCCTTCAACTGTCGCATGCCTCGTCCCACATCACCTTTCCCCACATGGCGCTATGACAATCCACCCACACCACCGCCCTCACCGCCGCCACCGATGGGGGCCAGGCTTGTGCCGTCGCCAGAGGAAGATGCTCTGGCCGTCGACGTTCTCCTCCAAGAGGAGCAAAAGCGAGAGGAACAGCTAGCCGTGGTAGCGAGTCAGATTCCCAGTAACATGGACAGCCAGGGTCCTGTGGAATATTGGAGCATCCCTTTCGTACCCCGTGGCTTGCGTTTGCCACAACAACGCAAGTGGATCAGGTCCAGGAGAACCGAACAGCCAGGTAGCGAAGCAGTGGAGATCGATGAGATCTCCAATGTGGGCAAGCTCTTACATCTATACAACTTTCCAACGGCTCGTCCTCGCATTGACACTTTCGAGCTCATGGCGGCCGCTAACCAGGAGCCAGAAGACACAGTCATGGAAGACCAGAGCTTGGAGTCCCAAATGGATGTGCCGCCTGAACTAGAACAAGTCATGGCCCAGCAGGAAGACTTACCTGCGACATCTACATCGACATTCCTTGCCCAGCCGGATGACATCTCAGGTACTTCTTTTGCCCAACTGTATGACATTCCAGGAACTTCCAATCAATTGATGACAGGACTACGCATAGAAGTGGCTATGCCGGAAGACCTACAGCAGCTGCAGCAAGAGCAGCCAGTTCCAGGTTCCTCGAAAAAGACGGTCTTGCCCGTGGTGGAGCGGCAGCACCAACCTGTACACATTGGCAATGTGCAGCCCAAGCCACAAGATCAGACCGAGTGCCAGCAGTGGATCCAACAGACTAGCCAAATCCTAACCTCTCAGTACAAGGCCCTGCTCTGGGAAGACAGGTACCGGGCAGATATCGACTTCGAGGATGAAATCGAAAAGGAGCAGCAAAAGCAGCGCATGCGTGTCATAGCCCAACCATCGAACTTGCAGGAAAACGACTGGCAACGGAGCTACCGCTCAATGCTGGACGATTTCGAGGATCGTTGCGAGGAAACCGCATCCGAGTATCGCGATCCGCAGGCCAAAAGATTGCGCAGCAAATGGATTGAGAGATTTGGCAAGGGTTCGAGTCAAAACCTATGCCGCAAGCTGGACACAAAAATGCCGACAGTCCGCGCACAACCTCTACTCAAAATCAAAATACTGGCCAAAAGCAAACTCAAGAGGTTGGAAACCCTCGTCCTGCGTATTGAATTGAAGTATTCGAAAACGTTTTGTACGCTGCACTTGCACCAGACAATCGATCTCAAGGCGGCGAGCAGAAAACTGCAAAGAATCGAGTACAAGACTCACATCAATATCCTGCAAAAGTGCGAGAACACCCGTCAGCACTCGGAGCACAGTCGGATATCGTGGCTCTGGCCGAATGGCACTCTGACCATTATCAATGGCTGCCGCGACGACAAGAACGATTTGATAGATGTCCAGAATAAACTCTTGGCCCCCCTACTGAATTTAAACCGCTTTCAGGCGGCGCCAGCGCACAATCTGCAGTACCTGCGAATGCGGTCCGCGGCCCATTTTGGCTTTCAAATCAAACTAAAGATATTCGCCGAATGGTTTGTGCTGTCCAACCAGACGTGTCGCGATGATGTCAATTCGGAGTATGTTTATTATGTGACCAGCGAACTGCCGGGCGTGGTGGCACAGCTGCATGACCATGGGCGGGTCTATGTGTATGCAATGACCATCCAGGAGGCGGACAAATTGTTGCTGAAACTATACACCCTGATCCACAATCATCGCGAGGATCTGGTAAAGGTCGAGAAACCAGAGAAAAAAGTGGATCCAAAGTGAACGGAGAATATGCGGGCGAGCCCTGGGGCAGATATATTTTTTTGCATTCAGAAAAACAGAAAATGCGAAATACGCACAGACACAGATACACAGATGCTACAAAGACACAAATTGAATTAGCACAACGCTAAATGATCACACGGTCGCTCTAAAAGAAAACACACACAAAGTCCACCCAAAAGTCCAGCAACAACAAAAGAAAACTAAAATTTGCAACAAAAAAATAACATAAAAAATACAGAAAAATACAGATACAAGCAACAGATACTCGTACAGAGATACAAAAACAGATAGAGATACAGCCATTCAAAATATATATTGTACGGTTATATGATGTGGCTAGAGATACAAAAGCACAGATACCAGCAAAAAAAAAAAAAAACCAAAAAAAAAGGTTGGGCGACAATTTTTGCTCCAAGCTCCACCAGAGACCCATCCACACCGGGGTTGGGTGCTATTTATAGAACCCCCTAGATGATAAGATTGTGTCCCCGCTGCGCCGAACCGCAAAACTTTCTGCGGTTTTAGCGCTAAATAAACATCAAAAAAATATGAAACAGAAACCGAAAAAAGGAACAGAAGAACAAGTTTTTTATAACACAATTTTTGGATTACCAAAATGGAGCTACAATACCTCTCGAATCTCTCCCTCTCTCACTCTATCTCTCTATTCATAAGGGAAGTACTCTGCAGTGCAGTTAATCAACGAAAAATTTTATTTTTTCATCCTTTACCTGGAAAAAACACTTTTCATTAGTTATGCTATGCGGTTTTTAATTAGCGGACAGATAGACACACACGGAACACACACGTACACCGTACATGTACAAAACATTCCACGGTCAAGAAATTACAAACAAAATGTTTGTTTCAAAGCGTTTTGTTTTCAGGCATTTCTATATTTAGACTGAGAGCAGACGCGAAATATAACAATAACAATTTAAGAATTTAGATTATTTGTTTTTATTTCTGGGTTTTCTTTTGCGGAAATGATTCGAGAGAGAGAGAGAGAGCAGTACAGCACACGAAACAGTTTTTTTTTACTGTCCACAATAATCACAGCCTAAACTCTGCTTGAACCCTTGCTATTATTATTACCGTTATAATTAATAGATTCTTGCATACTTAAATATTGTCTGTTTAGAGTTGAATTAAGACAGAAATTGTTAAATGACAATCTTACGCTTATTGTTTCACTCTCTCACGTTGTCATTTTCATAAATTAACTCACAACATTAGAGGCTTCCTTTTTCTCAGTGCTCATTCACTAAGAACCCTAATAAATAGTTCTTGGGCCAGGCCTCAACCGAACCCAGCGACACTTCTTTGGTACGAATGATCGGTGAAATCTTCGCATCGGTTTATTTCGTTGCTGGAAATTCGCACAACACCCCTATTGAATAACTAATAACACCCTAATGTTTTTTAAATCTCAAAACTCAACAGCACTAAAATTTTGTCGCGCTTTTCGCTGGAAATGAACTTTATTATGCATTGGTACTCGTACGAGTCGGATACAGAACTTGAGCATAAAGTTTAATTGAGGGAAAAACACCTGTTCAATCGGAAACCTGCGACAGAGCGAAAACGAGAGTCAGATATAGGGCGGAAGAGCGGGCGGTACATATATTACTTAATATTTTCAGAGTAAACAACAGCGAGAGAGAGGTGAGTTAAGCATTTGTGTGTGTTTGTGTGCAAATTTTGACATAGAACAGATACCCGAACACACTTTGATTGCAAATATGAACATTTTGCGTTGCCAAAAATACAAGTACGAGTACGAGTACGATATGTATGCTGTAAGGTCTTCCTCTGAGCAAACGCTGTCAGTTGCACACACAGCAGAAAGCCAGGCCAAAAGCAATCACACCCACCCACACTATAAATACCCACAAATGTTATATTTAGATTATAATTTCCGACACATCGAACATTTCAATTTCATTAGCCGACCCAGAAATAATGTAAACACAAGAAAATGCAAAAATATATTTCTTTTCGTGTTTTTTCCACGCCATAAAAATTAAAAGGCATTAAAATTTCATTCGACCAGAAAACGCTTTTCAAATTGGTCAGAAATCGTTGGTCTCTGTATGAAAGGAAGGGAGAAAACACTGGGGGGAGTAGACAATGCGAAGGAGAAGAAGCCGCATCGAGAGGCACTCGCTGGGTTTCGCCTCCACCTCTGTGGGGCCATGCTCTCTGGTCTTTGGGAAAGGCCAACTTGTTGCGGTGTTCATTGCCAGCAATTTTTTTGCCAACTTTCCTCTCGTGTGTCCCGTGGAAGGAACCAGGAAGGAACCAAGCCAGCTCTCGTGTGTAGGAAGACCGCAATCTCCATCGCAATATTTAATTCGGAAATAGTTTGTTACCAAAAAAGTTTGGATTCTGCAGGAGTTTGGACAGATATTCCAAGAAATAAGAACAAGGAAATTGCTGGGAAAAGCGGGGGAACAATTTGTTTTCCAGAATGCAATTAAAAGGAGATCGTGCTGGATAGAAAACTGATATTAATTATTGACCAGAATTTGTCCTCTAAACAGAAATTACAAATTTTAAATAAATGAAAACAAAGTGTCGTCTGGAAAATCTGGAAAACCTGTTGTGTGCGATAAGAAAAGTCTTCAAGAGAAAATGGGAAACCAGAAACCTTTCTGTTTATTCTGAATGCAGTTTTTTTGAATTTTTCGACGAAGTTTTCAAGGCAGAGAGGGTGAATCAGAACCAATATTGTACTATATGTGATCAGAAATACTATAGAAGATGGCATTGAAAGTACATTCCAAAATTTCGATTAGACTTCGTTTTGGTAGAGAGAGGGAGGCTCTTTCACTGAACCAAATGGAAAGGGTATCATTGGGTTTACTCACATTGTTCGGCCTTGTCTGCTCCGTCATTAGCACACACTCTTCTGATCTCTTTCTCTCTCTCTCTCTCTGTCTCTCTCGCGGGTTTTCTGTGTAGCTGTCTTTATCTGCTGCTCTCCCAGTGGATGCTGAATGCTGAAATGCCTTGCCTCCCACGTTACGACCTCTCAGGTTTTACAGTTAGATAAACTTTTTTTGTTTTTTGTTTTTGTTTTTTTCAACGATTTGCGTTTTCTTCTCTCCTGCTTCTGGGTTTTTTTTTTCGCTTTTGTTGTATTTTCACTGTTTATTTTTTTAATTGGTTTTGCTTTTTGGTTGTTTAACAATTGTTCACTTTTTTGCTGCTGCTGCTTTTCATATGGAAAATATATTGCGGTTAATTATAATATAATTTTGTTGCTATTTTATGCACACACACACACACACACGCCACGCACACAGGAAGAATCAAAAGTAGAGTGGAGAAGAGATAGAGAGAGAGGAAAACTAAAACTGTAAAATGTACTAGCTGTAGCGGTAAATTGCATGAAAAGGGAATTGATTGTCTGCATGTAAATGGAGAGTTGAGAGCGGGAGAGAATGCAGCAAAATAGAGAGAGTGAAGAGTGGAACAAGAAGAATGAATTGCATTGTGGTAGGTTAATGGGAGAGCACGCTCGCTCTCTGAGAGAGATTACAGCAAAGAAGAGGCTGGAAGAACAATGGAATCTTGTTCGAATTTGCAATGAAAAATACTCAAAACACCCCACATTTTATTAAATATTTCAGCGAAACATATCGGCATTTGCCTTAATTCCTCCTCTTCACCTGTAGTATCAGCTTTGCTGTTGTACTTTTTTTATGGCTCAGATAAAGATGAGCGCTTATCAGAAACCGCACAGCAATCTGTTATCTTTGCACTTTTTCTCCATTACTCTCTTCCATTCTTTTTCCTCTGCCCCTTTCACGCTATGGCATGCGATCACAAAACAATTATCACAAAATCCAGTTTTCATTTCGATTTTGTGGCTTAATTTTTTTTTTTTTTTTGGTATTATAAACTTTTATGAAGGTGGCAGCAAACAATCTTGTTAACACATTTTGCAGAGTCTGTTTTTGAATTCAATAATAACTAATAATAACGATTAATATTATATGAAATGCGGTTCGGCCTTTACTTTGTGGCTGATTTTTCTCTGCCCGTTGATACCGAGAGACGGAAAAAAGAAAAACCGACGGCAAAACGGATGGCTGGAGGAGCTCTAGTCTGGTCGCACTCCGCAGTCTTTGGGGTTTTTGTTTTTGCCCCAATCCAATCCACAAGAAATATATATTAAACATACATATGCATAATATCGTTTGCTCTGTATGCCTGTGTGTACGATTGAGTGAGCTAGTGTGAGTGTGTGTGTAGGAGCGACGCACGCGGCTTTGGCAATCCGAAAACCAACTTTTGAAACGGGCAACGGCGAGAATAATACTGATACTACTACTAATACTGCATAACGAACGGCCCCAAAGGCCCCAAACGGCGGCCGCCACAAGAGAGAGCTGTCGCTCTCAGTGCCTCTCTCGACGCTAATTCAACATGTGTGTGCCAGGAGAGCCAAGACAAGAGCGCAATCACAGAGCAGAGATCAAGTAAGGTTGTTATTTCTTCGCTCTTTCCCTCTCTCGCACATTCATGCAATGGGCATCTGCAGCAAATTCTATTTTTAAACTTAAATTAATATTGTTCTTTATTTTATCAGCGCCGCGGAGCTGAGCGGCGCGACGCTAAAGCAGCGATGAAACCAGAAAACAAATAAATAATACGAGAAAAACTAGACGCCTGCTTGGTGTTGTTGTTGCTAATCAGAGGCCTAGTAAAAGATATCAAGCGCGTAGTGTTCTCTCTCTCTTCCTTCTGATCTATGTGTGTGTTTGTGTGTGCGAAAAGAGTAGCTCAAAATAATGCTGCTGCCCTCCCGCTCGCTCTCTCTCTGGCTTTTCTGTTCCCCATCTTCCTTTTGGCTGCTATCACCGCTTGATAAGAAATGCGTTAATCTTTATTAAGCCCTATTTGGGTGTGTATGTAAGAGAGGTTATATGGGTGTGCATTGATTGTTATTGTGTGTGAGAGTGTCTGCTTACATGGGAGTTTTTCAATTTCTGGCGACAATTTCCGTTGGAAATTTTTCGCTCAAAAGGTACGATGTACTCGCCAAAGTCCAAAAGAAAATTGTAATTTATGCAGAAAATGGCAGACTAGAAAAACAGATAGATGGAAGACACAGTGTAAGACAGCAACAACTTAGATGATTCAGTGCAGTTCGCAGTACAGTGGGACTAATTCATTTCTAGAACCTTTCATATTTGTTTGAAGCTGGGCTAGTTCAATCATACCCACAGTACAGGGTACAATATGCCGCAAGCATTGCACACACACACACATACAAAACATACACACGAAACCGCTACAGAGAGAAGAGCAAAAGAGATAGTGAGAGTGATCTGTTTTATCAGTCCCGTCTGCCTATTTTTAGATGTGTTTGTGTTGCCCAAAAGGCAACAAAGCAACAAATCACCAAAAATACAAACATCATTTCCACAAATGTGCCAAAATATAAACCGTTTCAACTTAATTCTATGGGCTGCTAGCTATCTTTAAACTGCAATTGAAATGTACCAAAGGGGAGATTGTGGCTGGGCTGGCTAGAATGGATGCACGATTCCGACTTGCGTCCGAAAAACAGGAAAAACATTCCGCAAGACGTGACAAGTACAAAAGCCAAAACTGAAACCACGCAGCGGATTGGATTAGACATTTTTATGCATAGCCTAGCGGCGGCATTGCATTGTGAAACTTTTCCTATTTTGCTTTTATTATTGTGCATTTTTATCACTGTTTTTGTTGTTGTTGTTGCACTTTTGTCAGCGCGATCATCGCCCACCAACACATGCATGCTTGTGCGCCTGTGTGTGTGGGTGTGTGAGAGCGAGAGAGAAATGGATAACGCAACAAAACATTTACATTGCAGTTAGCGGGTATTATCAACTCGAAATTACGATATATTTCGCATTAGAATGCATCAATTTTGTTCAATATAGCACAAATTATTTTATTAAGATCGTTTCTTGTTAATTTCGCATGTTGTTTTTTGAATTTACCGCTATTTTCACTGAGAGTTAAATCCCGACACGTTTTAACAGTTCTTTCGTTCTTCGCGGCCGAGAAATATTTACGGATGTTTTACATATATTTTATTGCAAATACATCTATATGAATATTTTGGTGGGATAACGTACTTTTCTGAATTCAGAAGAAGATTCGACACCATTTTCCTGTTGCTTCCTTTTCCGCGGCAGGCCGAAACAGTTATCACGTCCAGGATAGAGGTGTGAAACCATCGAGGGCACTATCGATAGTATCGATATTTTACTGCTAGCCTCTACTATCGACGGTTTTGCGACTATCATGATAGTATCGAGCTACAGTCGTTGCGCTTTTGATATGTTTGGATTGGCTGCTATAAAATACGAAGACACATTTGTAGACAAATCGACAGGTGGCATCTAATTTTTACAATGGACAAGTTCCTAAAAGGTTTCAATGGTTTTTTAATAATTATTTGAGCCCGATATTCTTACGATAGTATTGATTGTTTTTTTCAAAACATTCAAAGTTGATATTCCTCGATTTTGATATTCGGTTTAATATTACTAGCTAGCTGGGACTCTCAGCCCTAAACAAATAATTTAATCCGATAGATACATAAATTTTCTACAAGATTGGCAAGTTTTCAGGAGTCCTTTTTATTGCATTATTTACATATTAAGGTTCAAACAAAAACAGCATAAAACGAATTTGTCGTCGTTTTGTGGCGCTGCCAGACTCGTGCAATTCGTAGTTGCTGCGGGCTGCCATACCGTGATATTTTGTGATATGGAATTCGTCAATTTTGATATTCAGTTTAATATTACTAGATAGTTGGCCCTCTCAGCCGTAAACAAATAATTTTATCCGATGGATACATAAATTTTGTTCAGGATTGGTTAGTTTTTAGAATTCTTTTTCAGTAGATTGTTTACATAATAAGGTTCAAACAAAAACGGCCAAAGCATAAAACTTAAATGTTGACTAAATGTTACGTCAGTGTTGCTGGTCAACCAAGTTTCTTCTATGCGTATGGACCTTTGTATACCTTATTTCTTTTAATTGGTGTTAAATGTTTTGTTCCAAGCTCCATTGAAACATTATTTATGATTTTATCCTAGATTGACATGTTTTTTACATATTAATGCACATGTTTGTGTGTTATAAATACATTTATCCGGGTTCTGATACCTATTATTGGTAGTCGTGAGCTGCAAAACTTTGTTAAAATCTTTAGAACAGAGACTGAGTAGTTTCTGCATTAATTGGAGCCTGAAATTACAAACAATCTCTCAAGTCCATAATATCCATTTTCCCAAGGTGTGCAGATTGTTCCTCATTCCGTGCCAAAGTTGAACAACAATGCTGCTAATTCATTTCCCCATGTTGCTGAATTTTTTCCCATACAAATCAAATGTATCTTACGGGAACGCGTATGGAATGACGCAACAATGAATCTTTATTCCATACGCGTTCCCGTAAGATACATTTGATTTGTATGGGAAAAATTTCAGCAACATGCTGCCACACCACGAAAATGAGGGGAAAGTCTCCACAAAAACACTCTATTCTCCACTGAAAAGAGAGCACTCTCCACGAATTGAGAAAAATTTAGCAAACTCTCCACGAATTGAGAGCATATTTTGAAAACTCTCCACGAATTGAGAGTGAATAATATCGATATTTTTATGCGATAAATGGAGTCTGGCGGTCATTTTGAAGCGTATCTTAATATATAAACAAATAAATTGGAACTTGATTAAATAATATACCGTAAGTATTCAGAAGGACACGACAAGATATTCCTAATATTCAGTTTACTATTACTAGCTAGCTGGGACTCTCAGCCCTAAACAAATAATTTTATCCGATAGATACATAAATTTTCTACAAGATTGGCAAGTTTTCAGGAGTCCTTTTTATTGCATTATTTACATATTAAGGTTCAAACAGAAACAACATAAAACGAATGTGACGTCGTTTTGTGGCATTGCCAGACTCGTGCAATTCACAGTTGCTGCGGGCTGCCATACCATGATATTTTGTAATATGAAATTCCTCAATTTTAATATTACTTGATAGTTGGCCCTCTCAGCCCTGAACAAATAATTTTATCCAATTCTTCAATGAATTTTGTTCAGGATTGGCTAGTTTTCAGAACTCTTTTTCATTGGATTTTTTACATAATAAGGTTCAAACAAAAGCGGCCAAAGTATAAAACGTAAATTTTGACTAAATGTGACGTCTGTGTTGCTGGTCAACCAAGTTTCTTCTATGGATATGTACAAAAGTACAATTAATTAATTGGTGTTAAATGTTTTGTTCCAAGCTCCATTGAATCATTATTTATGATTTTATCCTAGATTGACATGTTTTGTACCTATTAATGCACATGTTTGTGTTTTATATATACATTTATCCCGGTTCTTATACCTATTATTGGAACCCGAGAGCTGCAAAACTTTGTTAATATCTTTAGAACAGAGACTGAGTAGTTTTTGCATTAATTGGTGCCTGAAACTACAAACAAAATCTCAAGTCCATATTTTCAAAACCCACCACGAATTAAGAGCGAAAAATGTCAGTATTTTTTGTGCGCTAAATGAGTTTGGCGGTCATTTTCAAAAGTATATATATGGAAAAATAAATATTTCACTTGATTTGTTTTGTCAAGTGTGACTGGAACCTCAGAAACCTCAGAAACCGAGAAAAAAAATAGCTTGACCTGAAACTTACTGAAACAAACCTTCTCGGAGGAAAAAACTAAATTAACCCACTTAACCCCCTCCATTTAAACAGGTGACAATAAAAATACCAAAATAAATACATATAACCGATTACAGCGAGCCACATTTAAATTGGTGCCGACAGAAGCTGTTTACATTGTATATTTTTAAATTTAGTTCGGTCTGTCAACTGCGGAAATGTATGGCGGTGGCAGGCCTACATTGAAACTGCTGCCTGCTGTCATTAGCCTGTCCCTGGGCCCGGTTATGAAGTTATCAGACACCTGGAGGAAAGCACTGGGCTGCCTCGCATACAGCTTTGACTCGCGTACCAGGTCCATGTTGATGGGCTCCGTATTGAGCATTTTTCCATGGATATGGAGCTGGCTGCAGTTGATGTAAATGGCCGTGTTGGACGGGGACGTGGTAGCCGTCGGTACTTTCGACACTCTGTGGGTACCCCTGGTCGAGCCCGAGCAGACATCCTTCTCTCGGTCCGACAGTTCGTTAGGCGAGTCATCATTTTCATTGCTACGGCGATTAGTCCCTGAACTGCCGCTACACTGGAGCTCCAAAGAGCTACCGCCAATGACCTGTGGCACTGAGCAGCCACTGCCTCTGGTCTGTAGCTCCAATCGATCGCTGGGCTGTTGTTTCTTCTGCATTTGTTTCATCAGCTCACATCTGCTCCGCAAGTTTTTTATTATTTCCCTCACCTGCCCATTCAGCAGAATGAGATTATCCTGCTGCGCACTAAACACCTCCTGCTCCATGCTATGCCAATACAATACCATGGCCCGCGCCTCCACGAACTTCAACACCTTGACCAATGCATATGTGAGGCATAAGACTATGCCAAAACTGGCCATCATTTCAAAGGTGTGAGTATATCGTGGGACATCTGAGGCGGGGTTTTCGCTAGACAATTGCTTGGATGTGAGGTAAGGGTCTTCTGGAATGCAGCATACACACAGATGTAGGCAAGGATATACAGTCGGAATTCGCTCCTCTTACCTGTGTACAGCTCCACATCGAAGTCCTCAGCGCGTCTGTTTTTCTCAATTGCATTAATATAGCAACTCACGCACCAGGTGGTGAAGGCCAAGGCCATAAGAAACAAAGCATTTACGCTATTAGACATATTTTTTCCAAAAATTTATTTTTGTGTGTATGTGGTTCGAGTCGAGTCGAATTTGTTGCTCAGAATGACATCAAAAGAAAATGTAACGAGAAATTTAAGTATTTAAGTATTTTCATGGGCTGCTTTGCTGGCAATTTTCAACTAAGATTGGGCTGGCCACACTGATCGCTAAATAAAAGGAAACGTGCTGTTTTTTAAAGTTTTTTCGAGAAATATTTGTTATTTTCAAAATGGAGATGATGGTATGTAACGCCCGTGTATAGATCATATAAGCAGACATTACTTAAAGTACGTCCCATGCTTAGCACGGAGCCTCCATGCTGTCCAGGCCAGCGGACGAGTTTGGCAACGATTCGATGGTTGAAGAAATGTGGGCCGCTAAAGCTCTGGAACATGCCGAGGTTCATTTCAAAAAACAATCGTTAATAAGCCCCCACATCGTTCTAGCTTCTTACCAGCGTTCATCCCTCCCAGCTGCGACTCACGCCCTATGACGATCAGATCTATGAAACCTTTCGCCAGGACTTTCCCGATCTCAAAGTGGGCCTGCTAACAGACGACGTACTAAAATCTGCTGTGGAGAAGCTGAAGTGGCGTGAGTTCGCCGAGAAATTCAACAAAATGGATGACTATTCCACTTCAGCTTGGGACACTGATGAGGGCCGATGCCAGCCAAGAGTTCAGCCCGGACATTTCCATTTTTGTGTTTCGCGTACAGTTCCTGGCCGTAGAGATTGCCCGCAACCGGGAGGGACTCAACGACGAGGTCCATGCGAAACATAAGCCTGCCAGAAAGACCACCCAAGAGGACACCAAGTGAACCTTCGCCTCCGTTTAAGTCTCTAGGTTATCGGCATTTGGATATTTCTAAGCAATAAATGCATTTTTAGACGTTGATGGGAATTGGATTGATTTTAATTCCAAAAACAACAATAAACCCAAAATTTCTCAAATTAATTGTTGGTTTTTGTTTAGGTTAAGGCTAAGGTGTATATAGGTTTTATATATATATTAAATATATATATTATTATGGGGTTTTGTCACTAATTTCTAAGTATTGCCCGCACTTGGTCCATCTTCAGTCTTTCTTGGGTGCTCCCACCCTACAGTCCGCTGCTGTTGCTGGTCATCAGTATGAATGGAATCAGTGCCTCCATCTGCATCTGTTCCACTAGATTGGCGAAAAACAGCTCCTCCATGGCCTCGGCATCCAGGCTGCTCAGCGGCAGCAGGCGGGCAACCAGGCCATTGAAGCGCTCCTCCCCACCGACACCACCCTGCCGGCGCAAACTGGTCAAGGCATACAGCTGAACACGTCTCACATACCCGCGCAGTTGTCGCTCCTTGCGCTGCTGCAGCAGCGAGGGATTGAAGAGAAGGATCAGTCGCAGCAATCCAAACTCCATGTCGGTCACCTCCTGGCTCTGCAGCTCCTGCACAAAGTCGTGCAGGGTGCGAGTAAGGTGGGCCATCTTGGATATCTTCAGCGGGTCGGACTTATCAATGTCCGCCAGCTGGCGAATGCTCTGGATGAACTGAGCAATGATGGTCGAGGCAGACAGCTGTCCCTGGCACTGGGCCAATGCCACGGCCATCAGAGCTGGCCAAGCACTGCGCAGCATCTTCACCTGGCTGTGCGAATCAAGCTGCTCGAACACGGGCACCTTCCGCAGCGTGTGAATGGTGAGGAAGATGATGCGAGATCCCGTCTCGCACACATAGTGGATATTCAGATACGAGTGCACCAGGGTTGGTGGCTGCACATGGAAGGCGCACTGGGCATCGGTGAAGAGCTCCTGGTCGAAGACAACTTCATTGACCATAAAATCACTCCGATTGCAGTAGTCGAAGTCCAGGTCCATGTGCTCAAGCTCCGGGTCGACGGCATCTTCGGTGCCACTGTCCTCGGCCTCCGAATCACATTCGGGCTTCACACTGAGGCTCGTTCCCGTTCCGTGGCCCCCAATACGCTCCAACTGATGCTGGATGGGCTGCAGCAGCTGCAGACCCTTGTTTATCACCCGCATATCCAGAGAGCTCTTGATCAGGCCCAATGTGGCGGCAGTGGGCAGCGTTGTTGCTGGCTCCCCTGCATTGAAGTTCAGGTGCTGGGAGTTATTGTTGCTGGCACTGTTGGCCAACAGTTGCAGGCACAAGGTGCTGCTATTGTCCATCGAGTCGTCGTCATCATCCTCCACCTCTGCCTTTGGCAGGTCCGGGGAATAGCTTCCACTCTGTTGTTGCTGCTGCTGCTGTTGTTGTTGTTGTTGTTGCTGCTGCTGCTGCTGTTGTTGGGTGGCAAACACTGGCAAAGCGAGAAAGGAACACCAATTAGTTTCATTGTTCACCAATTGGACGCATGTTTATTTCTGGTTGGAGAGACTCACTCAATGTCTGCGTCAGTTCGGCAAAATTCAGGCCAAACAGATTGTCATTCAGGCCAAAAGGCGTTGCTGCATTGCTCTGTACGGGGGGCGTGGCTGCGGTTTCGGCCTTGACAGTGTGCTGCTTGCCACGTGCCTGCTGGTAGCCAGACTTGCTGGATATATAGCTGGAGGATGTCCCTCCGCTCCCCGATGTGGAGGAGCCACCACCAACAGAGGCATTTAGGCCCTCTTTCCTGTCTACAATCGGTTTCCTCTCATGCTGAACGGCTGCGGCAAAGAGAGAGTGTGGGGAAAGGCAAAAAGAAAAATTAATTAGAGCAAGAAGTCGACTAACGGTGCAGTTGATGATGCAGTTTTCCAGGCCGGGTGACTGTGTATTTGTGTGTGTGTGTGTGTGTGTGTGCGCGTGAGTGTGCATTTTTGGGTTAGTATGTGTTCTAGTTGGGATCATCGTTTATACCCTTGCAGAGAGAGATTAATTTGGACTTGACTGATCCGATGGCACCTGCAAGGGTATGTAGACTTTGGCCAGCCAAAGATGCGTTGGGTTATTGCTTGAGACGACGACTTAAACGAAAATTACAATCACTTCGCATGCCGCTGGCCAAGCACTTTTGCAGCCGACAGAACTGGCAACGATTCCGATGGTGCTTGGTCACCTCACAGTTCATTGCCCCGCGACACTGATAGCCCAGCTGCTTGCGTATGGATCGCTTGAAGAAGCCCTTGCAGCCCTCGCAGCTAATGGCCCCGTAGTGGCGGCCCGAGGCGCGATCCCCGCAGACCAGACACAGCTCCACGCTGAGGGAGGCCGCCGCGGCGGCCGCAGCAGCAGCAGCCGCTGCTCCACTGCCACTTCCGATCAAAGGCATCGCTCTCGTCTCTGTAAAGGCGAGGGCAACATTATTATTATACTTCTCAAGGTGCGTGTACGAAGCGTCGAGTCCCACCTTCAGCTTTAATGAACGCCTCAACCTTAACGCCGTCCATTTGCAAGCTGGTGGCTGCTGCTCGTTGGTATTGGTGCGATGTTAGCTATTTTTATTAGAACCCGTTTCTTCCACGCCAGTCTTTGTGCGTATGGGTGAATATTTTGCTTACTTGGCTCTCGGAAAATTCTTATTGAACAGGTGCTATCACCATATTTACACTGTACACCAAGCACTTTCTTTGGACCAGTCAATTCAGCTAATAACTCTATGATTTTAGAGGCATTTTAGCCTATTGGAAGATGTTTTTCTTGGGCAGCAGCAAAAATCTTCTCATTCCAATTCACACATTCACACAAAAAAAATCGTCAATGACCGATATGATATGAGTGCTCGAACTTAACCCACTTAAGCCCCCTCTATTTCAACAGGTGAGCAACTTGAGTTAAGCCGAAGAGAATAATACTTTTTGTAAATTCTCCTTGTAGATCGTTCCTTTCTCTTTACTCACAAAGAAAATTAGCACAATGTATTTGATCTGAACTGCGCTAAAATTCTTCAAGTTTCATCATTTTTGTGGGATGGTCGACAATGGGCTCACGTTCTTTTGTGTTGATCGGAAATCATTTTCCTCGATTTTGAGTTTCCGTTTAATATTACTAGCTAGCTAGGACTCTCTGCACTTAACATATAATGCTATCTAATAGATAAATCAATTCTCTACAAGATTGGATAATTTAAAGGCATCCTCTTATTGGATTGTTATAACATAAGTTAAAACAAAGACAAGTTCTGCTCTGTTAACACGCGATTGCATGTTAAGTTGCGCCTTACAGCACCCGCTGGAATACCTGTTGGCGGGTGAATGAATGCACTTTGAAATGAGGGTTTCATTTATAAAAATACACTTTAATATACAGAGAAATCATTACAAAAGACTACGTTTCTTTATATATATATAACATAAGAGTCCCTAGTTGTGAAAAACATATTCATTTTTGTCTTAGAAACGATTAAGCCACAAATTACTTATACAAATATTCAGGCTGCATGGAGTGGGTGGCGGGCGGAGGGATGAATGGATGAGGGGAACCCAAAATGGTGAACAACAAGCAGGGCTAAGCTCACAGGCACGCACACGCACGCCCACAACTATCATGGACTAGGCCCAGAAACTACAGTCTATTTATTCTTTAAGCCCATTGCACGTTTGGTGGCCCTTCCCAGGAAGATGCCTGTCAGAAAGATCAGGCCCGTGGCGCTCATCAATATCACAAGGAAGAATTTGCGCGCCGGCGATGCGACCACCTGCTGCACAAGCTGTTGCATATCCTCCGGCGGCAGCGCCAGCGTGTCGTCCGCATTGTGGAACATTTCGATGCGCCGCTGCAGCTTCTCGCGGCAGTCTCTGTCCAAGGAGTTGGGCGTATCCTTCAGCAGAGTGCGCAGGCAATTCAGCTCTACGGAAATGGGATATGATCAGAGAATTATGGGTTTATGTGGCACACGGCCCTATACTCTACTCACTGCGTCCGTTGCCGCTGGAGACCTTGGAACAATATCTCAGCAGATCCACTGTGCACGCCGTCTCCAGTATGGGATCCACATGTATATCGGCCTTGGCCTCGGCTATCAGCGTGGCCACCTCCATCTGGCACTGCCTGTTGATGATCTGCTTCTGCAGAAAGGCCGTCTTCAGGCACTCGGCCACCTGACCATGCTCATCCGCATCCATGTTGGCCTTGCACAGCTCCTGGATCTCCGACTTGCAAAACACCTGCAGCAATGGATTCAGCTTGTAATTGAGTGCCTGCTCCTGCAGGATCTTGATCATCTCCTGGGCGCAGGGCTCATCCAGCTTCGATTGACGGAACTTATCTTTCAGGCAATGAATGACCTATGAAAATAAACAAATCAATTACCCTAATTTATGTACATACATATGTATATGTATGTAGTACTCGTAGTTCGTATTATATAGAGCCATCAATTAGCGTATAATCGTCGAGTGCTTTCAATTGAAAGGGTTTGATTAGGCAAGACACAGATAAAGAGCCCATTGTTGTTCCACTAGAGATAATCACGTAACTTGGATTTCAGCTAAACTACTAGAAGCGCTATGCTCGCGACATTCGACTGCCAGATACCCCGCCCTTGGTACTCGGTACTCGGGTTCGATATACGTATTTATCAGAGAGAGAGAGAGAGACAGCAGTGGGTCAATGTCAATGTTTCTTTCAGCAGCATACGAAATAAAGGTACAGGTTTTTTATTATCTACATCTATAATTGTTGAACATCTGTCTCCGCACTCTCGCTCTACTCACAGCAACACCAGCCGTTGCATCTCTCCCTCCGCCAGGTGCCAGGGCTAGGAGAACATTAATCCATTCGTTTTTGTTACGTAATAATCTTTATAATCCAAATGTTCATGGGGCCGAACAAACTCTACACTTACGGGTCTTAATAAACTGTAAGGAAAGTCAATTTCTGGGGCTCGTCAATGCCCGAGGGGGTATCTTCACTCGTTGGTTGCCTCGTGAGACGCTTCGTTGCCGTTGCCGTTGCCGTCTCGCTTGTGGCTCTACACGCGTTGAACCGAGTCCACATTAGTCCCAGATCACAGTCCATTCCGATGCGTAGTCGCTGCGTATACGTAATGTTAACATTCTGCGGATTAGTGAGCGCTGCACTGGCCGGCTGGCTGCTGGTCTCCCTTGTGGGTGCCCAAGGGGCTGCTGAAGAGGAGCCCACAACGGTGGTGACCGTTGAATTGGCCAACGGGCAGGGCAAGGTGCTGGGCAATTTCGATGTGACAGCTTTGACTGATCAGAGATTTATGCAATTCCGTGGCATTCCATTTGCGGAGCCACCGGCGGGGGATCTGCGCTTTCGGGTGAGTCAAAAAACAGTGCAAAAGTCCACACCGCCGAATCTGGAGTAAGCTGCCTCCAGTTCAGCCGAGTCACATTGACTGTTCAGATTTTCGCCAAGGCAAGAGATAAGGCTAATGCCTAATGTGACGTGGTGTCTGCTAATGATTATTATTATTACCCTCGTCTGATTGGCGACAGCCACCTGTTCCCCGTTCGAGCTGGTCGCCCTATACCGCCAGCGCCCTGCACTTTGCCCAACGCTGTCCAGTGATAACCCATTTGGATGATCAGACGTCCGATGTGAAGACGGAGGACTGTCTCAATGTCTCGGTGTACACCAAAAATGTGAGTAGGCATCGGATGATGGTGTGTTGTGATCAAAAATACAAGTACTTTCCCCTTTCAGCTCACAGCCAAGCAGCCGGTAATGTTCTACATCTATGGCGGCGGCTACTACAACGGTTCGGCCGAGGATCATCCTCCGCACTATTTCCTCGAGGAGGATGTGGTCCTGGTGGTGCCCCAGTATCGAGTGGGAGCCCTAGGCTGGTTGACCACCTTCACGGACGATATGCCCGGCAATGCGCCCATTGCGGACATCCTAATGGCCCTCGAGTGGGTGCAGACACACATCCATCTGTTCGGTGGCGACCCACAGCAGGTGACAATCTTTGGCCAGAGCGCGGGCTCTGCGGTGGCCAGTGCCCTGCTCTTGAGTCCCAGCACAGGGGAGCATCTCTTCAAGCGAGCCATTGTCCAGTCGGGTTCGATCTTCGCCCGGTGGGCCGTCAACAGCGATCCTCGCGCCCAGGCCATACGAATCTGTGAGAAACTGCGGTGCACCGGATGCGAGCAGGAGGATCGGCTGTGGGTTTGCCTGCGCAACTCAACGGTGAAGTGCATCCTACAGGCCACCCAGACGGAGACATTCGCTCCAGTTGTGGGCGATCTAATGGGAATCCTGCCGCAGCATCCCAGCGAGCTGGTGAAAACCTACCAGCGGCAGATTCCATTGCTCACCGGCTTCACGGAGCACGACGGCTCCTTTATCCTGGCAAGTGGGTAGCTCACATATCTCACATCCATGTATATGTGAGGATCAGCCTTACGATTCGCTTCGCTTTTGCAGGCTACTACGATATGGTTGCCGCAAAGTTTCCCAATGTGAGTGCCCTGACGGTGCGCGAGTTCTCCGTGGGACTCGTGGAAATGGCCAAAGATGGCACCGGACTCACGGACAATCTGCTGTATCGCATGCTCCTCCCGCCAGAGATACTCAACAGTCACGATCACAAGGCTGCCGTGCCCGCCTACTTCGATGTGAGTTGGATACACAAAAGGAAGGTTCCTTTCAACCGCATTATCTTTTCCGCCCATAAACAGCTTACGTCCGCCTACTTAAAGTCCCCAGTGATAACGCTGGCCACGAAACTCTACAGCCAGCAACCCTCCGCTCCCGTTTACGTTTACAGCTTCGAGTATGAGGGCAAGTACACCCGCTTTGGCTATGAGATGGGCAACGCCCACTACCCCTTCAATGGGGGAGTGCACCATTCCAATGAGAATATGTATCTGTTCTCCACACATCCCCTGGTGGGGCAGGACTCGCGTATGTCCCAGAAAATGGTCGAGCTGTGGACCTCGTTTGCCATCGATGGCAGGCCCAAGGAACTGAGCCCCCTGTCCAGTCCCAGTGGACCCTACAATCGTCTGGCCATGCAAATAACGACAGGCGAGGATCTGTTGGAGACGCTGACCGCAGCCATTGATGATCCAAACAATTGGAGGCTGCAGCGTGAGAATGTGGACTTTTGAGTGCCATTCCGATGGGTTATTTAGGCAAGAAATGGGCGAATGCAAAGGCCAGGCAGCTATTTTTCCTATTTGTGGTTACAATACTTAGATAAGGGCTATATATACTCGTATTACTTTGACTAATTAAAGCACTATATCTTAGAAGCGTAGCGTGGCATAGATAGAGATCCCAGGCAGGGGTAACTACGAGCTACAAAAGGCAATGAGAAACACTCACCTTTCCATTGAGCTCCTCGTTGGGCAGCGCACTGGCCACAATGCTGGAGCAGTAGCTATCAATGTTCTTGCCACAGGCGCTCTGCAGCGAGGGATTGAAGCGGAAATCTGTGTTCTGTTCAATCATGCGATTGACCACAACCAGATGGCAGCGCTGATCGAACTGCGTGTCATCCTTGTAGGTCTTGAGGCAGTCCAGGAGCTTCGCAGAGTCCGTGCTCGGGCAGAACTTGTAGATCATTTCCTTGCACGTATTGAGGAGCGTGTAGTCGGTGCCGCTGTCGCCCAGCTCCGATTTCTTGATCATGAAGATGGCATGATGGCAGGCCTTGCCCAGACTGGGCGTCTTCTTGATAAGGCACTCCAAAGCCTGCAAAGAGAAGAAAACAAGGCCGAAAACAATTAGAGCCTGCTCTTTGGGGCTGCACTTTGTGTGGTTTGAAGGGGAGATGAGTGTGTTAATAGATGGTGTGTAGATTAAGGATGGTTAAGATAACTTGCATTTTTATTCACCTGACCGGGACCCTTTTGATCCCCGCAGAACTGTTCCAGTTCCTTGGCGCAGGCATTCGCCAGCTTCGGATCCAACTGAATGCTCTCCCTCTGCTGATACAGCTGGGCCTTGACCTGATGGCGGCACTCCTTGGGTATCTGGTGGCGCTGGCCCCTGATTGTATCGTTGCGCATCACCTCACTGAGGCAGCCGACCACATCGTTCTTGGTGATGCTCGAGGAGCAGAAGCGCTGTACAAATGGACGGCAGGCCTCCTTGAATTTGGTGGTGAAATGAAAGTTCTTTAGCGAGATAATCTGAAAGTGTTCGATGGCGGCGCGGCAGCGTAGATCCTTGCGCAGATCGGCATCGTTCTTGTGCGCTATAAGGCAGTCCATCATGTCGCCTATGAGAGACGAAGCAGAATGCATTAAGGATGCAAGAAATACTCCAATTTGTTCCCCAGCTCACCATTATCCTTGCCACTCTTGAGTATGGCCGAGCAGTGCTGCTGCATGGCCTCGCCGCAGACGTTCATTATGACGGGATTCAGTTCGACATGGGCTGCCTCCTCCTCGGTGTATTTGACCACAACCGTTTTGCACTCCGGCTGCAGTTGGTCCATGTTCTTCTGCAGGCACTCCATTTCGCTGCCCTTCTCCACGCAATCCGCACAGAAGAACGACAGATCGTTGAGGCAATAGTCCTCCACCTCGGGTATGAGGTCCATGGACATGGCACGCTGGCGCATCACCCGCTTGACCTCCTTGAAGCATTCCTTCCGCAGCGTCTGATGCGCATCCTCGCTGAAGGCCATGCGATGCAGGCACGGCAGGATCATGGGGCCCCGCTCTGGGTCCATTTGGACATTCTGGGCATCGTCCCACTGCCGCTTGGCCCGGCAATACTTGACCGCATCGTCGCGGCAGTGCTTGTACAGCTGCGGATCCAGTTTGAAGTCGCGTGCCACAAAGTACTCGATGATGAGCAGGGCCTGCTCGCACTCGGGCAGCATCGAGGGCGTGCCGATGCGTTCGACCAGGCATGACATGACGCGGGCCTCTCCACCCTCCACATCCTTGCAGGCCACATCTACAACGGGCTTGCAGGCACGCCTAAGTACTGGGTCCACGCGCCAATCCTCGCCAGCATCGCTGACCTTGATCAAAGTCTCCAATCCTCGCTGACATTGGGCCGTGACACGCCGCTGCGGTCGCCTGGCCTTCACATGCTCCAGCAGGCAGTGGATAATCTCTCCGCCAGTGCCCGTCAGGCCATTCACCAGCTGGGCCTTGTGCTCATCGGGGCAGAACTTGGGTATGTCATCGGCACAGTCACTCAGCAGCTCCGGCGACAGCTGGTAGTCTGTCATCAGCATGCGGCGATGGTCGGTCAGCTCTACCAGACAGGGAGGCGCCAGCTTGGTGCCGTTCTTCGATACAGACTCTAGACAAAGCAGAATCTGGGCCAGCCGCACATGCTTATCCTCGGAGACGCCGCGGCGACAGTGATGCAGTTTGATGTCATCCTTGCAGGCCTTGGCCAGGCCGTGCGAGACGCGGTAGTCGCGGCCCATCTGCTGATCCCTCTTAGAGATCTGCGACGCGCAGTTGGCCGTCATCGACGGATGGCTCTTGTGCCGCACCAGGCACTTGAACGCGCCCGCTGTTCCCGCTTGCTCCTAGAAGAAACGTGTTATTGAGGCTCTCCATACAGCAAGTAGCTTCCACCTCACCTGTGGGCAGAGCGAAGGGAGATCCTCCGAGCAGACCCTGAACAACTCCAGCATTCCACGCTGCAGTTCGATGGCATTCATGGCGGACATGCAGGTGGGCTCGATGCTGGACTTCTGTGCATTCGATCGGAGGCACTCCGCCGTGCCCAGCTGGGACAGCAGCGACGGCAAGTGTTCGACATTCAGGCGACCGCATTTGTGGTGCTCCACGAGGCTGCTGCAGGCCACATAGAACTCGTCCACGTTGCTGTAGTCCTGGCCGAGGGCATTGAAGGCGCGTCGGAGGTGCTGCTGGCAGCTGTTGCTCTGCGGGAGCTGCAGGCGCTGCTCATTCAGGCATTTCCACATGTACACAGAGTTCAGGCAGCTCTCTAGCTTTTGGCGCTCCTCTGGGCAGTATGTGGGCAGGAGGGTCTTCTCTATCCATGCGGGAAGCTGCAGTTGCCGCTGCTGCATCCAAAGGGCGTGCTGGCAGGTTTCGGGCAGAGCCTCCAGTTGGCTGGAACTGAATGTCAGGGCACATTCCAGCATAGACAGATTGTCGGTTGACTTTTGGTGCGTGCAGAATTTCTTTAAATCCTGGCACTCTGGCAAATCGACGATGCTGTGCATTTCCTTGGCCGCCTCATTCTTATTGTCCACGTCAATGGCGACGCGGCGGAGGCGCTGCAAATCGCCGGCTGCTGCTACAGCCGCCGTCAATAGCACCAGCAGTAAATGCTTCATTTTGTGTTGATACCTGGAAGATCTGTCTTTGGCTCTCAGTGACCGGTCATCTAAACTGGCCGACTGGCAAATTGCTTGCGTAAGCTAATGAAGTGGCTCTATATGCAATGCAATATTCAGCAATTCGACGCGCTGCTCTGCTGGTCTTGACAAATGGGCATGAAATATCTTGTAGCGTTCCAACAACAAAAACAAGCAGAAGGCCGGTTGCAAATGCTCTTACTTCTTGGTCATGTTTCAAAAATACTTTGGGGCCCGGATAATATTCCACTTTTTCTATATTTAAACAGCTGCAAACTGTTGATTCAGGCGCTTAGCGCATTTTAACTTTTTTGCAACAAATTCGCTTTTGACGATGATCAGAATAACTATCGGCTGGACAGCGATAGGTCGATATCATTTATACAAAAACAAATTATTCTAAATTACGGTATAAGTGCGAGGGTAAATAGCATAATTGCACCTTGATTAGATTCCCCTAGTAAAACTATTGAGTCTTGGTTTGAATCATGTAATTTAAATACCCGTTCGGGTATCGATGACTAAGCTACAGTTATTGTCGTCTCGCCCCCATCACTAGCCTATGAATCGTCCGCTTGCGAAAAACAGAAGAAAATTTTCGCCGCAACACAAATCCACCCACACTAACTGTACATCTTTTGGAATTGTTTTAACCCACAACTACGGCTTCACAGTGGACATCGTCAGGCGCTAAGGAGGCAACCGAACGCACACCGCTCATGGACGGCCATGTCAATGCCTCCTCATCAAGGAGTGGCGCTGGCACTGCTGGTAGTGGCCTGAGCGGCGCAGCAGAGCGTTTGGAGCGACCTCCAAGGCGAAAACAGCCAAGGAGCAATTATGGGTCCAATAATCAGGATCAAACAGATGCGGTAGGTCATCATACGATGCTGTAGTTGGTTCGAATGACTATACTTGAGATTCTTTGCCAGGCTGTACTTGCTGTCCCCAATGTGGCTGTGAGGGGCGGCTCGTCTGGTTCTCGACCAGCCAGACTGAGTGGCGGTGGCGCCGGACCTACCCCAAATGAAGCAGAAGAGGATCAGGGCTTGAAATACGGCGCCCAGCATGTCATCAAGCTGTTTGTGCCCGTCTCCTTGTGCATGCTGCTGGTGGTGGCCACAATTAACTCGATCAGCTTCTACTCCAGCACCGATGTCTATCTGTAAGACGGAGATACATGTATTTGGTAAAGAATATTATTGTCTTATCGTTTGTTCAATTGCAGTCTGTACACTCCCTTCCACGAGCTCTCGCCCGAGCCGAGTGTCAAATTCTGGAATGCTCTGGCCAATTCTTTGATTCTAATGAGCGTGGTGGTTGTGATGACAATTCTATTGATTGTCCTATATAAGAAACGTTGCTACCGCATCATCCATGGCTGGTTAATACTCTCTTCCTTCATGCTCTTGTTCATTTTCACGTACTTGTACTTGGAGTAAGTATAGCCTCCATTCACTTGGGCTGAGACTAATTCTTGTATGGTTTTTAGGGAGCTTCTACGGGCCTACAACATTCCCATGGACTATCCCACGGCCCTGCTGTTTATGTGGAACTTTGGTGTGGTTGGAATGATGTCCATCCATTGGCAGGGACCTTTGCGTCTGCAGCAGGGATATCTCATATTTGTTGCAGCCCTCATGGCATTGGTCTTTATTAAATATCTGCCAGAGTGGACGGCCTGGGCTGTCTTGGCAGCCATTTCTATTTGGGGTGAGCACAAACTCCATATTGGGTACACATTTTGTTAACTATTAATCGATTTATGCGTTGACAGATCTCATAGCTGTCCTCACACCTAGAGGACCTCTTCGCATACTTGTGGAAACGGCTCAGGAGCGAAATGAGCAAATTTTCCCCGCTTTGATCTACTCATGTAAGGAAGAGTCCGTAGCCGGACTGCTGTAGATCTTCCAACTTATAGAATTCTCGTCTTTTCTCAGCCACTGTCATCTATACGTATATGGGTATACATTATACACCGGAAGAAACAGAGCCTGCAGCCACTTCCTCGCCCTCATCGAGCAACTCGACCACAACTACAAGGGCCACACAAAACTCACTGGCATCCCCAGAGGCAGCTGTGGCCAGCAGCAGCTCCCGCTCAGGTAATACAACTCGAACAAATCCCCACCAGAATCAGCGGGATGATAGCAACGTAATGGCAGCTGAAGGTATGCCACTTGTGACTTTTAAAAGCAATTTGCGCGGAAACGGTACATATGCAATATATTTTTTATGATTTATTTTTCTTCTCCCATGTGTACAACGCTTCTCTTTGGCCTTTCTGTGTGTATTTGATCTTATAACTCGTATTCGTACTCGTACTCGTATTTCATGTCTTGTTTCCGTTCTGGGTATTTGGTATAAGTTGGTATAAGGCGCTGCTAGTAGAACATTATTCTATTTGGAGATACATATATTTTATGTCCTTAATTTATAAAAATAATGAATATTTAACATTCTAATATTCTTACTTGCAGCTGAGGCAGCCGGTTTCACCCAGGAATGGTCTGACAATCTCAATGATCGCGTGGCGCGTCGTCAGATTGAGGTTCAGAGTACACAGAGCGGCAATGCCCAACGCTCCAACGAGTATCGCACTGTCACAGCACCAGACCAGGCCCAAGCAGATGCCCAGGAGGAGCGTAAGTAGCACCAGCATGTTTCCTTCAGCTATAAGAAATTAATAAGCAATTTGTTTCTCAGGTGGCATCAAATTGGGACTCGGCGACTTCATCTTCTATTCGGTATTAGTGGGCAAAGCCTCCAGCTATGGCGATTGGACCACAACGATTGCCTGTTTTGTGGCCATCTTGATTGGACTCTGCCTCACGCTGCTGCTTCTGGCCGTTTGGCGTAAGGCCCTGCCAGCCCTGCCCATTTCCATCACATTTGGCTTGATATTCTGCTTTGCCACGAGCGCTGTGGTTAAGCCCTTCATGGAGAACCTGTCGGCCAAGCAGGTGTTCATATAAGAAAGACACACACAGGAATTAAGTGGACAAGGACGAGTCTATGTCCCTCTTATCATAGTCTAAAAAAGCTTTTTAAAATCCAATCTTTATTAACAAAATGCATAGTAACACAGAAACTATTTCTTGCGCCTCATTATGGTTTTGTCTACAACATTGATCAGCCAACCGGGTTCCAGGCCATAGAACACTTGCCTCGGATCCTTGGCGGTCGAGAGCATCTCATAGGAAGGATCGTCTTCAATGCGGGGCAGTTGATAGCCATATTTCTGTGCCAGCACCAGCCGATCCTTGCTGATCTCCTCGGGATTGGCCAAATATCCACGATTCTTGGCATCAGTGTAATAGTCCACGGCGTCCTGAGGCGGCATCATACGATTGGGAATCGGGACACCCTTCTCGAACCACTTTTTGGCATTGGCCAACATGTGCAGACTCCGCGGATCGTAGTAGGCTGTACGAATGACGCCACCGTTGCGCTCGATGGCTGCAATTACCGCCTCGTTCGCATGCTGTACCTCAATATTGATCTTGGCCTTGAAGTTGTCCAATCCTTCGTCGGTCAGCTGGAATCCATATTCCATTTCAGCTGGCTTCAGCTTCAACAAGCCGGAGTTGCACAACGTACTTATATCTACGGGCTGGCTGACATCTATTCTGTTCGTATCAATCAGCACCTGCAGCTGCAGTAGGGAGATGGGTGGGTACTGCCGCTTCATGTGGTGGCCCTTGTAATAGGGCTCATAGGGAAACCGCAGGTAGAAAGGCTGATTGCCCGTCTCATAGCCCAAACGCATGAAGTTCTGCCGTTGTCCGGAGCCCTTGTTGCCAGCTCCATGCTTATCACCGCCATGCTGCGCCCTACCGCGCTTGTCCTGCAGAGGACCGAAATGGATCGGATATGTCAAAAGTTGTTATTTAACCGGTCAGGGTAGCACTCACGTTCTGTTTGGAGTTGGGGTTCGGTCGCAGGTTTCCAATTTGCACGCGCGGCAACGTTCGCAGCAGCTTCAAAGCCTTGTCCGACGTTTCCCGCAAGTGTGCCATGCTTAAATACCCGCTTTCTTTAATAAATGTTAGTTTTTTCGCTAAAAAATAAAATTTAACACGATTCTAGCTAAATTGACTATCGATACTCCAATCAGCTGTTCGATATCATCCTAATTTTTCCAGCACTGTCTACACAGTGTTAGAAAACCGAAATACTTATCGTGGCTTGAAAAAGATAAAATAAAATAATAAATGTTGGCAATTTCATAGATTAAATTAAAAATCCGCCAAAATGACTTGTGGAGTATGTCGTGGACGCACAGACAATGGTATAAAGTGTCTCATAGCGGCGCTGGATACGATCAAAGAGCACGCCTTAAGTGAGTTAAGGTAAAGTTTTTTTAGGAACATAATTACAAATTTGTTTAATATAGTGATGCAGCGTGAGGCGGAGGAGAATGCCAAGACTATTGGAAACCTGCAAACTCATAATGAAACGCTGCAAGCTCATAATGAAAAGCTGCACAGGGCTGTGGATCTCCTAAAGGAACGTCAGGCCGTTCTCCATGATGACAAGCGACGTAAACTGTCGCCCAAGAAATCGAAGGAAGATATTTCACCACTTCCGCAAAGCCAGAGTTCACTGAACATGAATATAGCGCTCAACAGCATAGAGCTCTCTGACGAAGAACCAGAAGAGCAGGAGGAAGACGAAAGCATAGCGGAAACAGAGGCTCTGTCCACTGGCAGTCCTCGCAAGCTCTGCAAGCGGCTGCCTCATCGCAAGCCTGATGTTAGGAATTTGGAGAATGTGCAGCCCAACATCGTGACTAATGTGAACGAAACCTGGCTACGGAAGACCCCCAAGATGGTGACAAAGCTGTCACTGACGCACAGAGGTAGCAGCCAACAATTAAAGCAGACTCGACTCAAATTTGATGGTAGCAAGGCCAGTGGCAGCGACAAAGATGTGATAAAGGACAGTCCCAACCCAAGCCCCGCTTCGAAACGTGCCCCAGCCTCAAGCTCTTTGCTGCAAAGGTATTTATCGAATAATCGCATGTCTTTCCTTGTATAATTTCCAATGCAAAGCTTTCAGAACCGACACAGGCAACGCCTTAAACGAAGACAACTGCCTTTTGAGCAGGAGCAACATCAAAAACGTCGACCCTAGCTTTGACATGGTTGTAGATGAGTACAATGTGATCGGCAGTCCGCCTGTCGCCAGTCTTAAACTACCAGTAATGCCGCCACCTGTGACACCTCCACGCCTGAAGATGAACAGCTCAAGCGAGAGCGTGGTCATGCTCACTCCTGCCACACAGGACATAATTTTTGTGAATGATAGCAGCGAAGATATCAACAAAATTGGCACAATGGATGTTCTAGCTGAAATTATGAAGGACGACGACGATGCCTGCTCGTCTGCTTTGCTGCAGTACGAGCAGATATTGATGGACCAACAGAAACAGATTCAAACCAAACCACAAACAGTTCAGTTGGCTCTTCCATCAGCCAGAACCATTAAAAATGAACCAATAACACAGCAAATAGAAGGTCAAGGCAATGAATCAACACGACTTTCTGCAGATATTGAAAAATATATGATGGAGGAAGACAGCAAGGAATCTGAGGACGAGATTCCACGACCCATAATAGTAAAAGAGGAACCCCAATTGACAACAAAAGAGCGGTTCAACATAGAATGCGAGGAGTGCGAAAAGGTGAGTGCCACCCGCCCCACAACATATGTATTTCCATGTGGTATACATCATGTAAAGCCGGTCATTCTCTTTGCAGTTTATCAACTTTATGGGCTTCCATCTGAATGATGAAAAGATCAAACTCTATTTGAGTAAATGCAAACACTACAATGAACAAACATCGTCGCCGCCGGGCTTCTGGAATCCCCACATGGTTTCCTTTGCCGAAGACGATCCACGCAATGAGGTCTTAATCGACACACGCTTTAGAGACCAGCGACTAAAAAAATAACACTGGATGCATTCCGTTGAATTATCTGTATAATTCAATATATTTTTAGGTATCATTAGATATTCTCATAATTTACAAATTGCCGCGCTTCTCCTGCTCAATCTCGATGGCCGTGAACAAGGACTTGAAGTTGCCGGCTCCAAAGCCCTAAAACGATTGATTGGGTTAGAAACAAATTGCTCTTAGAATTATTAAATCAATAGTCTTACATTATGATTGTGGCGTTGAATGACCTCCAGGAAGAGGGTGGGTCTATCCTGGCAGTTCTTGGTGAAAATCTGCAGTAGGTAGCCGTTCTCATCAAAATCAATTAAAATATTCAATTTCTGTAGTATTTCCATGTCCTCCTTGATGGTGGTGCGACTGTGCGAGAGCTGCTCCTGCAGGATCTCGTAGTAGGAGGCCGGTATGGTGAGAAACTCGGTGCCACGTGCCCTCAGATTGCTCACCGCCTGGATAATATCATCCGTATTGAGGGCAATGTGCTGCACACCCGCACCGCCATAGTAGTCCACATACTCCTGAATCTGCGACTTCTTCTTGCCGTTGGCCGGCTCATTGATTGGCATTTTCACCGTCTCCTCGTAGTTGGCCATCACAATGGAGCGCAGAGCCGAGTACTCGGTATGGATTTGGGAGTCGTCCACAGACCAGAACCGATGGAACTGCAAAATCCTCTCGTACCAAGAGGCCACACTCTCCATCTGAAGATCGGGCTGATTGCCCACAACATGATCGATGAAGTTCAGCTTGGTCGCTGGCAAGTTCTTGGCCACAACATCCGGAGGCGAACGCAGGAAGCCTGGCAGAAAGTCCCCAGCATAACCATTGCGCTCCACAAAGGTGTGAGTGGTGTCTGCATACTAAATGACGAGTGTTCATGTACAACTCTCAGTGCGGATCAGCTTGCTCCACTTACCGTCTTGATGGTTGCAAATCTCACGAATCCATTGGCATCGCTCTCCTCCCAGATATCGCGCACCACTTCGGCACCTCTGGACACGGCCAGGGTAAAGATTGCATTCAAATCCTCCACTTCGAAGGCCACATCTTTGACGCCATCCCCATGGCGCATCAAGTGCAGTCCATGCTCGCGATCGTCCGGCGTATACGCCGAGACGAACACAAAGACAATCTTATTCTGGCGCACAGCATGCTTGGCGAAGCGTCGCTCCCCGGTCTCCAATCCCTGATAGCCAAGTGGTTCAAAGCCCAGACGGGTGGTATAGTAGCTGGCCGCCTGCTTGGCGTTACCAACGTAAAACGTTAAGTGGTCAAAGCTTAGGAATTTGCCGGCTTCAGGCTGAACAGAGTACAGGAAGGAGTTTTACTCTTAGCTTTCAGATAGGGAACTTTTAATGGGACTTACTTTGGTTCCTTTGTCAGTATAGCTGGTCTATTAGCAGAGCGGAAATAGAATGGGATAAATAGATTAGGGTATACAAATATTTACAATTTAAAAAGGTTCCAATCTCCTCTAGGCGGATAGCTAGTAGTTCTCTAGTACATAACCTGGGACTAAGAGCTGGTCCCAATATAACTTTCACGGTGTATTGCTCTTTCACTCAACAGAGATCACAAATATTCTTGAAAGGATCTATTAAAATATCCCCTCCTATATTCTATTTGCACATATCCACGTTAGTTCTTTTCTTATATAACACTTTTCACATTTACCATTATCACTCAGACTCAATTTATGCAAATCCTCTCCTCACACGCGATAAAGATTTCTACGTTCCGTTGATCTTACACGATCTACAAGTTGATTATGGCCTGAGCTCTGGCAAATCCAAGCTTTATATAGGGCCCCCATCGCTTCGACCAAAGTTGATCAGGTGAAAATCCTGTACTAATTTAAATAAAAGCCAAACTAGTATTTTGTTTATTTCAAATGCTATATATATCGGAATATCTTAGGTATCTGGCTGCTGTTGTTGTTGTTGTCATTGCTGTTTGCATATTTTAACGGAGATTGCAGAAATTTGTTTACTAGAACAGGTGGCGATGTTTTCTACTATAATGCCGATGATACTGAATTTATGCAATCAACAAACAATAATTGCGCTTAGCCAAAGTGGGACAGGCCTCCTCCAAGTTTCTTCTTATCCAGGCGGCTTCACAAAGGTTCTTCCAATTCCAAAAATTTCACTTCCTTTAACCCGTTGTACCCAGAAATATCACAAGCCATTATGCAAAATGTTTCATGTGCTATAGAACTCCCCTAAATATTCATGAGACGGCTGGCATGAACCGTGTTAGGTTCGGAGATCCACACGCCACAGTTGCCAAGTCACATTGAACTTGATTCGAGTTGCGAGCCCCCAAAACGTAACAACACATGGCCCGAACTGAGTGTTAATGTTAATCAGAGCTATTATTGTTATTGTTCCAGGGGGATAATGTGTATCGCTATGGCAGTTGTTTTGCATTTGAATTGCTTAGAAATGTTCTCAAAATAAGACTACGAAAACTGGTTACCCAAGCGCCAAGAAAGTTGCTTGTTTTTGCTTTGCTTTGGCACACGTTAGGCATAATTCAAACACTTTGTTTAGTTATGGCCTTAAATAGGTTATTAATTGTGGGTTTTAGCTGATTTCGATAGGAAATTGATTTAGATTTGTCGTATTTTTGAGACTTATGTTTATTCTAAAGGAGTTATACGAATTCAGTGAAGTTCTGAAGTTCCTCTTTGCTCCATCCCCATTGTATTTGACATAGGGCAGTTCTCTTTATCAACTAGATGACTGACGACCGATGTCAGGTGTTTGGCAACCATTCGACACACACATAAATTAAACGTTTCCCCTCCCATCAGCTTCGATTTATGCTTTCTGAGGGCTACTCTAAAAATACTAGAACACAAGGCGTATGAGCAATTCAGGCAGCTAAGCATTAATGATTTGCCCTAGACAAAGTCTCTGGCTGGCGACCAGCTAATGATGAACTGACAGTCCCCAAAAGAGGCAGGGGATGGGAATGGCAAAGTGGGGTGAGTATCGTGGATATGGTCTAGTGGCCATTGGCTGGAAGCCAAATCGATGCTTGACATTTATTATGATTGGCTTATTAGGGCGCAGCGGAGGCGATAACCCGCTAACATTTTGAAGGGAGGCTGTACACTTGTCGCTTGATTGTGCCAGATGTGGAGCAGTCCATTAAAATAATATGGATATTGAATAGATTCAGTTTATTCTGACATAACCATGGTAGGAATATCTAAAGATGTTTTACCATACAACCAAAAGTTCTAAACTATCCCTAAATCATATTACTGTCCCTCTGAACTGATATGCCCTCATTTATTTGTCCCCCACCCCATTGACTTTCTTGGCTCCGTGTATTGGTTCCGTTCCTCCTACACCTGTCACAACCTGAGCTGTTCCATTAGTCATAGAATCTTACCCACACCAGTCCCCTGTCCTATCCCAACAAAATACACTACCCCTGCTGCTGCATCTTCTAGACAAGAAGGGGATACACTCTCCACCAGACTTGCCATTAGCTAAACAAACTTTTGTCCTTGGCGAAAGAACGGTGGTTCTCTGCGTTCCCTCCTCGGGTTTGCTCACGGGTTGGTTGTTCGGGTTTGATGTGGGAAGCCTGTTGCATTGCTGGGAGAGCAGATTGGAGATTGCTCTCTCTCCCCCGTTGCTCTGGCACTCTCCCTTTGTTTCGCTGGCTCTCCACGCAGAGAGCCGAAGGACGACAGTATTGCCAGCATGGAAAAGTTTGTCTCTGTCTTAGGGGTTGCTTGTGGAAGGGCTTACGTTCGGGTCTGGTGACGCCTGGGCGGGCAAAGGACACGGCAGACAGGAGAAGGATATGAGTTTCTATTGTTGTTGCCATAGCCGCAAGCTGTCGCCGGTCTACGTCACGCTTTCCATCCTTCCTTCAGTCGCGTTTAATGCGCTTCCAAAACAACAGCCCCAGACACAGGCACCCACCAGGCACAGACACACCGAAAAAGACTACCGGACTCTCGGCTAAAAAACTAAATCACAAATCTGTTTGCACAACTTAAGTGGGTAACAACCAACTACCAAATTATTCATGTGTATTGTTATTATTCTATTAAAAAACGAACGAACGAAAAAAAAGACCCCCCCAAACGTACTTGAACTGTCGCTGGTTTTGTGTATAAATCTAAAAAAATCATTTGTCGCCATCTCTGTTTTTCGCCCCCAACCTAAGCCTCGTTGTTTTTTGTTGCTTCTGTGAAAATTTATGTTAAACTTTTTTTTTGTAAATATTGACAAATTTGTTCGTCTCGCTATGCGATTAAAATCTTTATGCTAAAAAACGATCCAAAAACACAAAATTGTTGGCCCCGAATACTGATAATTTTCGAGAGCGAGCAAAAATCCGCCCAAAGCACGACAACAAACTTTTAAAAATTACAACATAAACTATAGCAAAAAAAAAACAAAGACACACACTGAAAGGAATTTCTAGTTTGTGGAATTAAAAATAGTTTATAGATGATATTTTTGCGATTTTGTTGATTGATTGTTCGGTGTGAAAATTATCATAAATCTGAAATGGAAGTGCCGTTCTGTGAGGCTCGAAAACAGTGCTTCATAAACTGTTACAGTTCTAGGAGAACTGCCAGAACGAGTTTAATGCTTGGCGCGGCGAAAGGACAAAGTGTGTTTTAATGCAGCGTGGAATTCACAGAGCAGAGAGCGCGGTTCACTATCAAAGAGGGAGAGCGAGAAAGTAAGGGTAAAACGAAAAGGGCATTGTATACTGTACGTAAAGTGGAGAGAGCATTCGTTTCATAAGCAGTTATTCTCTCTATAGTAGCTGCTGCACTCTCGCATAGTTTCTCTCTCCTTATCAGTGCAATTCTTTGCCTCCCTTGCACTTTTCTGCAACTGAGAGTGGAGCTGAGCTGCTTTGCTCTCAAAGCAAAGTGTAAAGCAAACACAGTGATCAATCGAACGGGAGTCTAAGGGAGTATGGGTAGAGTAAAGACGATTCCATGTGCGCCTTTGTTTTACTGTTGTTGTAGAACATATTCCTCCACACACGCTAGAGATAGGATCTACTTCTGTCAGTTCCCCATTAAAGCCATCAAAATTGTTTTGATAAATATAAAACATTCTCTAGTACTTTATTTTCCATACATTTCGACCCTACATCGTTTTAGCCTAAAAGCTCTGTCTAAATCCAAATATTTGTATGCAAATTTGCGAATTAAATTCAGTTCGCGTGCCAGAACTCAATCGTCAAGCTTCGACAGGGCAGCCTTCTATTACATGCTTGCCATTTAGACGCGCCTTTGTGCGCTCATGTACTGTGTGCTGTGTGCTGAGAGGGGAAGTCCCTTATTATGACATTACCACGGGGAGCCGTTCCCGGCATGATTCACTTTCACCTTGACATGCTTTTGGCACAGCTCTTCTCTTGTCTCAATGTCCTTTATATTGCGGTAGCAAGGTATTAAGGTCTTTATGCCTGATGCCGTCATATAAATGATATTTCTGACGCTATTTACATGTCGACTTATAGTTTTAAGTATTGTGGTAGCTGAAACCACATCAACCAGAAGGAAACTACAATAACCGCCCCCACATATCTGATGGCAGAGCTACATTTAATAGTCTTGGGTAATTCTAGAAAGTAAAGTCCATAAAATTTCGCTTTCAAAACATGAAAATAGACGGGTTGTCCAGATTTACGATGCGGGGAGGGGAGTGCTAGAGACGGTGGGACGGACTATCCATAGCAGGTTGCAGTCCTACTAAATAAACAAAAGATTGCTTCGAAAACTTCTTCGCCACGTCGTTTATGTGAATTTCTATTTTATTTTTAAAACACACACAAAATTATGAAGACCCGAAAAGATTACAAACATATACGTATGCCTAGGTATATACATATGTATGTATGTATGTAGATGCAGGTTCTATATCTATTTAAAGGGATCACTTTTGGGGCATTTAGGTAGGCATAAATTATACAAATATTTCCATGCTTGTCAGATATTGTTTGTTCGGTATGCCAAGGTATGCTGTCCATTTGTTTGTGGTCTTTCTCGGGGGGATATGGTTCTGTTCTGCTTCATCTTTAACAAATTACTGCAGCTTATTAAGTGCCATATTATTAATGGAGCATGCATGATTCACAGATTACTTTTGATTGAATGTCTGTTGATAGCTGGCGCTAATCATTGGGTGGGAGGGAAGTGTAAATTGAGCGAATAATTTGTTTATAAACTGGAGGATGTTGGATGATCTCATAAACAATCATCCACTACTTTTCGTTACATAATTATGGAGTAGAGTAAGTGTTTTAGAACCATAATATGCACCTTTATGAAGTGTCTATGAAGGGCTATGAAAAATTCTGTAAATGTGTATGTGATATCATGAAGGGCTCCACAAGTTTTCGACCCCGTTTTTACAATATATTTTTATCTGGACAGGAATTTAGATAAGTGAGACTGACTATATGTTGACAATAAAAATATTTGCACTGTTCTTATATCAACATCTCATATCATCGCCATTTTGCAAAGCTGTTCCCACTTCGTATTATTCTCTTCAACCAATACCATCGATAAGGAATCTCTTGACTTGACTTCATTAAAGTATGTACCTTTAAATGCAACCAGCCGTCGGCATTTTCTCTTCATTCATGCGACGTCCGAATCGACGTCCGACCAGGCGAACCACGTCTACGTCCGCCTCTGCCAGTGGCCCGAGTGGTGGCGACGGCGACTGCGACTCGTAACGTTCAGAACGAATTTGCATAGGCTGAGAATCGGACGTGTGGCCCGTCGATCTTGATGCGAATACACCGCAGCGGTACGACAAATACTCATATGTATTATATTTTGTTCAGTTCGGTTCATTCCCGCCTCCTGTCGGCTGTGTGTGAAATCTGTAACTTTAATTTATGAGATGTGGAACCGTTGGATGGCTGCAGATAAATTATTCCCAAGAATACCAGGCATTTTTTAGTAAAGAGAATACAAATATCATCCAAATTTTAAAGTCATTTATCAGATGAAAGAAGGCAGGGGAAAATGCTGTGCAATAATTTGAAGTGGATATGTGGAAATACAACCAACAGAAATCTGTAAGATATGTGTGAAATGGCAACTAATGATAATAAATAAGGAAAAGTGTACTTACAAAATCCTATATCCTATCCTATTCTATCCAATAGATGTCGAGAAGTAGTGGCATAACAGAGATATAAAAAATATACGAGTAAATAAAATGATCATAAATAAAATGAGATTAAACAATAATAAAGTGAAGTTTTAAGTGCAGTTTTTGTCAAAGGGTCCAGAAATATTAAAAAATTAAAATATCCATGGCTAAACCCTTAAATAAAATAATAATCCTTGAAAATTATACAAATCTAATGGATTTGAATACAGAACATTGTCTCTTACCTTCAAATGGGTATATCTCTGCTCAAAAAAATCCTCTGTCGTACCCAATTACTCCAGCCAAAAGGAAATGAAATCTATAAAACAAAATAAAATAAAATAAATGCCAACAAACCAATCAGCTGTAAAGTGCATAAGACAAGACAAAAAGTTGCTCGTGTGGAAAACTAACGCGTACCGAAAACTGAACCATATACAATATATGTAACTCGAATCTATATTCAGATCACGACCGCATTTCTAACCCAAGTATTTGTTCTCCCCCGTGCATCCTCTCATGCCCAATCATGCGACTTATAGATCGTCTCCGATTGCTGCGCTGCGACTGCCACCACAACGACGCATCGACTAAGCCAAAATAAAACGCCAGTAAAATCCAACTAATTAATGTGATAATTGTGCAAAATAAGGCGAGCAAAAAGCAACATTAGTCACGTCACGATGTGGAACCAAGTGGAATGCAATGGATCTGCTGGGGAGAACTGCCTGTGCCACAGATTGCGGGGCGCGACTGAGAGATCTCACCATAGCGGAACAACAGCCCCGAGGGTCAGCCTGCCTTATCAGTCGAGCTCCACATTCCTGCTGCTATTGCTGCTGGCCATACTCTCCCTGAGCTGCACGCTGGCGGCGCCACAAACCTCCTGCATCATGTGCGACAAGGAGGATCTGCGGCCCCGCGTGCCGCCATACAGCGACAGCTACGAGGAGTTCACATTCGACCATCAGGTGTCCCAGCACGATGCCATGGAGGCGCTGCGAAAGTTCAATGAGAGTAAGCAGACCTCTCAGATCGGTTCAATATCAGCTCTGATCCGTCTGCTTTTAATTTCCAGCACATGGTCTCAGGAATGCCTGCAATACGGTCAAGTGTGATTCAAATGTCTTAAAATATTGCCTGGGAAATCAGGTAATTGTCCATACATTCCGAGTTAACGGAAGGAATGCTTCAATATAAACATTTGGCTTTCTTTCAGTTTATCAACGATCATTGTTGGTGCGAGCTGCAGCACAGAGAAGGTTAGTACGAGTATCAGTGCGAGTATTTACCCAAGAATGATATTTATGACTTGCCACAAGAGTCTCGGCACATGGCGCCCATGCAACAATAAACAAACTCTGCCACACAGTCTCTCACAGTGAACACCGTCGAGTGCCACTAACCCACTTGCAGCGGTGGAGGCAGAGGCAGAGGCAGACCCAGAGGCTGAGGCTAAGTCTGAGGCAGTAATCCAAAGAGCTTCATTAGCTCATTTTGTCCGAGTTTGGGGGTGGTGGCCCTTAACTAGCGGCCATCACGCAAGCCGCCGTTCAGATGACGCAACAGTTGGGTGGTGAGGAGCGAGGGAGGGGCGACCTAACCAAGCCACAAAACTGTCCCATGGTCTGGGATTTACTTGGGAGGAGAATGTGTTAATTGGAGTCAGAATAAGGTTGTTCTCTTCGCCTCTTAGCACGTGATGCGGTGCGGTGCGGAAGTTGTTAAGTCTGGTCCACTGATTTAACCGCAACCTAAAGCCGCTGCACGCTTCATTGCACTGCTTTGCATTAAGTACCTGAGTCAAGACAGTGAAGACTCAATAGAAGCTATTATAACTAGAACTAGGAATGAATTCAATGAATTCAATTCAGTTGGAAATTATTTTTAGGAAACAATATTGAATTTTTATAATATTCTTTAGGTTTTTAATTTGTTCCACACTAGCTGTGGGAATATACATATTTTTTTATATATTTTAGATGCATCACTTATAGCTGGTAGCCCCTGTAACCGGATTCTTTCGGCATTCCAAATGTCCAAGCGTCAGTTTATAATTCACTCTCTATAGTATTATTTGTTACTTTTCGATTTTTCCTCTTGTCTTGATGTGCATTCTGCCCGGAATGGTGGGGGAGACTTTTGTGGGTTCGGCGCTTAGATTGTCTACAGTTGAATGATTTTCTTCAAGGCGTGCACAGTTTTCCATTCCGCTGTATGTAGTTTTACTCTTCAAATGCACTCGCCTTTAAATTGTTTTGTGTTGTGTGCGCCTCACTCATTAAATTCAATTTTGTTCATTTTTCTTTATGTGCTTTGGGCTTATTAAGCATTTGAGTTGTTGGGCTGATAACTGGGCGAAGGTTTTCCAAACAGGGACAGCGACAATGAATGCATTTATTTTTGCACTAATACTACATTAATTGTATAATCAGGTATTCACTTATCAAATATTTATAAAACTTTGAGTTCTTAGAACCGCTATCAGCGGACAGTTGGACAAACGTGTAATTGGGGTTGTTACGCTCTTATTGGGTTTAAGGTATCATCCTAAAGCCCCAGTCACTTCCTCTGTTGTTTGCATCGGGGCCTCAGTTTATGAGTGTTCCCGAGTGCTGGCACTGACCTGTCTGAACTGAACCGATTCGGGCCTTATCTTTCGCTCTCAACAAGCTTATCGAGTGAAAAATCTCAGCCCTAACAAACACATTGACTGTTTCCAATGTACCTCAAAAATATATATTGCCACTTATTATATGTCTGTTTATGCAGCATTTTTTAACGGCTGAGCTGACGACTTTCCTTTAGTATTCCATAGGCAATTCCTCTTCCCATCGATGATGGGGAACGTGCCTGAAATTTCAATCAGAAAACACCTGCCCAGCGTTGGATGAATGAAATGCCTCTGGGTGGGTGGCTACGGACACAGACTAGACCCCCTCTGTCTCGATGACCATTGTTAGGTGCCGCTTATAGCACTCACAATTTGAATATTTCCATAATTTTACGCAATTAAATTGGACAGCTTTTTTTCTCCGCCTTGTTTTGTACGGGTATTTCAGGCACGCAAACACTTCCCCAATTATTGACATTGTCAATATTAATATAATTTTCGAATGTTGACGGATGAAATGTGATTCAAATTACTAAAAATCCAGTTTAAGGCATTAAATTATCACATAAATCAGTCTAATGTGAGAATAATGCCTTGTTTCAGTGCCGTCCAGAGTAATCAATCATTTCCAAATAGGTTTTTCCTACTCCAAACGATCTGTCGATTCGTATTTTAACCGCGATCGTCCTCGGCCCGTCAGCTGTCGCCAAAGATTAACAACAATTGCGAGCGCAATCACAAAATTGACACAACATATTACACTCCAGTCCGCCCCAATGTCTATTTGCATTAACTAATAATTATTTAATTGGATAAATATTTGCGACACGAACCAACAATATTCCGTATATATTCTCTATATGGGATGGATCGGGTCTGGGATGTTCTAATAAATGTAGACATGGAACTTCATAAAATTCAACACGTTGAGTTCCCATAAACAAATACGCCGCTCTAGTATAAACAGGCCAGCAGAACAACAGTGTTACGATCCGATCGAGAAACAATATGTTTCATATTTAGTCACTCGCCCTCGCATCCCTCCGTTTATATTTTGTTGAAAAATTGTGTGTGTTGATTTTTGTGCTGATTTTTGTGCCTCTCCATAAACATATTCTATTTTATTGGTTTCCGTTTCTACTCAAAGTGAAAAAGTTTCATAAATTTAATATCTAAATTAAGTGGTTTCCATTATAAATAGGTAAATACATTATTCCAAAATGGGAACAGCCATGAACAGAGCTGGAAAAACGAATATTTTTCCAAGCAGATTCCACTAAATAAATATACAATATTTAATATACATGATATACGCTTTTATGATTGGCATAGACAGCTGAGTACATACTCGTAAAGACCTAGGAATTATTCTTTTGGTTGTAGTATCGAATTTTGAAGGGTCGAAAATCTTACGAAAATGAGGTCAATCCTATGTGGAAGAGTGTTTTTTCCAATTACATATACATATTAAATCAAACTATTTGTTTTGTTTTTTACAGAGGGTCTGCCCTTTGTGCCTCACATATGCTATGCCGATGAAAAGGTTCATAGACCGTCCATTGGTTCCTGTTTCCTCTTCGACGAAGTCAAAGAATGCTGCTGTGCACCTGCCTGGGCCAAGAAGTGTAAGTACCAGCTATACTATGTAGATAAAGATTCGCTTGAATTCGAATGAGGCATCCATGGAGGTGCTGCCATCGTGTGTGGAATTACAATATCCAAAGCTGGATGCTAAATTTTATGCCACTCACACATGGACAGGGATTAACAAAGCAATGCTAACTTAATAATGTAAATATACTTTTTCAATGATTCGATTTCCACACGGCGCCTTCGATAAACAAACAAATACCAACAAAAATATCAGCAACAATAGTCAGCAAGATCAGCCAAGCCAATATTCCCTGCCCCTGCCCCTGCCACTGCGCACCCATTAGGTCCAAAATGGAATCATGCTAATTATATTTAGTTTAGAATGCTAATTGATATCGCTCACACAGTATTTGCTGCTGGGCCTCAGGAATCAGAGAGAGAGCGAGAGAGTTTTAAATCATAAAATATAGCTACGAATGAGGAGATTTGCCTTTACGAATTGGCAACTATAAATTTAAAAGGTTAATTAGCCTTGGCTGCAGTATATTGTTGCTGAGTAGTTTATAATACCAAAGAACTTGTTGAGCTTTTGAGCAGCTCCAGATTTCCCATAGAAAATAAACATAACACTTTCCGTAAATGGAGAGCTTCCTCGTAAATAGTATTGAAATTAGCAGATGGCCATTATACGTTTTCTCTACCATATCGAAACCACATTTCTGACATAACTTATAATATATGTATATATTTCCATTATTTCCAGGGCGACACATTTCGGGGAGTTCACGCAGCCAAAACACACCGAAAATACTAATAACTTTGCTGTTTGTATTCCGTTTACTCCACTGGATAAGCCGGAGAGGGCTAACTTGTTAAAGCTGGGAGGAGAGACATCGTTAGGGGATGGATGGATGGCGTGTGTACAATTTGTAAAAGATAGTCATAGTGATGTAGGATCTAGATGTAACACCATATTCGAATAAGTGTACTTAGTTCAAACAATGTCCAATGGAAATCAAACCTACTTGCTAAGCATACATATATTTAAGCGTTAATAAATACATTTTTATAGAGCTAACCGGCTGTAGTTAGCAATGTTTTGTGTGGAGCTTAGATGACTAAATAATGAAGCTGTAACTGCTAAACGCATAATTTAAAAAGGAAAACATGTCGACGAACAAAAATTACAAAAATAGTCTTTAGCACATGCCAGGCCTTCCCATTCGTCACTATCGCCAGCTATCATTCGCTTACGGGCTAAAATTAAGCTTAACTACTAAAAACGGTCCACTAAACCTCGAGTTCAGCAAGTCTATAGTCTCCTGGGTTCTATATGCTAGTACGACTGCTAAGCGTACGCTGCAAGGCATTCACACAGGACAGCACATCCTCGTAGTCCTTGGACCATTCGCGCAGATTGCGCTCCAGACTCTCCAGTCGTGTCTGGCCGAGGCGCATTCCGCCATGCTTGATGGCCGCATAACAGGAGCAGGCCAGCAATTTGAAGCATTGCCGACGCACGGCATTGTGTGCGTGGCTCTCCCAGTTGGGCGTAGTGGCCACACACTGCCAGGCCATGCTGACATAGTCGACCAGGGCGTCCCAGTGGGTGGCGTCGTGCAGGCGCTTTGCCTGCACTTGCAGCACTCGCTTAAATTCGTTGAGATGCATCGATGCCTTGGAATAGGCAGCCGCATCTGTTTTCTTGCACAGGCGAGAGGTGGGCAAAGATTTAAATATCAGCCGCTTGGCATATTGCAGCTCCTGCTCCAACGCACTGAAATGCAATCAGAGAAATAAGCAAAACAAAAACTAGAAATGAAACCGTGTCTAACGACCCACCTAATGTCTGGCGTGGGCAGCTGCCGTCGGAGTCGTTCCTCATCGCCAGCATTGTTTACATTGTTCACAATCAGCTCGATAAGTTGCTGCTGAGACAGACCCTGCAGCAGGGACGGTAATGCCACCTCGGTGTTTGTCTGGCCCACTGGGCGGTCATCCATCTTCAGCTTCTTCACGATGGGTGTGCCGGGCCAGAGCTGCTTGGTGAGATCGGATTTGATTTTAATCGGAGAGTTTGTCTCCATGGGCGTTGGCTCGGGTGGAGTACTGCCCATGGTCAGGCGCTTCCTTGGCGAGCTGCGCAAGATCATGCCGCTGGTCAACTGAAGGTTCTTTGTGGGCGTACGCTGGAATGGACTTCGCATCGAAGAGCCACCCGACCCACTGCCACCGCCATTGGGCTTGTCGGGCGAAAATGTCGTTGTGAAACGTCTTCGACCACGCTGGCGTATCACCAGCTCATCCGGGGAGGGCAGCGGCGAGAAAACAAAGTCCTGACCCTGCACCACATTCGCTTCGTTGTCCACACGCATTCCCAGGCCGCCTCCACCATTGGCATTCGGTGTGTTCACTATGGCCGCCGGGGTCGGTTCGTCTGGAGTGCGTCGATTGGCATTTGTCGGAGTATTCGCCATGCGCAGGGCCTCCAGACGATCGGGTATCTCGGCCAGCGCCATGCGAGTCTGCAGCGGTGTCGTCATTGTGGCTGCTGCGTAGTGTGGAGCGACAAAAAGGCATACACATTAAGATTGTATAAACAATTTCACAACACCCTACACCTGCCAGGAGCCCACATACCGATTGATATTTATTTCGTTGGGCACAGCTGGGTAAGCCTATTGATTGTGAAAATACCGTGTATGCTTTCCAATGGTTTTGTGTTGATTGGGAGTCTATCCTGGCGTCCCTCCTGCGAATGATTCTGTGATTTTTCGCTTATTTTTGTTTAAATTGCGCCAATTTGCACAAGGTGGCAGCACACTATAGCGGCGGGATAAAATCGATACATTTCTTTATACCGATAACTGCGTTTCATTATTTCATATATATATATATCGATATATGGATATATATCGATAAGTTTATATATCAAATATTTTGCACCCCTAATCTTTTCTTCTGGTAAATGGCGCGAAAAAGTTGTAAAAAATGTAAAATATGGAATTTATTCACAGCACATTGCTGAAAAATTCATTAAAACATGTCGTACATTCTGCAAGTGTTCTTATACACATAATATAATGGAGGAAATACAAAGAAATCTTTGGATTTTCGTTGCATCAAAAGCAGCACTGAACACGTGGTGCGCCGTGTGCACATGAAGACACGTTGGATCGCTGCTAGACATATCTTGAGGTAATTTAGAATATTCTTAATGAATTCCCCATTATATAGCAACTAAAATGATGACATCTACATACCTACATGCATCACCAATTTAGTTTATTAATTTGATCTTGTTTTATGTTTATAGGCTGTATTGCCGGCCACTATGGATCTTGCTCGATTTAACTTTATACACGTTTACGTGAGCGGCAGCGCAGCAGCCGAACACTTTTCTATGCACCTAAGATAAGGGCTTGCGGCGTGCTGTGCTGACCACTGGTGGTCTTAAGGTAAACACGATTTTCAATTAATTTGAGCCATATTCCCATAATGATGACAACTTCATACCAAACTCAGAGCAATTATGTTGAAATCCTATTTAACATGCATCACCATCTGATATAATCATCTATTATATAAGCTATATTTTGTACTTTCCTTTATTAATTTGCCATTTTTTATATTAACAGCCAGTGGTGACCGATGCCCGCGTCCGACCAGTATGGATTCATACTTCTAATGGTAATACCCCATTTTCCATTATTTAAAGCTCCACTTCCATAATGATGACATCTTCATACCAAACTCAGAGCAATTATGTTGAAATCCTATTAACATGCATCACCATCTGATCATAAATATAAAACATTAATTTCTTATTGAAGTGTACGATGATTTTAACATTTTCTTTTTATATTTTACAGACATTGTAAGCGCTGGTCCTGAAGTAATTGCATCGAACCATCCGTCTGAAGGTAAAAAATCATTGCCGATTATTTCGAACAAGTATTAGTATTCCCATAATGATGACAACTTCATACCAAACTCAGAGCAAATATGTTGAAATCCTATTAACATGCATCACCATCTGATCACATAATTAGCACATTAATTTCTTATTGAAGTGTACGATGATTTTAACATTTTCTTTTTATATTTTACAGACATTGTAAGCGCTGGTCCTGAAGTAATTGGATCGAACCATCCGTCTGAAGGTAAAAAATCATTCCCGATTATTTCGAACAAGTATTAGTATTCCCATAATGATGACAACTTCATACCAAACTCAGAGCAATTATGTTGAAATCCTATTAACATGCATCACCATCTGATCACATAATTAGCACATTAATTTCTTATTGAAGTGTACGATGATTTTAACATTTTCTTTTTATATTTTACAGACATTGTAAGCGCTGGTCCTGAAGTAATTGGATCGAACCATCCGTCTGAAGGTAAAAAATCATTCCCGATTATTTCGAACAAGTATTAGTATTCCCATAATGATGACAACTTCATACCAAACTCAGAGCAAATATGTTGAAATCCTATTAACATGCATCACCATCTGATCACATAATTAGCACATTAATTTCTTATTGAAGTGTACGATGATTTTAACATTTTCTTTTTATATTTTACAGACATTGTAAGCGCTGGTCCTGAAGTAATTGGATCGAACCATCCGTCTGAAGGTAAAAAATCATTCCCGATTATTTCGAACAAGTATTAGTATTCCCATAATGATGACAACTTCATACCAAACTCAGAGCAATTATGTTGAAATCCTATTAACATGCATCACCATCTGATATAATCATCTATTATATAAGCTATATTTTGTACTTTCCTTTATTAATTTGCCATTTTTTACATTAACAGCCAGTGGTGACCGATGCCCGCGTCCGACCAGTATGGATTCATACTTCTAATGGTAATCCCCTCCCCATTTTCATTTTTAAAGCTCCACTTCCATAATGATGACATCTTCATACCAAACTCAGAGCAATTATGTTGAAATCCTATTAACATGCATCACCATCTGATCATAAATATAAAACATTAATTTCTTATTGAAGTGTACGATGATTTTAACATTTTCTTTTTATATTTTACAGACATTGTAAGCGCTGGTCCTGAAGTAATTGGATCGAACCATCCGTCTGAAGGTAAAAAATCATTCCCGATTATTTCGAACAAGTATTAGTATTCCCATAATGATGACAACTTCATACCAAACTCAGAGCAATTATGTTGAAATCCTATTAACATGCATCACCATCTGATCACATAGATTATAATCTACAGTCCTTTATTTATAATTTGGTATTAATTTCCTGTTTTATATTTTTCAGGCAATCTAAAGCGGTGCACGTAGAGCAACAATTGGACGTCTTCCGTTGATAGACGGGGGAATAAATATGTAAAATAAAGTTTTTATTTAAATATACATAATAAATCAATATTTTAATTGTCTATATCAAAGATCTTAACAAACTGTTTAACACGCTCGCTCTCTTAGAGCCTCCACAACAATAAAAAGCTGAGCAAGATGATCCCCTTCTTGTTGAATCGATTCCAGCTGCCCGTACTTTCCGAATCGGGGGGAATGCCGCCGTAGAACACCTCCTTGTGGGCTGCTTTTCTCACTGCAGCGCCACCATTGAAGTCGCGCTTCTTCTTAAAGCTCTCGTAGTACCAGTCCATGCCATCCTTGCGATCCTGCCGATCCACTTGCAGCAGCTCCAGCTCTGTGCGCTTCTGGGCCGTTAGCTGATGCTCGCTGGCCAGGCCCTCGTTGTCCCCACTGGGCGTGGTGCGCTGGTATTCCTCCGCTGTGGGCTGAGCCCCTTGTGGCTGGTGCGGAGTATAGACCTTCGTGATGGTGGATCGCCCTCCGCTCCGCAATGGAGGTGGCGGCGCGGGCGGTGGCACTGTGCTTGTCGATCGCACTGGCGTGGCCTGGTAGTCACTGAGGCTCTGTGGTGTTGTCGTCGTCACCCAGGAGTGGCTCTTGATCTGAGCCACATGCTCCTCGGCTGGGGGAATCAGCAGAATCGTCTCTGCCGTCGTTGTCTGCACCAGTGGAGGAGGGCGTAGCAAGGTCACAGACTGCGCCTCCAAATCATCGTCATCGTAGTGGGAGTCCAGTTGCTCCTGCTCCTGCTCGCTGCTCGAGGAGGAATCGTTAACAATGGGGGGCTCAGTGGTGCTGGTGGTGCTGGTAGTCCTAGCAGTGGTTGTTGTGGGCCTCGTTGTGGTTGTTGGTCGCGCGGTGGTCGCTGCTCTTGTGCTCTGGATGAGCGGAACTATGGTGGTCACATCGGGCGTCATCTCGGTGACATCATACGTGGCCGATTCGACACTCTCCACACCATTGGGAGTGGGTCTCGGGCGGGGATACACGGAAATGGGCGAAAAGTTACGCTCGGCCTTGGCCTGAACCGGCTCCGGATGCTTTCCTGTGACGTTGACAGACTCCACAAGACCGCGTCGCTGCTGCGGATCATGGACGGGCATGAAGCCACCCACATGGGGCGGCACAATGGGTCGAAAGCCTCCGCGTTCGATGCTCGACGGTTCCCGGAAGGTTGTGCGGAAAACTCCGGCTGTTGTGGCCGCCCCACCGCTCTCATTACTCAGTGCCTCCTCGGCCGAGTTGGTGGTGGTGTCCACTTCCATGTAGCGATTTCTGGCCACATTCTGCTGCTGCTGCTGCTCCTTCAGATACTTCTCGAACTCCGCACTGTTGGGCTGGTACATTCGCGTCTTGCCCCGCCCGCTGGGCAGGTTGATGCTGGCCATCCGATGCGTGGCCGGCATCTCGGCCTCGTTCCCATCCGTTCGCTGCCTGCGACCGCGATCTCCAAAGCCAAAGAAGCGTCCCAGACTCACACTGGGAATCGGATAGCCAAAGAAGGTGAAGGGGGAACCGCCAGCTCCCGCCTGTGGACGCCTGTTGAAGTATTTGGTGTGGAGCAGTGTGTTGTTCAGGTCAATGTTGCTGTTGAGTGTGGGCACGGGAATGGGCTTCGGGCGCTGCGAGGTGCTCAGCACTGTGTTGGCCGCATCCGGCGTGTCTGTGGAGTCCACATACTGTTCGTAGAAGTACTCGCTCTCCCCCACCATGGGCCGGTCGCCGGGCTGCCTGGTGGCCTCGAACACCTCACACTCGTCGGTGAATTCCTCGGGCAGGTCCCGCTGGAAGACATCGCCGTGCTCGTTGAGCAGCGGCAGGTGATTGGCCTCTGTCCGTTCACTGTTGGTGAACACATCCGCGCCCGCACACAAGCTGCGCTCCATGCGGGCAGCCCTCAGGAGGCGACCATCCTGGCACTTGGGTCCGGGATACGGGAAGTTGGTTTCCTGCAGCCAAACCGAAAGCCACTGCATCTCGCAGTTGCAGTCAATGGGATTGCCTGCGATATAGTACAGCCAAAGATTGATTTGGGTTTCAGTTGCATGTTAGACAGGCTCTTACCGTCCACATCCAAGATGGCTATGTTCCCTCTGAGGTTCCGGAAGGTGCGCTCCTTGATGCTTCTCAGCTGATTGTTTCGCATGGAGAGTACCCGCAGCCTGGGCATCGTCTCAAAGGGAGCACCCTGCAACGGAAAGAGTATCAAAATGGTGTCTATAGTTGGATCTTAATTCGAGCAGAGGGTAGGTACAATGAGGGGAGAAGGGGAATCCCACCTGTATTCGACATATCTGATTGTTATCCATTTTCAGTTCCACCAACCAATTGAGCGCCTTCAGGGGCATTGTCGAGACCAGCTTGACCCCATTGGCGGACAGGTCGAGGACCTCCAGGTTGCGCATGCTCCGCAGACCAATGTTCTCCATATTCCTGAAGTGATTGTTGGACAGATTCAGGAACACCAGGGAGTTGGCATTGTGGAAGCTCTCCGGCGAGATGTAGCGCAGCTTGTTGTACTGGAAGTGGGAGGCCAGCAGGCTGGGTAGCTCCTCGAAGACGTGATCCTTCAGCTCCACCAGCTTGTTGTCTGCGAGGACGAACTCCTGCAGCTCGTCGAGACCCTTGAGGGCGCCTGGCTCGACACTCCTGATCTCGTTGCTGCTCAGATCCAGGTACTGTAGCTTTGGCAGGTTCCGGAAGGTGCCCTGCTGCAGTTCCACGATGAGATTGTTGGACAATCGAATCTCGACCACGTTGCGCCAGCCCCCAATCACATCGGACTGGACACGCGAGATCTGATTGTAGCTCAGGTCAATGTCCCGCAGGCTGTGCAGATTGCCCAGGCCCACCGATATGTCCAGCAGCCCATTGCCGGACAGGTCGAGGTACTCCAGAGATCTCTGCGTATCAAAAGCCGTCGGGGAGATGCTGCGTATGAGGTTGCGGGACAGATCCAGCTGCTCCAGGCGACTGTTGTTCGAGAAGAAGTTGTCGGTGATGGCCTCCAGTTTGTTCGACTGCAGATTCAGATTCCGCAGCTCCGCGAGGGGCAGCAGGGCCCGCTCATCGGCCTCGCCCAGCTGGTTCTCTTGCAGATGGAGCAACTCCAGCCGCTGGATGCCTATGAAGGAGGTGTCCTCCAGCTGGCGCAGCTGGTTCTGGGCCAGACTCAGGACCCGCAGTTGGCCGGCGCCCTCAAAGCCGTGCCTGGGCAGCTGCTCGATGCGGTTCTGGCTGAGATCGAGCATGCGCAGGTTGGGCAGCTGCAGGGCCTTGCTGGCCGCGGCGGGTAGAGATCCGATTTCGTTGCCCTTCAGGGAGATGCGTTCCACAATCCGTGGCAGGCCCGCAATCACCGCTGACAGCTGGTTAAAGCTGGCATCGACCTCGAACAGCCGTTCCAGGTGAAGCAGCGTGGAGGAGTGAATCTTGGTCAGCCCATTGGAGGATATGTTGAGGGTTTCCAGCAGGGGATTGTGCCGAAAACTGTTTGGAGCCAGCTCCCTCAGTCCATTCTCGCTGAGATCGAGCCGCCGCAGCGAAGGCAGTCCCGCCAGCAGCTGGGAATCCACTCGTACAAACTGATTCTGAGCCAGGTCGAGGCCCTTGAGACCGGGCAGGTTCCAGAACGGCAGCGGCAGATCGGACGAGAGACTGTTGTTGCGCATGCGCAGCTCTCTCAGGGCGGGCATGGCCATCAGGGCGTCCCGCTCAATCAGCCTCAGCTGGTTGTTGTTCAGGTGCAGCTGCTCCAAGGTGCCGTGACCCCGCAGCGAGCCATAGGGCAGATCACTCAACAGATTGCCACTCATGTCGAGGTAGCGCAGCGTGGGCAGGGCGTCGAGCAGAGCTCTCAAGGCCTCCACATGGCCAATCTCATTGTTGTAGATGTGGACGGCCTCCACGCCACTGCCACTGGCCTGGAGCAGCGACTCCGGATGTATGCGCCGGATGAGGTTGTTCTGCAGATAGATTGTCTTCAGCTGCGGCGTGCCCAGGAAGGCGCCGTACTGCAGCTCGGTGATGCGGTTGTCGTTCAGATGCATCTCCGACAGATTGGGCAGATCCACAAACGACCCGTCCTCGATGACATTGATGATGTTGTGGTCCAATCGCAGCTTCTTCAGGTGCTCCAAGTCCTTGACAATGCGCCCGACCATGCCCACGTCGCTGATCTGATTGTGGGACAACTTGAGGCTGACCAGATTGGGTAAGCGGGTGAGGGCCCGCAGGTGGATCCAGTTGAGTCCGTTGTGCGAGAGATCCAGGTTCTTCAGGGAGATCAGACCATCGAAAAGACCCGCCTCGAGTCGCGTCAGACCCGAACCGCCAGTGATGTGGATGTGCTGCAGCTTGGGCAGATGCCGGAAGATGTGGGGCGCCAGCTCCTGCAGGGATCCCGTCTGCACACTCAGGTACGTGAGGCTGAGCAGACCCGAGAAGTCCGGCAGATGCTTCAGCTCGTCGCTCTGTATGGTTATGGCCAGCATATTGATCATGCCGTTGAGACTCTCCGCGGGAATGCTGCGCAGCTGCGGCTCCACAATGAAGATCTCCACCAGGCTGTTCTCGAGCTCGTTCAGCCAGCCATTGGACACCCGTTCGATGCTGTTGTAGCGCAGCATCAGGCGCACAATCTGCAGGTTGCCAAAGAAGCGTCCCGGCAGTGCCGGCAGCTGATTGTTCTCCAGCACCAGCTCATCAATTTTACTCTTTATATTCCGCTCCACGGCCTTCAGGCCGTCCATCACTTGGGGCAGGTTGCTGTGCGAGCACCTGATAAAAAAAAGGGGGCGGATCTTGAAGCTGGAGCAGGCCGTTCTTTTGGGTTTCACTCACCATATCTGTATCTCCTTTCCACGCAGCGAACAGCGGCAGGGCAGGATAGCCTGAGAGGGCGGGCAGCTGTCGGCTCTGCTCAGCAACGACCCGGCACAGAGCAACAGGATGATTTGGAGTATCATCGTCATCATACATTAATGGATTAGACCATGGGTGAAGTGGGCTGCTGGAGGCCAATCTGGCGCATAGCTGTGCATGGGAAGGAGAAAGAAATCTGAGATTGTAGCAGATCTATTAAGCTAACTCCCTAAGAACTGCATTCTGGGGATACATTGCATCCATTCCTTACAGTCCCCTCGTTACTATGAACAAAATGGGACAATCTGAAAGGCAAAACCAACGCCAATCGGCAGTGACGGAGTCGTCATTGTATATCAATGGTATTTAGCAGACGAAATTGATTGAATTAAATATAAACTATGTTTTACAATGGCCAAGGGTGCAGCCGAACTGTTGACTGGGGAATCAGACCCCCCCGTTGGTGGCTATATCGGTGGTGGCTGCGAGGTAGCAGGTGCTCGTACGCCATAAATCAGGGAGCAGTAAGGGTGTTCTATCAGCAGATAAGACCACCCGCTCGAACTATATATACGGTGGCTTCACGGTCAGTCGGTCAGCAAACCCCTGAGGTCTCTATTGATATCAGCATGGGTCCCATCGTGTACGCTTTGCTGTTCAGTCTGGCCGCCGCTGGCGTGGTCAGCGCCGGGAAGTCCGAGTTCTGTTTGAGTGAGATCGTGAGGTCGGACGAGCGCATCCGATCCCATGGCTATCCCGGCGAGGCTCACACAGTCATCACCGAGGATGGCTATGAGCTGACCCTCTTCCGCATCCCCTACTCGCCCAAGCTGAACAACCAGAACGAGAAGCGCCCCCCCGTCCTCCTGCAGCACGGCCTGTTCAGCAACTCGGACTGTTTCCTCTGCTCCGGACCGGACAACTCCCTGGCCTACCTGCTGGCCGATGCCGGCTACGATGTCTGGCTGGGCAATGCCCGCGGCAACATCTACTCGAGGGTCAACGGCCAGATCTCGCTCAACAGCTACAAGTTCTGGCACTTCGACTGGCACGAGATCGGCACCATTGACATTGCCGCCATGATCGACTACATCCTCGAAGAGACCGACGCCACCAAGGTGCACTACGCTGGCCACTCCCAGGGCACCACCGTCTATATGGTGCTGCTCTCCGAGCGTCCCGAGTACAACGACAAGATCGCGACGGGCCACCTGCTGGCTCCGTGCGCCTTCTTCGAGCACGGCACCTCGTTCGTCTTCAACGCACTGGGACCCTTGGTGGGCACCCCCGGCGGCATTTGGAACCAGCTGTTGGTGGACACCGAGCTGATACCCCATAACAATCTGGTCAATCGCCTGGTGGACAATGGCTGCCACATCTCCGACGCAATCTGCAACAATGCCTTCATTATGTTCGCCAATGGTGGCTACGAGAATGCCAATGCTGTAAGCCATGCGGAATACGCGTACCATGCCGAAACATTCATTTCTTAACTGTTCCATCGGTTCCTTCCAGAGCTCTATGAAAGTGCTGGTTGAGACGCATCCGGCTGGATCCTCCAGCAACCAGGGCATCCACTACTTGCAGCTGTGGGCATCCCACACGTTCCGTCAGTACGATTGGGGCACGAAGAAGAACAAGGAAATCTACGGCCAGGAGCTGCCCCCCGAATACGATCTGGGCAAGATCACTGCCCAAACACACTCCTATTCGAGCCACAACGACGCCCTCTGCGGACCCGAGGACGTGGACACCCTGGTCTCCAAGTTCCCCCACCTGACAGAGGACCATCGTGTGCCCGTCCAGAGCTTCAACCACTTGGACTTTATCATTGCCAAGAACATGAAGGAGCTGATCAACGATCCGATCATCGAGCGCATCAACAAGTACGAGGGTCGCTAGACATGACCCCAAAATAAATACAATCGCAAATGCATTTTAATATATAATCGTGCTATTATCTGGATGGGTTGGGTCTGTCTCGAGTGCAAGTGCCACTAAAGAGCTTTATTTAAATTTACTGTCGGATTTACTACCTAATCAATCGATTAGATACGGCCTTCAAACAATCCCTCACCTGGCCGAAGGAGGGGCCTTCCCTCGTTAACGTTAACTGTTTGTCTGGCAAGATTTGATTCAATTTGGTTGTTTAAATTAGTTGGAAATCGCTGATCAACTCTCAAGATTCGTTGTGTGGCAACATACCTCATTGACAGCGGATAAGCGGATAAGATACGCCCCACAAACAGTACTTGTGACAAGGAAGTGTTTTTCCCATGGGAATAATCGCAATGTAATTTATTTTCATATTATTTCATATTTAAAATGGCTTAAGTACTTTTTAAAAGTAATTTTCCATCAGCTGGAACACTCATAATCAAAGGATTTGATTTGATTTGTTTATCTACAGGTAACAACGAATGCCAGGTGTTCCAGTCAACAATTTGAATTTGTTTTAATTTAATATTAACGATAAGAATATGATCAACGATAAATATAATTTATTGTAGATCTATAAACTCAAATTTAAATATAGAAATTGCACACCTGCATGAACACTACGACTATTCACAAATGAATTGAACTCCAATTGGACTCTTTTGCACAACATCGTACCATTACTGGTACTTCCTCTTTTCCATACATCCATCCATCTTTAGATGCTCTTCTAACGCCTCATAAAGTTTGTTCAGTTCATTTTGTGGTCAGGTCGTACGACAGGAAGTTGTGCGAGCGAACGCTCTCTTGTGCAATAGACCCCCAAATGACTCGTCTGGTCTGGTCGGGTCTGGTCTTTTCTTGTCTCTATAACGTATAGACATTATATCCATCCATAGTAGAGCTATCTAAAGCCACATCCCCCCCATGCAACTGCGCAACTCCAACCGAAAAAAAAAAGAAACTTTTTTGCGCCAAGAAGCGTAACATGGCTTTTCAACGAAAATTTTGTAATCATTTAACAAAAAAAACAAGCAGTAGCAGAAGGCAGAAGGCAGAGCAGAGTGAAATAAAAGAAGCAGCTGCAAAATACAGCTGGAATACGAGTGAAACGAAAACCGCTGCTAGAGCCCGGATTCAGCGTCAGCTTCTACGCATGCGCAGCGGAGTTTACATCAAACGAACCTTGAAATTATTGTCGTTTTCATCATTGTTTGGGTCTATGTATCTGTATCTGTATCTGCAGCAGTACCTCAGTATCTGTAGCTGTATCTATCTGTATCTGTGTGTAATTTCTTTGGCAGACTTTGCATTGCACGCCTTGGAGTCACACTAAGTACCCGAAGTACCCGCCCGCCCGGCCATCCCAATGGAGATCTCTGGCGACAATTTCACCAGCATTTGCTTGGCTCCAGTCTGCTCTGATTTCTTTTGAGTCGTCTCCCTCTCTATCTCTATCTCTCCCTCTCTGGGACGGGACTATCTCTCCTAATTAAGTAACTGTTTGGTTCTACAAACGGTTCTTTCGTCAAATGAATTTAGATTTAGGTGGTTTAGATAGATAGATGTGTAGGTTCAGGTTTTATGCATGGGTTAAGTTAATGGAACTCACCAATTTGGGTTAGGAAAGTCAAAGAATTAACTTTAAGCAATTTGGAAAAGTAAAAGACAAAAAAGGAAATGCCAGCTCTTAGTACTGATTTATTCCTTAAAAATACATCAACCATTAAAATTAAAAAATGTATGCAATCATTTAAGGTGTTCGCCCTTCTAATCAATAGACAATCCTTCTTTTCCTTCGAAACTTACTCAATTTAAACAGTATCCAATTAAATATTAAATAGCCTTGTTATAAATTTATTATTTTTTAACACAAATATGTGACTCAATGTAAAATTCACTTGAATAATTCACAATTCTGTAAGCACTTGAGTTAACATACTTCTTTCACAAACTTTGTGAAAATTCCAGGGAAATTTTAATAATATCCCTTAGACAATTTTTAAACTATTTTCATTTAAAGCCCTCTGGCCTCATTCGAATTTAAATCACTTTCCAGCGCACTTTTGCTTTTCGTTAATGAATGAATATCCATTAAATTAATTAACAAACTTCCCTTGGCATTTATTGGGGAGTGTTGCTGACGCGGAGGAGTTTCTAAGCCGAACCGTCTCGTTTGGAATGCACGCGAAAACTGTTTATGCTGGAAATAAAAATGTTATAGCCCAACAGATTACTCAAGATTTCTACAAAAAATGTTGGCTTGAGCGTGCCAAGTGGGGGAGTAAGTGCCTCAGACACAGAGAGGGCTTCCTGCCTGTGCAAGTGGAGTTGGATTCCACTTTTGGCGCCACACTTGGCTGATTCTCACTCACTTCTCTGGGGAGAAGATACAGTACAGTATTGTGCGAGTATGGGTAGTGGATGGAATTGTGGATCGTGGGGCGGAGGTGAACTGTGACCACAGCTCAGAGGTCGCTCTTTAGGGGATTGGGCTAGGCCCTGGTCATGTCTCTGCCCCTCTGGGTGAGGCTCGGGCAGAGTCTCTCGGGTGTTTTATGTGTTGTTTATAATGAAATTGCAAGTGAAATGACTGCTATTAAATGGGGAAATTGTTTGTGCAAATGAAGGCCAAGAGAACCGAGTTTTAAAATTGTTGCAAGAAGGTTCGAGGGTTGCCCAGACAGGCCAGCAAGAATCTTTACTTAAGATGAAACAATATTTTGATAGTTGATCTTCCGGAAAGCTGCCTGAAGATTTTACGCTTTTACTTGGAGCGAGGCAATAATTAATGGAAATCCTTCACATACTTCTATCCTATGCCACTTTCGGTTTTAACTTTCATCTGACAACAGTTTCAGTGATTTCCTTGGCTCCATGGGCTGTGGGTCTCACTTTTTCTAAATCAAATTAAAGGCCTCATAAAGCGCTTAAATCATCAGCTTTTTTTGATGGGATTACATAAAGAGTCGCCAGTTTTTGTGCTGTTGGTGCTGTTGGCTGCCACATACTACTGGCACTCTCCGTTTCTTGTCTTCCGAGACGCTTCGCTGGACAAGGCACAATCGTACACAACAGCATAACGCTTCCCTAATATATTTAATTTGTTTCACGATTTGTTTCTTTCACTTTTTGTCGCCTGTGGGCTGCAGGGAAAGGCTGATGGGAAAAGGCAGGGGATGAAATTCTCAGCTGTTTTCCACAGACATGGAAAACAAATAATATTTTTAGTTCTATATGCCATAATATTTACTCGATTCACCTTATGCAAAAATCGTCTACTCGCACGTCAGGCAGTGGAATAATTACGAATCTCAAGGTCCCCCCCCCATTGCTGGTGGTAGTCTGGACAGCAACCTGTAGAACACGAGATGATAAGCTTTCGGGACGGAAAATGATTCCCAATGATTGCCAATCCATTGCACTTTACTATCTGAACACTACACGTGTCTGAGTGTCTGAGTGTCCGAGTGTCTGAGTCTGGATTCCAGTGGCTATTACACTAATTTGAAGCCAGGAGGTAACCTCCAGGGGTCTCGACCCCCAATGAAATTCAATTTCTCATTCAAGGTTATTTTGATTTCGCAGTGTTGGGCTTAGATTTGAGCACAAAAGAATTAATTTAGAGCTACAGTGAACGATCTCTGGGCGAACATCTTATTTTTGGGCGGCGATAAATACATACACAATAAATATACTTATTTAATTAAGTTACGTTTATGATAAATATCATTCCAATACTGGGAGCATCTGAATTTGGTTGGGTATATATTTTTGGTCCCTTTGAATGTCATTGATCCATTTATTACACCCATTCAATTTGAATATATTTCTTATTAATAATAAAAATATTTTAGATATATTTAAATTAAATATTTGAACATTTCTACAAATTTAATATATTTAATTTAAGTTTTATATTTTATCAAAGTGTATTCTATTTAATTTCTCTGTGGTTGTATTTAAAACCGAATATTTATGCCATTTATCCCGCAGTGGTGCAACATTATACCCCCAAAAAAAGAGGGGCTTGTCCTGGTGGCACGGCACTCATCCACAAGGCACCATATAAGTGGGAAGCAGTGCTTGCATAACATATGTACACAATATGTACGCAGTCAAACAGATTTAGACTTGCCGAGAGCGATCGAAAAGGAAACCAGCCCATCATCCAACGCAACTGAATTGTTGTTGTCAATTGCCAGGCCTCCTCACTGTCTCTCACTGTCTCTCTCTCTCTCTCTGTCTGACTCTCTGTCGGGCAGCTTTCGTTTTTTATTGAATTAGACGCCACAAAACAAAATCTTTGCTCCATGGCGACAGCTCCCCTTTAATAAGCAAGCTGTTCCCCCCACAAACACCATATACCATGCCATGCCATGCCACATACAAGTCATCATGAATTTGACTGGCTGCCAAATGCTGCTCCGTAGTACGAGTAACACTCAGAGTAAACTATGCCAAACGACGACTGCGAATCGGGATGCCATGCTCCGAGTGTGCTCACGCGATACACATACATACCATATACGAAAAACATATAGCGGAAATGAGACAGAGTACGGGTCCGTTGGCGGGCCTGCTGAAAAATATTTTGCAAATTTCGAAATCAGTTGGAAATTGTCATTCGCACGTCGCTGTGCTGTGCGCGTCTCTGTCTCTGCCCACGAACTGAACACGGAAAATAGAACCGGAAAATGTTTCGCAAATTTGTAGCCAGCGTGGCCCTGGCCCCGCTACCAAGGATTACTCCTGCCGGGCAGCTGGCCGGACTCAGTCAGAATCGTAGGATGCATCAGGCACCGGACAAGTCAAGACCCCCCAAAGTACTCATCACAGGTCAGTGGACTGCGCCACGTGCTGGGTTTTTGTGTTCTGAAATAGTCGTACATATGTATATCGCGGGGCCGCGTTTTCAAGGCCAAGCTAATAAACAGCTGTTGAATATCCATATATATATTTGCATATGTATTTCTGTCAAAAGGTGGCCTCGGGCAGCTGGGCATCGAGTGTGCCAAGCTGCTGCGCTCACAATATGGCAGCGAGAACGTGATCCTCTCGGACATAATCAAGCCCAGCCAGGCGGTGCTGGAGAATGGCCCCTACATATTTGCGGACATCCTGGACTTCAAGGGCCTGCAGAAGATTGTTGTCAATCATCGCATCGACTGGCTGATACACTTCTCGGCCCTGCTCAGTGCCGTGGGTGAGCAGAATGTGCCCCTGGCCGTGAGGTGAGCTCTGGAGAGAGGAATCCCCTGTGCATTCTTTTAACCCCCCCCCCCCTTGTGTAGGGTCAACATTGAGGGTGTTCACAATGTCATTGAGCTGGCCAAGCAATACAAGCTGCGGATCTTTGTGCCGAGCACCATTGGTGCCTTTGGGCCCGACAGTCCACGCAATCCCACGCCCAATATTACGGTAGGAGCAAAACTATTCCCTGCACAAATGTTTGTTCGATATTTATGTTGCCCCTCCTTGCAGATACAACGTCCCCGCACCATTTATGGCGTTTCCAAGGTGCATGCCGAACTAATTGGCGAATATTATTATCATAAATTTGGCCTGGACTTTAGATGTTTGCGCTTCCCTGGCGTCATCTCCAGCGATCCACCGGGTGGCGGTACCACAGGTATGGCATGGTATTTCCTGGAGAAATTCATCCATTCATCTCAATCAATGCGAAATTATGTTCGAGTTACTTTCCCCTTTGCCGTCTGAACTGTGTCGTCTGTGAGCGCACTTCAAGCTTTACTTAATGCAATTTAACAACATAATACGCCGCAATTGCTGATCATTTAGGGTAATCAAATGGCTTGACAATTGCATTATTTATTATACTGCAGAGTAAAAGGCAGGGCAAGGGGGAAATACCTGTTGACCCATTAAGCTATTGACTCACTTACATAGTATGGGTATTATCTTTGATTGATGATTCCAAAGCATAATTAAGGTAAATGCAAAACAAGTAAAAGGGAGATATCTAATATCTACTTATATTATTATTCAGAGTTTAAAATCTGGTGAATAACAGAGGTTATCCTCGATGTTCGGGAGTGAAAGTACAAAATGATGTTGCATACTTATTTGGAGCCAAATAATTATTTCCCCTTGCAGACTATGCCGTGGCCGTGTTCCATGAGGCCTTGCGCTTTGGCAAATACACCTGCTATTTGCGTCCCGACACACGTCTGCCCATGATGTACATCGAAGACTGTTTGCGGTAAGCTAGCGAGTCCCGAAACAAAAACACATGAAAGTCATATCTAAGAGAGAGTTTCGTTTGTAGAGCTTTGCTGGAGTTTATGCGGGCACCCAACGAGCAGCTAAAGCGTCGCGTTTACAATGTGACCGCCATGTCGTTCACGCCCGAGGAACTGGTGGACAGACTGAGCAAGCATGTGCCCAATCTGCATGTGATCTACAAGCCGGACAGTCGACAGTCAATAGCCGACTCCTGGCCGGAGGTGTTTGACGATTCGGAGGCCCGACGCGATTGGCAGTGGCAGCACAAGTACGATCTGGGCAACCTGGTTGACTTTATGGTCAAGGACGTGCAGGAGAACTACATCAATGTGGAGAATCGCCAGCAGCAGCAGCAGCTCAAGATCTGAGGAGTGGATCAAGCGGGTCAGATCAAATGAAGGCCGCATCTAGTATTCTTAACAAATGAAATTCAATTGCGTTCAACTGTGCATTTATCTAGAAATTACAAAACCCAAATACAATGTAAAATTCTCTTTTGTTTTCGTTGAAAATGCCACACAAATCACAAATTAATGAAATCGCATAGAATTTGCATAGAAATAAACTTCATTTATTAGAATTCAATGCCTAACACTAAGCACCTTCAGGTAGCGATATGCGAGAGCTTACTTGACTACTTCGGTTGGGATTAACAATGCTCGATTGGAGTAAGTTAGTTAGTTAGTTAGTTAGGGTACTAAGTATAGACAACCCCATGGGTTAGTGGTACATATTGTATTGTTCAGATATCAAACTCCTCCTGCTCTGACCCGCCCAGCATTTCGAAGTGATGCAGGCAACCGCCATGCGTGCCTATATACAGGTCCGCCTCAGCTTCCCTGGAATTTGCCTGGACTTTCGTGAGAGGCTTTGTAATCACTTTTCTGGATATATGCTGCTCGAGTTGTCGGTACAGCAGCTGCTGTTTCTCTTTGGGGTCTGGGTCTGTAAACGAGCAAAGAGTGGAGAGAGTTTGTCCATCAGTTTTTCGATTTTTCACTTTGATTTTCATTGCTCTGCTTTGCCACGTTTGCTCTTAGATCATTCACAAAGTGTTTCCAACATTTGAATTACAGCAGTTTATTACGATATTCATTTTGTGATAATTATTCAAAGGTTAAGGGATTTATCCTCGTGGCACTGATATCCACAATAATATTTCTGGCATTTCTTTGCCAATTTAAGTTCTTATCATGAAAATAATTATTTTAGCGTAACAATATTTCATTTTTTTTCATTCCATAGTATGCTAAACATCCATTTCAATCCTAGACTATGGTAATATGGTAATGAAACGAGTAATACCGAAAATCCACAATGTATGCATCGTATTGAAGACTTTTTGAACATATGGTGGTAGGAGCTTACACTTAAAGCTTAAACTACATCTACGGAAAAGTAAATTGGTTCACAAATTTTGAATCTTTAAGTGGTCTTAGATGCTAAATACGTCCAACACTTTGTAAAGGGTCTGAGCAATCGCTTCAAGCAGATTACAACACGTTATTAAGTATATGTATATTGCTTCTGTGTTAGCTGATTGCATAGCTTCTCTTAGTTTCTCTACGTTTCAAATGGTTCAAGTTAATTAAGTATTGCTTGATATTTGCATATTAAGTACAGGTACTCTCCAACGATCTTTCAATACTACTTTCGTTCGAGCTTTTCTTTTCTTTCGATTTGTACAATCATTCATTTGGAATATTTATTGATTGATCAATTGATTCGTTTGCTATTTTTACAATTTCCCTTTTTGGTCTGGTATTGCATTTCATCTATGTATGTATGTGTATTTTTGAGCGTGTTTTGCTTATAAGTTATATTGAAAATTTTTGTGGATTCATCAAAAAGAGAGAGACGCGTCGTTTGGTGAATTGTTGCATGTGTTTCTGTGCGTTGCTTTTAAGAGAGCTTGTGAGTGTGTGTTATATACATTTATCATTATATATATTGTGTGAAAGATCTCTAAATCATGTGCGACATCATGCAACGACTCACATCACGGTTAGCGCGATGCAAATGACCTTGAAAATGCTGCTGAAGGCGTTGTTGTTGTTGTTGCTGTTGCTGCTGCTGCTCCTGGTGTTGGTGCTGCTGTGGCGCTGCTTCCATCATGTCCCCAGCGCCACCACCGCTGGCCTGCATCTCGTAATCCATTAAGCAGGCCTGTGTTCCAATTATTTGTGTGGCAGGCAGGGAAAAGAAATCTGTAAGGCGAGAGGCAAACACGGTTTAGTAATCAGCGTTAATGCAAGCGCAACACGTTGCCGCTATCGATATTTATGTCACCTGCTGCTATGACGCAGGGTGCACGTTATAGGGTGGAGGCATTTCCAGAGAGTGCGCTCACAATAGTCGTCTATGTTATTGTGTTGCTGTCGACAAACAAACTATGCGAATCGAAGAGCGGGTAATCCTCACCTCACCTTGTATAAGCACTACATCTTGCGCTGCTGCTGACCAGTCGACGTAAGCCGATAGATGCCCCAATTACCGTTCGTTTATTTATAGCCGATGCAAGCAGCATTGACAGCGTCGCGGCGCTGAGAGACTATGTCATTTCTTATCGCCCTGCCGCCTTTGTGTTTGTTTTGTGGTTATGATAACGGTTAAGTTGGAATTTTAGTAGTCCCCGCAGGGAAACTGTACTTGGGCTATACCCTTAAATAAGATGTCAGACACGTCAAAAAGCATTTTAAAACTAAGATAATTTGGGTAATATATTTTTGTAGTAGATCGACAGTTAATACCACTTACTGCGGTACTGTACGGATATTGTAATTAATTTATCCAGTCGGTCGTTTATTTAAGAAATAATGCGATACGCTTATAAGCCATTAACGCTTTACAAGTAATCTATATGATATACCACATTTATATTGATTTTCACATTTTAGATATACACACTTTTAATCTCGGCACTTTTGTTGTTGTCTAAGCCTAAACATTGATTAGGGGCACAACAAGTTGCAGCACTTGGCTGCACCATGCTGCCCCTTCGCTCACTCCCAGCCCACTGGCCACCTTCTCAGCGTCAGCACAGAGTTTTAATGATTGTCACGCGGATTTTGAAATGCTTATCGGCTCTTTGAACAGAGAGCTGTGGGCACAGAAAACGCTCTAAATAATGGTTGATAAGCCAGGTCAGAGCAACAAAGTAAACCTTAGTCGGTGAGGTCAGCCCCCCAGCAAGTTTTGTAACGAAATTCACAAAAAATTTCACGCAACGGCAATTAAATGTCAAGGTTAAGCAGCCAAAATTGCTCATTAAATATACACTTTTCGTTTGGAATATGAAATCCACTTACCATTACAATACTGGGCCGCCAGGTCCACATCGTCGAAACGGCAGCGCTTGGTGTACATCGGGTTATCCCCGTCCTCGGATGGCTCATTCCCGTTACAACGCTTTTTGCAGCGTGCTGCAGACGCGGCGGCAGCATCCATTGGCTGCTCATTGTTGTTGGGATCATTCATGAACGCATAGTGTACGCCACCAGTAGCGACGACAGGGGGGGCGACAGTGTAAGAGACTGCACGTGGATTGAATGGATCCAAGGTTTGTCGCATCTGCCCGGTTTCGAAATTGGAATTCGGTCCCGCCGAGTCTGCATGTGCCCAACACTCGAAATTTGTCAACACCATGCTGATGAAGCGCGCCCGCAGTGGAAATTTACCAAGAATGAAACACCGAAGGAACGGAACGGAGCGGCGTCCTAACTGTACTCGGTCGTGCGGCAAACTGCAGTCGACGATGGATTTTTTTGGTATAGTATACAGTTAATTACCGCAACAGCAAATACGCAGCAATTGCAAAATGCTGAAATAAATTTAATTAACACACGCAAGCGGGGCGAGCACACAGCCAAATACGAGACGAACGGGCCAACGAAACGAACGCGCGATGACGGCAATTGTTAAAAATAAATCCACAATAAGCAAGTTTTACATTTTGCCGCGTGCGCTTTGATTCGCGTCCTCTCTGTCACGCTTTTTGTTTTCCTTTCGCTCTTCGTTCCGATGATTTTCGTGCCCGCAGGGGTGCTTTGAAACATCGATAGGGAACAAAGCAACTGTAGAAACTATCGCGATATCATGTGATTGTCAAAATGTATGATAAAAACGAATGGCAGGCAAACGAAAATACAAAATAGTCACAAATTATCAGAATTTTCAATTGGAACAAGTTAAAAAATATTTAGAAAAATGACGAACAAAAATAAGAAAAGCAGCGCCGGCATTGGCGGCCCTGCTGCCCCCTCGAAACAGACCAAACAGAAGTCCGAGGTAATGTGCACAGTGGGGGGCTGGGCGGAATCGTTGCCGGTAGTTAAACCCTTGTCTTGTCTTGTTTACGTTTCCAGGACTCCCAGGACTTTAGTTCTTTCAAGACTGTGCTCTTCTATTGCATGCTGATTGTGTTCCTGCCTGTGATCACATTTTTTCTGATGAAGGGCGTCGTTTTGGATGGATTCTTCAAGATGAGCGAGATGAAAGTTAACATTTTCTCGGCGGTCGGCGCCGTGGTGGCCTTACACATTGCTCTGGGACTGTATATCTACCGTGCCTACTTTGGGGCCACCGGCTCCAAGGCTTCAAAGGTGGACTAAGCTTCACCGAGGACTGTTTACCATTTCCATTTATTCGCGTTCTGTTCTAGAAAGTATTAGTTAAGTCGAACGAAACGAAACACAACACTTTTGTACATACATACAATGTTTATATGCCCGAGAGAGGGAGGGAAAGTTGCCTGTAAATGTGTGTAATCGTTTTCTATTGCATAACCTCGATAGCAGCGGGAAAAACGTGCAACCCAATTTGTTGTCTTATGTTTTGTGTGTATAGTTTTGCATTAAAAAAGACATTATTAAGTGAAATGCGTGGTTTATTGAATCGTGGCAGGTGCTTGGAGCGCCAATATTCTTGGATGCAGGCTGTCAAAACGTTGCTGCCAAAGCCGCGCAAGAAAATCTATAATCTGGGAGCTTGCTTTGAGCTTGCCGACATTTCACAGGTTAGATGTACATACATAATTAATAAAAAGATTTAATATCAAGAATTTCATTGAATGTGCAACACTGCCACCTAACCTAGGTGCACACAAGCGCCACCTGTTGTTAAAGTGAAACAGCTGTTCGGTCTAGAATATATTTGTTTGTACTTGTTTATTGGCCGTAGCAAGTGCAAAAACGATAAATTGATAGGATAGTGATAGATGCCACGCAACTACTTCGTTAACACATGCTGCAGTCATCAGACTGATACACACCTGTGCCCCTGCAGCAACACGCCCCAGCGGGCAACAAACAGCACACACTATTGATTGGAACCACCTGTTAGAACGCTCCGACGCGAGCTTCCCACTCACCAGCAAAACGGAATTACTCCGCCACGTATTCGGGTAGCAGTGTTCAACATGCTGCGACGCCAGCTGGCTCGATTGCCTCCAAAAATGTGGATGTTGTGCGTGCAGGCGGCTTTAATAGCCACCCTGGTCAAGGGCTCGGTGTCGCTGTCGGACAATCTAGTTGGCCGAGCACAGGTGCCACCACCCCAAAGCAACTGCTTCCATCTGGCTGTTTTTTAACCATCTACTTTTTCCCGTTACAGACGCCGTACAACCCCAGCAAGCTCTCGGAGTCCAAATTCCTGGAATACAGCAATCTGTCGAACAAACTGCACCTGCGGGAAGCCATCAGCAACATACTGATTCCACGAGTGGTGGGCACCGGCAATCACAGCCTCGTGAGGCAGTACATCGTGGAGAGCCTGAGAGACCTAGACTGGCATGTGGAGCTGGACAGCTTCCATGATACGGCCCCCATTATGGGTCAGCTGCATTTCCACAATATCATTGCCACCCTGAATCCGAACGCAGAGCGTTATTTGGTCCTGGCCTGCCACTACGACAGCAAGTACATGCCGCAGGCGGAATTTCTGGGAGCCACTGACTCCGCTGTGCCCTGTGCCATGCTGTTAAACCTGGCCCAGGTGCTGCAGGAGCAGCTAAAACCCTTCAATACGTCCAAACTGAGTCTGATGCTTTTGTTCTTCGACGGCGAGGAGGCGTTCGAGGAATGGGGACCCAAAGACTCAATTTACGGTGCCCGCCACCTAGCCAAACGCTGGCACCACGAGGGCAAACTAGATAGCATCGATATGCTTGTTTTGCTGGACCTGCTGGGTGCCCCCGATCCGGCGTTCTACAGTTTCTTCGCTAACACAGAATCGTGGTACATGAGCCTCCAGTCAGTGGAGACGCGTCTCGCGCAGATTAACTTGTTGGAGCGTTATGCCAGCAGTGGGGTTTCTCAGCGGGATCCCACGCGATACTTCCAGTCGCAGGCCATGCGCTCCTCCTTCATCGAGGACGACCACATACCGTTCCTCAGGCGCAATGTACCCGTTCTCCACTTAATACCAGTGCCCTTCCCCAGCGTCTGGCATACGCCCGACGATAACGAAAGTGTGATCGATTATGCGACGACGGACAACCTGGCGCTGATTATACGGCTCTTTGCGTTGGAATACTTCTTGGGTGCAGACCAGGCAAAGTAGTAGGGGCCTCGTGTGGGATCCCCCCAAAAGCAGAAATATCTATGATATTTATAGATGTATAGTAAGTAAATATGTATGTATGTATATGTACACGACGGCCTTATCTATCTGACCTGTCCGATATCAAAAATGTTGTTAACTATTGTTACTCGCTGTGGAAATCATGTGGATCTTATTGTTAATTGACTATTCTGGCCGGCCCCTAAAAATCCAATGTGTAATCCAAATATTTTTATAGATATTTATACGTATGTATGTAGAGTTCCAACTGAAGAACTGCTCATCTAATGGCATGTTAAATAGATGTATGTACCATAGGTATATCTATTTATTTTTCGTTTGTATAACTGCTAGAATTATGCTTAACAAACGCAAATACACAATACAGTAAATGTACCTTAAAAACAATTTAGCGGATCTAAACTAACTTTACAAGCACGTGTCCTAACTAGTTAAGCGTCGCGCGTAGAAACATTAGCTCCAACAAATTATATGGCAAAGTCGTAAACTAACTTAAGAACTAGCTAAAATCGTCAAAAATCTTGTTTTAATATTAGTCCTATTGGGAGGGAGGCTCTTGGCACTTTGCGTCGCTACTCGCCGCTGTGGGGGCAGGCGGAGGCGGACTGTCTTTTGTGGCACATGTGGCATCCGAGACAACTTCTGGCTGAGATGCATTTGGATCTGTGGTTGCCGGTTCCATGTGAGACTTTGCCTTGGCTTCGTCTGTCGCGTGTCCCTTCATCAGTTTGGCTGCATTCAGTTCTTTGGGCTTCTCCACAACGACCGCACTCAAATCGGACTTGCTTTTGCCATGCCCATGCCCATGACCATGGCAGTGCGAGGACTTGGACTTGCCGCCATCAGGACTGTCGCTAATCTCACGCAGATCCGTGCGTGAATCCCGACAGCACACCTTTTCAATGCACTCGGCCGCCTGGCACTGCATCAGGCATTCCAGCGAGGCGGAGGCATTCTTATTGGTGGACGGATAGAACTCTGGCTGGATGGTGACAGCTCCGATTCCCTGATCATGGAAGTACGTGCGCACCTGTTCGATGATCTTCAGGTAGAGCTTGGGATTCTGGAACTGGATGTGTATGGTGGCCACGTAGCGGTGGGCCGCCAGCTGCCAAATGTGCAGATCATGATAGCTGACAATCTCCGGAAATTTAGTGACCAGCGTGCGCTCAAAAATCTCCAGATCGATGGAGCCGGGAATTGTCTGCAGCAAAATGAGGCACGATTCTTTCACTGTGAGGGAAAAAAGAAAAAATTCAGTTCTCATCCTCCATTTGATGAACTTTTATACTCACTGTAGGGATAGCTGAGCGAAATCAGAAGGATGCACGAGAAAATGGACAGCACCGGATCAATAAATTTAGCCGTATGCTGCTCATCCTCCGCCACATAGACAATGGCCGCACAGACAATCACAAAAATGGTGCTGGACACATCCCGCAACATCTCGACGGCTCCCTGCCGCCTGGTGGCAAAGTAGACACTGCCCACCTCCGTCTCCAGTTCCTCGCGTAGCTGGCGATCGTTACGCGACTTGCTCAACTGCCGCTGCATCGGCTTTAGCGACAGATCCATGTTGCTGGACATGGAGCGCTCGAGGACGACATTGCCGCCGGGCGTCAAGTGGAGGAAGCTGCCCTGATGCAGAGTGTAGCCACCAATAAGCAGATATGTCAGCCCGTTCAATATGAGACCCACAAAGCCCAGCATCATTACGGGTATGGGCAGGTGCATCGTGTCCTGGTGGTCGATGTGCACCAGCGTCTGCAGAGCCTCCACCACCAGCGAGAAGGAGAGCGAGGCCAAGATGATGAACACTATCAGCATGGTGAGTATATCGATGCGCGCCCAGCCGAAGGTATTGCGTAGCTTTTGCTCCCGGCACTCACGTCTGGCCTCCTTCTGATCCTCCGTCTCGCCGAGTTGGACAACCACACCACCGTTGGCGTCATTGACCTTGTTCGGGGTCGCTGGCTCCTCCTGGTTCTTTTTGCTGTGCTGCAGGGTTCAACAAGAGAGAAAAGAATAAATTTATAGATTTTCAAATAGAATCGCGTAAAATTTCCCATTTATTGTCATGCTTTCTAAGCCAAGTCACAACAACTGGCATTGGGTCGTTAGAGCCAGCCCCAAATTGTGGTTAGCGACTATTTTAACGCTTCGCTGGTCTTCTCTGCCATTATATAAGCTCGGACCCAGCGGCCCACACAGCTGTGCTGTCCACACCTACAACGCCACCGCCACCGCCACCGCCGCCGACTGTCTGTCTGTCTGCCTATCTGTCCGATGGGACGCTTTCGATTTCTGGTATCTCTGCGCTCCCGTCTCTGTGGTTTCAGGCCAAGTTTTATGTGGTTTTTGCATATTTTGTCTCTGGCGGTTTGTCTATTTTTTGCGAAACGTGCTTGGCACGCTTCGCTTTCCCACAACTTCAACGATATTTGCATTCATTCAACAATATGTAAAGCATTTATCTTTGACAAAGATCATAAACATTGGCGTGAATATTGATTTGATCTGTTTATGGCAAAGTCTTCACCTTGGCTTCAAATCTATACATGGGCAAATATTAGTTGGGTAAGAGATCATTTTGATTGGATTGGGAAAGGTGTTTTAATAAACTAATGGATGAATGTTTGATCTGGAGGGATATACTTAGATTCCGTCTACTTTTTCTTAAATGGAAGACATACATGTATATATTTGTGTAGAAGTTATCCTAAGTAAGCTTTAATTAGCAACAGGCTAATCTGCTGTCCATTTTCGCTTGCTGCCAGAACAGTTCCATAAATTTTGCAAAACCATTTGTCCATTTGCTCGTACACATCTGGTTGGTGATATCTCCATGAAATTTTCAGGCTGATATCTGTGTAGACAGAGGCATTAGAGTCGGACTAGGCAATTACACAGCAATCTACTGATAAGCTTGAAAGCCAAACGAAAACACAGGCAAAGTGTGCAGATAACACAAGCTAAGAGAGCCGCTCCCCTCGACAAAAGGAGACGAAGAGAAAAATATTTCAAATATTCGCTAATAAATTATAATTTGAAATGGAACCAGTTTCAAGACACAATATAAAGGAGTTCGGAATGCGTTTTGTGTTTCGCTTTTGGGTTTGATTTTCAAAGTTCAATGCACCAGCAGCCATCGTGCGCTTTAATCGCGCAGCACGCGACAATTTCCTGGCGGTGGCCAAAAGATCGTAAGCAAAATAAAGCCAGCAAACAAAATTAAAAACGAGTTGCTGTTCCACTTACCTTAATTGTTATGATGCAGCCGCCCAGTGCGAATATGTTGCACAACATGTGGTACGATGCCATGAGCAGTGTCAGAGCGTGCGTTATGTGGCTCAGAGCCAGCTGGAGCACAAAGTAGCAGATCGATAGCACCAGCACCACATAAAGGGGTATGGGCCTGCATCGCTGCAATATATCTTTGATTGGCATTGTGCGGTTCTATTTTTGGGTGAGAGAAAGAGGCAGACATCGGATCAGCGTGAGAATTACTTGATTCAATATTTGATATATGCGGATATGTCGCTAAGAGGTCGCCACTTGGCTTGTCAACGAGCCCGTAGATCCATAGGTGTGATCTACACAAATTAGCTTTATTTGTTGCCGTTACAAGTTTACACCTTCATCATCTGGTTGTCAATTTGTCATCGGTTGGAGGGCATATACAGAATTCTGTTAGGGCAAACATCAATTGGGTGTTCTTTAAGGATAACTGACTTTAATTTCCAAAGAAAGTATTCCAGCTTGTTGGAGTAGCGAATAACGACTACGACTTAAGTTTCCCTCGGCAGAAGTTGTTCTTTATTATTGAAAAAAACCCTTTTTTTTATATGTTGACTTGCCATACACAAATTATTTTCTTTCAGCCCTCCCATAAAGCTTTCTAAAACACCCAATCCAAATCTGTGTCAAGTTCAAGTTCCTATAAAGCGGGTTAAGTGAACCCACACCATACCGAGTCGAACCCACTGTACTTAGGGTTCATTTCAGCGCATGCCAAACGCATATGCAAATCATCAAAATCAGCATTATGGGTAGAGGCTATGGGTACTCCTCCTGCTGTTGTGGGCTGGCCTGTCGTCCGGCATGCAAATGAAGATGCTAAATGGGCTCGTTTTACCTGTGGTAGCAGTAGTATCTCATTGAATATCGATAGCGATCGCCATCGGATCGCTTCGCCTGCGACATTGACGTAACATTACGTGATCGTGGATATGGCTACTACCGATTGTTTGTTGGCTTGTTTGCTGTAACCCCAAGGTGAGACCTTTTTTCGGTCGGTGTTTTAATGCTGGTTTATTTTTGCTAATGAATAAACCAAGGAAATTCCATTAAGAGCTATTAAAATGTATACGAAAAACTATAGGAAATCCCTAACACAAAAAAAGTATAATTATGTTCCTTAGTTTATATCATTCTAGTCTGCGTCTATTAATTGAGGCTTAGTTCAAAATATCCCCCATAAAAAGATAATAGTCCGATGGAATATGGATAGGTTCAGAGTAGTTCTTATCAGTGGGACGGGACGTGTTTGTAGGCCTATTTCCATATGGCCTAAATAAGTTTTCTCCCTTATCTTCAAAGTGGAGAGTTCAAGAAATTTCCTATAGATAAAACATACCCATTTTCAGCATAGTTATGCCCGAAACAAATCCATAGCTTAACCAGACCAGAACTAATATCATAATGATATGGTTGCCAGGGGCAGAAAAAGATAATAGAGTATGATATTGATGTGCAGTAAATATATGAATGATCTCATTTCTCCCTAGCACCAAAAACCTCTCCCTGGTGGACCCCTGATTGATATCTCTGCCATCCATCTGGAATGCTCAATAAGTACTTATACAGCAGTCAATTGCAATCGATCAAATGATGCAACCTCCTCCACATAGTTTCAACGATCAAACGATTTAATTGCATTCCAAATTGTCACACGTGCAATGGTAAATCATTTAGTTTCGATTCAAATGATATTATCTGTTGTTCTCCCACCTTCCCAGTACCCTCTGCGAAACAACCCGTGGAAGGTAATTAGACAAATCCCAATACAAAAGCGTTAAATGGCGCCTCCGGCCCCAAATTGTTCAACAAACAGAAAACACATCGCAAGTTCCCATCGTTTTGGGGGGAGAGAAAGCGAAAGCAACAGCAAAAATTAAACAGATAATGTTAGACAGGTAGCAACAAACAATTTAGATACTGTATGTACGAGTACTCGTATAGAGACAAGAGCTTGACATTAACATATACATATGTACATATGTACGTACATATGTGCATATATGTGTATTTATGTACATATGTATGCATGTGTATCCCAGTGGTTCCACTTGCCACAGACACTAAATGTTCATTTCCTCAATTTGTGTTCATTCTCAATGGGAGATGGGCCTGCGCTGCAGGGTGTGAGATAGAGGCTCGTACAGAGAGATAACAAAGATAGAAGAGATATCTCTATAGGGGCACACACAAAGAGAAACTAAATTCGCCTTTTGTTGTTACCAGGCGCTGAGTGTAATCCAGATAGCAATCTCAGATTTACGCTAAAGATAATATGGAAAAATATTTATGGGGGGTCAGAACGATGACTGATTACACCAGACGGACAGTGTCTCGAGAAACAAGTAAAGCTAAAGAAATGTCCATTATCACCACACTTTTCGGATGCCTTTCCAAAATATTTGATGACTGTCCGGTATCCGGCTATTTTGTGTTTTACGATAACGTAAAATCCACTTCATAAATCTGCCCCAAGCGCTGACAGCTCAATTGTCAATTAGATCAATGCAACAAGTCACTCGATCAACAAATACAGGCAAAAAAAAGGTAAACTTTGCTAAATAAATTCGGGTCCAATAACATTTTGTTTTTTGTTTTGATTTGTCATCAGATGCGATTTGTTTGCTTGATTTTTTTCATGTGAGGATGGAGACATTCCCTGCATACAAATTTCAATTTGGCAAAGAAAAGAGATACAAATTTTATTTTGATTTTTCTGTGTAGATTTTGATTGGACCTGGGCCTGGGCCTGGCCTCAACAATTCAAACCCCTGTTTCTAACGTTTTTTGACCATTTTAGACAAGGTCGCCGATGCCTTTGGAATTTTTAATTTACAAGGGAACTGAAATTGTTTTATTTTACAAATTCTATTGATCGTGTTGTTGTTGTTGTGGAGAGACAGCGTTTGCTGCCAATAGTTTGAATAGTTTTCGAGCGCGCCAAAGCAGAAGCCTGATAAACAGTGAAGATACATGTATATGTATATCTCTATCATCAGCTCTATGGCTAGCTATCTCTTTTTATGTGGTAAACAGTGCAGATAGATATTCATAAATCAAAGCAAACACTATCCTGCTGTCTCGTTTGCATTGCCAACCTGACAGTTGTGCTGATAACCGGCCTTTGGTTCTATTATCGAAAACAGACCATCCCTACAGGTGTCCAAAGTACATCACTAATTAACAGAATCAAGGGCTTTCTATCTATCTCTATCTCTCATTATAATTCACCCTCGCTTGCTCACAGATTTGCTGATTAATCCATCCCTCTCATACTCTGTTATTCACATTTTGTCTCGTTTTTATGGGAAATCTGAAAGGGCAATCAATAATCGACAACAGACCATCTCTAGAGGGGTTCAAAGTCCATCTCTAGTCGGGGAATTCTGCCAATATAGCCAACAAAGGAAATGTTTCTTCATATTTGCAAGACTTGAAGCTATTTCGAGAATTTTCCAAAGCCAAACTATTTCCGAAAAAAAAAAACAACTACTGTAATGTGTGACTCAATACACACATTTCTCATGTTCCATTTGAAAGCCCCCGCCCCCCTCTAAGCGTACCACCTGCACATACCACACAGCACAATTCAATTTAAATTCCCAATAAAAGAAAAGGAAATGAGGCAAGTCAAGTATTTAATTTAATTGCACTTTTATGAGGCCCCATTTACGTGAGATCTGCGCCTACATCCCATGACTCCACTCCACGACTGAGAAACTCCCTAAAACTCAACACTTTCCCTCGTCGCTCCCCTCCTGCTTGAGCGTGATCAAGGCAGATATGTTCAGTTTCATCTGATGTAAACGAATTAAAATAATATAAAAATTGATATTAATACTGATTACTAAAAACCAAACTTCAATTACATTTAATGAGGCTCATCAAATATTTCTAGCGGTAAAGTAATTGCTATGCAAATAATAATTCATTGAGAACTTTTGGTTGCTTGCTTGGGTTCTTGAGCCAATTTTTGAGCCAAGGTTTTTTTTAGCTGATTTGCATTGAATTAGCCAGATTTGAGGGGGGAAATCTCGGGGGTGAGAATTTGTTTTCGGTTCAGACATGGGGGATGGGATGCGGATAGTAGTAGACAGATATAACCATTAATTAGCATTCATTTTGATCAAATTTATTTTTATATCTGGTACCGGTCGATGCGTTTTTATTTTCGATTATTATTCTCTGTCTGTGCCAAGAGGTGCGAGAGGCGTCTTAATAATCACTTGCTAAGTGGACACACAGTCCAGTCCACCTGCTAACGAATCAGTCATCTATATATATATATCTAGCCATACTGTATGCGAAAGGTGTGTGTTTTTACTGGATACTAGCGGATGAGTGGTACGCAGCTAGCCAAATGTTTTACACAAGGCCAAAAGAGGGAGTCTTATCAGTTTTGAATAGAGTGCAGAACATAAGCTTAAATATAGGAAAATTACCGTCAATTTAGGGGCAACTTTTCAGTATATGTATATAGGACACCGTTCAATTTTCTGTTTGGATTTTTATTTGATTTGCTCTATTTATAGCAACACCACACTGCGAATTTCTTTTGAAAATATATTTCTGTAGGCTTCTTTTCTAATTTATTATTATTATTCTCTGTATATATCACAGTTCACACACGCGTGCCACCTGTGAAGCGGGAGTGGCAGATCGGACGATGTGGACGGCAGCGCGACTCAGATGCGAATGAAAAGCAGAGCCACGAGGAGGCGACGATCAAGCCCAGTCCAGTAAATAAAAAATATAGCTCAAAAATCTGATGAACGAAAATAAATGGGTTGGTTGGGGAGGTAGTGGCTGGCAGACGCAGAGATATGAAAACAGCAACAATGACCACAGCCGGCAAAATAAAGGCCAACTATTGAAAGTGAGCGTGCAAGTGCCTGTCTGTGTGTTTGTCAGAGAAAGAAAGAGAGGGAAAGCAAGCCATAGGTAAAGAGAGAGATGGGCAACAAGTGTGTGGGTGTAAAAATGTGAAAGAGAGAGAGAGAGAGAGTGAGTGCGGTTGGGTTGGCATTTCAGTGCGTGTAGAAAGAGAGGGGCTAATGCTATCAGCTATGGAAGAGGGAAAGAGAGAGAGCCGTAGGTAAGCATTATGAGGGTGAACTTTGTGGGGTATCATATGTTTTTAGCTATGTTAAGCCGCGACGACGACAATAAAAATGTTTACGATCCTCCCACATATGCTAATCGCCAGATAATTACAGCACACGCACTGCAGTAGAAACCCTTTCCAGTTTTACCTGAAACACACACATACACACACTATACTTATATTTAATATTCTTATCAAGCGCGATAAGGACACAGTAGAGAAAGTCTACTTTGAAAACTCCAAGATTAAAATATTTCCAACCGAATTCGTTTGATGTTTAAGGAAAAATACTTCGAAGTCAACTGTCAGCTGGTCTGCAGGAGAAGTTAGTAAAAAGCATATACTATGAATTGATTTTAGAACCCTCGCCGAGACGAGACGAACCAATGTTGGCATGGTAATTGCAATTGCAGCACGTAGTGAAGATAAAAAGTCAACGGGGTTGACTTTTGGGCTTAGTTGCTAAAGTGGGACACGCCTGGCACCACTGATGATGCAAGAAATGTTCATAAATTAAGCCGTCAGCTGCAGAGTAATTTACGAATTGTTGACACTAAGCCGTAGAAGAGTAATTAAAGTTGATAAACCAGAACAAGGCCATTGCGGGAATTCAAAGAGATTCGAATTTAAAAATGTGCGCCAACTTTGAAATTTGGTTGGCAGCTCCAGTTGGGCCTACATATACTTTAAAAGTGAGAAGGTATTTTTTCGGTATATTTCTGGAATATTTTTGCGCTCATATTTTACACAAAAAAATGAGTCGGGAGAGCGTTTTGAGTACTCTCTTTCGACTGGGTCATGGCAAGGTATGGTTCCAGTATTAAAACGGCTAAGCTTTTTTTAAGGGCCTCGTAAGGACCTCATCCTGGCCCCAAAGGACTAAATATATCGTTTGTGCGAGACATATTAAATATTAAACCGAATATCAAAATCGAGGAATATCAGCATCTTGTCGTGTTCGTCAGTATAATTACGGTATATTTTGATCATGACATGGTATATCTTGGTATATTTCTGAGGGTCAGGCGGTATAATTTATCTTTAATTCCGCGGTCACACTAAACTCGCAGAAATCTGAAAACGCTCCCGTTTTTCCAAGTTTTTTTGGACTTTTTGAAACTTAAAAGCACTAAAAAATGTCCCGACAGGCCACCCGACTTGACGCCAAGAAAGTGGTAAGTTGAGGGAAGCCTGTGCACGCTGTGGGTAATCGGTACGCCGTTTATAGTTGTAAGGTTAGTTTTGATTAGACTGTAAGTACACAATTGAATTGAAGTGCCACCCACCCTCAAAATCGGCTTAATTCGCTTTTCCAGTAAGTGTGTTGAGGGCTTGAGGGACACCAGTGATTCACCAGGTAGCGCGTCCTGCGTGATATGGAAAACCATTTTAGCAGTACCCGCACCACAACAACGTCAAGAATGAGCTCCGCTTCCTCCACAACCACCAACAACAACAACAACAGCACCAACAGCCAAAGCGCTGCCAGCAACAATGTGAACGTAAACACAGGCACTGCCACGGCCACCGCCAATGCCGCCGCCGCCCAACCGATTCAAGTGATTCCAATGCCAATGCTACCCACGGGAGCGGCGCAGATAATAATCGGACAGCAGCCGCAGGGCCAGGCGGCGGGCGGTCTTCAGCCGCAGTTGATCCCACTGCAGGCGAACCAAATCATGCTGCAGGCGCAGCAGCAGCCACAAATGCAGCTGATGCAACTGCCCGATGGCCAGACCATATTCTATCAGACTCCCACCATAACTACACTCGATCCGAACGCGGCAGCCGCGGTGGCAGCCCAGCCGACTCCCCACTACCTCAACATCAATGGCCAATTAGTGCAAATTACTCCAGCGGCGACTGGCAACCAAGGAGCAGCTGCGGGTGGGCAGCAGATCATCATGCTGCCCCAAGCGGCAATGGCCACAGTCAATGCAGCAGCCGCGAACGCCGCCCAGGGCGGAACCAGCGTTGGCAGTGTCGTCACCACGCAGCAGCAACAGCAGCAGCCGCAACAACAGCAACAACAGCAACAACAACAGGCGAATAATAATCAGGCGGCCACATCGGCTGCGAACAATGTGAGCGCCGATGCCAGCACCAGCACCACGGGGACAAATACGAACGAGAGCGAGGACGAGAGCTCCAAGGGCGAGGCGGACGAGGAGCCGCTCTACGTGAATGCCAAGCAGTACAAACGGATACTTATAAGGCGGCAGGCAAGGGCGAAGCTAGAGTCGCGCATACCCAAGGAGCGGTGTAAATACTTGCACGAATCTCGCCATCGGCACGCCATGAACCGGGCTCGCGGCGAGGGCGGACGCTTCCATTCGGCGCAGGAAAAGGGCGAGTCCAGCTCGGACGGCGGCAGCCTGCCCATGGCTCACAGCAGTGTGACCCTCAGTCGGGGAACGGCGCGGGCACCCCCCAAGCTGATAGCGCCCCATCAAACGCCGAGCATTACGATAACGGCCATCAAGTCGGAATGACCCTTTGAAGCTGTAGATATTCGTAGAACCCAGACTAGATCATAGCATATAGAATTAAGCAATCACTCTGTGTCCCCGTCCCCGCCCCCGCCCGTTCCCACCACAACCCGCTCATCGCGTCATATCTTTTGGATTGTACACAAGTCGAAATAAATTTGTATTTATTCTATAATCACGCAACTGCAGAATACCGAATCGAATGGATAAATCGGGGGAGAACAGCATTTAAAAACCAAATCGAAATTAACAATTCTTTGATTCCCAATATTAATGTCTTTGCTGGTTCTGGATTGAAATTTATTTTTGCCGTCTGCTTTTTCTTTCTCTCTCTCTTTTGTACACGAAAAAAAACACACAGAACTCAGAGTTCCTGACACTCACCTATGGGGCGCTGGTCACCCAAATGCTGCGCGACTTTGAGAACGTCGAGGATGTGAACAAGCAGCTGGAGCGCATTGGCTACAACATGGGCATGCGTCTGATCGAGGACTTTCTCGCCCGCACCTCGGCGCCGCGATGCCTGGAGATGCGCGAGACGGCAGATCGCATACAGCAGGGCTTTCGCATTTATCTGAACATCCAGCCGACCATCTCGAATTGGTCGGCAGCCTCCGATGAGTTCTCGCTGCTCTTCGACTCCAATCCGCTGACAGAGTTTGTGGAGCTGCCCGCGGATCTGACCAATCTGCGATACAGCGCCATACTCAGCGGCTGTGTACGCGGTGCCCTGGAGATGGTCCAGTTGGAGGTGCAGTGCTGGTTTGTGCAGGTAAGTTTCAATGTGGAAATACTTTGGTGTGGTTCTGGTTTTGCTTTTGCTTTTACTTTTGGTTATGTACTGTACGGGTGTGTTGTGGCATGTGTGCTGTGGCGTCTCACTCTCTTGTTTTTCTCTGTGCCTTTTTGCAGGATCAACTCAAGGGCGACAATGTGACGGAGCTGCGCGTTAAGTTCGTGCGGCGTCTAGAGGAGGTCATACCAGCTGGCGAGGATTAGAAAACGAAGTGTGGATCAGAGCGTATATTAAGAGTTTTTAAGGGGTCAATAAAAGCACATTCTTTACGGATTTAGTATGTAATGTTTGGCCTGGATTAAAGCATCATTCTATGCACTACATTCCGGAGCAACCAGCAACAGCCAGCAGGAGTAACAGCGGCAGCAACAGCAAACAGCGGCAGATAGCAGCAGCAATAATAATTCTATTAAATTGGTTTAGTTTTATGTTTTATTCGACTTTATACAAATGTTTTCTTTCGGATATATATAGATAGAGTACAGTAGAATATATGTTTCGGGGTTTATCATTTGGGCATGATACAAAGCGTTTTAAGCTCGGCCAAAATATATCATTATATTTTATACAATTTTTGATCTCCTCCACTGTAGGATCACAGTTTATGATTACATATTGGCTCTGGATAATTATAGTTTTGTGTTAGTGAGAGAGAGATATATGTATTTCACATGATTCATTTCAAAAGTAGAAAAAAAACAATAACAAATTTAGTTTTTTGGGGGCGGCATAAGCTTTTCAAATATTACAGGAATTTGGGCTCTTTTTATGTCTGCTGGGAGGGGAGGTTTCTTTTCCTCTTAATTGATTATGATATAAATGTACTTTATGTATATTTATCTATCGTTCCGATGAGTAAGCCCACCGCTTGCCCGGACAGCAATCACATTTGGTTTCCATGTTGTGATCCGATAGATCTTTCGCTTAAATGCACTCAAACAGCTTGGACAAATTTCGATTTTTTGTGGTTCTTTATGTTCAACAAATAGGAAATACTTTTCACAGGCACAATACTTGATTACATATGATTGGTTTGGTTTGGTTTGGATTGGTTTTGGTTCTTTGGAGTAGTGCTGCTGCTGCTTTCGGGATTAGTGGTTTTTCTTAGTTTAGTTCTGCTGTGGACAAAGCATTAGGTTTAGATTCCGGCGCGTCAGAACTTTGCGCAGAGCTTGCAGCGTTTTAATGCAGATCACCACACAGCAGCCATTGGCCACACCCTCCGCGGGACTCTTGCAAGTGCACGAGTTTCCCTTGAGAGCCGTTGCAGGTGCGCTGCTGATGACTGGCTGGGCCTGGGCCGGGGCCGGGGCCTTTCCAGAGCAACAACTCGAAGCTGGTTGAGCCGTAGCCGCTGCCTGTGGTTTCTGCACCGAACAGCAGCCGCCAGAAGGCGGTGGTGGTAGAGGAGTGGCGGCTGCTGAACCACCTCCACCACAGCAACCGCCAGATGGGGTTGGATTGGGCGCTGCAGCCGGTTTAGCACAACCACAACCACAACCGCTTTTTGCTGCTGGGGGATCTGGAGCAGTCGACTTGTTTGCTGCACCACCGCCGCAGCAGCCACCACCGCCCGAGGAGGAGCTGCCACTGCCCATGGAAGCCAAGTTTTGCAATAGCAAAGCAACATCCTCGATGTTCTGGTTCATTTCCGCATCGCGTTTACTCACTTTTTTGGTGGCCACGCTGCCGCATATACGCTTGCCCCCGTTCGCTGCGACAGTCGTTGTCGTCTTGGTCTTTGGCGCCGTGGCTGCACCGCAGTCGTCGCCATGGCAGCTCTTGGTCTGATCACACTTGCAGTTGGTGCAATTGCAGATGCCCGCATCTGCAGTAATCTGCTTGAGCGTGGGCTTGTTGTCCGTGATGTCCAGCTCTACCAGTCCAGATGCATCGCTGGGCACCTGGGCGGCCTGGTGGAGCGTGGCCTGCAGCAGGGCGCTGTTATTGTCAATGGTCATAAGGATATCATTCAGCAACGACTCCGTCTCCATGTCTTCATCGTTCACATAGCTGTCATGCTTGAGCAGATCATCGATATTCTGCTGATTCAGCTCCAGAGTGGGCGTCGGGGGCGTCACACTGGAGTTGCTGGCCTTCATGTCCACGTCCATGGGCGGCGGCGGCATTGACAGCTCGCCCATGTTTCCGCTCACAGCGTTCCCAAAGGCTGGCTTCAGGTCTACGAAACTGGGCATTTCAGTGGCCAGAGCCACACAGGCATCGGTGAGGGGGGCCATTGGAATGATGGGCTTGGAGACCAGAACGCCGGCATCAATCCACGGGCTGGGTATCTCCTCCTCGGCAGCATAGGACAGCTGATAAGCCTGCGATTGTTCGGGCAGGACAAACACATTGGGTAGTTGCTCGTGGGAGGTGAGGGTATGGACTACCACGCCACTGTCCGTGCTGGTCGTCTCCGAGCAGTGACTGTCCGGATTTATTATCAACATCTCTGTGTGCTGCGCCTCCGTTTCCGCCTCTGCCTCCGCTTCCGATGGGGGTGGTATGATCTCTAGCTGGTCCTGCTGATTGAGTTCGGAGTGCGCCGGCTTCTGTAACCGCCTGGACTTCTTCTTGCCCTTGTTAATTAGCTGCCGCTGATGAGTCCTCTTGTGCGACTTAAGGCTGTGCGAGGTGCTAAACGACTTCTGGCAGCTATCCTCCTGGCAGGGATACGGCTTCTCGCCAGTGTGCGTCCGCTTGTGCGTCTTAAGGTGATGGGAGGCGGTAAAGGCCTTACCGCAGGCGTCTTCGGGACACTTGTATGGCCGCTCCTGGGTGTGCGTACGCATGTGCTTCTTCAGGTCACTCAGCGTAGTGAAGCATTTCTGGCACATTTCGCAATTGAATGTCTCGCCATTGTGCAAACGCAGATGGGCGTGCAATCTGATAAATGGTCGGATCGTAGATTGTTGATTAGTGAATAAATATGACAGACTTGGGTCGGGTCTATTCCGGGCTATCAGCACGGAAGAGTGGATGGATTGCTCACCGGTAGCGCGTGTTGAAGGCCTTATCGCAGCCGTTGACTTCGCACTCGTAGGGCTTCACCTTGGTGTGGACGCGTACGTGGATCTTCAGGCTGTACGAAGTGAGAAATGCCTTGCTGCATCCATCCTCGGGGCACTTGAAGCTGTAGTCGCCTGAAATGCAACCAGAACATTAGATTTAATCAAGAAAAGCTGAAACCTCAAATCTTTGACCGTTACAGTTATTTCTTTCATTATGCAGCACTCATGAATGACAGTGTTGTCAAACAGCAAAAAGCAGCTGTTCAACAAGATAGTATCGTATCGTATTCGATACAAATGCACATGTTTTCCACCTCTAAGTTGCGATGGATTGAAAATAAGTTTTTTTTCATCGGAGATTTTTTGATTTTCAAATGGATTCGAAACAATGAGGCTGATAAGCCTCCTACTGCAGCTCAGCAAGTGCCCCTTCTACCGCCGCCCGCTAAAGACACTCCGCCACCAGGTGTGAAGGATCCCACCCTACCCTCCTGTTCATTTTCGCCGCAGCGCATAAGTTTTTCGAGAATTCGAAAAAAGAATTGAAAAATCCCAATCATGTCCCACGATCTCGAGATTAAAATTATCAAAGCTGTTAAGCAGAACCCCTGTTTGTACAACAGCATGGACATTGGCTTCCGCAGTGCCCTTAAACGAGGCAGGGCTTGGAGCCGGGTCTCCGACGCCTGCGGACTGACGGGCAAGTAGCCATTTGGCTGGTGTGCTTCCCGGAAAACTTTGTTTGCTTATTTGTACATTCCATTCCCAATTGTAGTTCGCGAATGCGAGCATAGGTGGAAAAACATGCGTGACCGCTTTGTGAAGCTCTGTCACCGTCATGGAGCTGCGGAACTCGAGAACACAAAAAACCTTACCAGACGGAACTTCTTCAATGAAATTAAATTCCTCAAGAGGCACATAAGGACGCGAGTGTACTATGACCTAGCACTATACCTATAAAATCACATTCTTAAGCTCTCATTTGCAGGGAAAACATAAAGAATGACAACGAAGAGAGCAATTCGGACGAAGCACCAGAATCGAAAGTTCGCCGTCAGGAAAACCTAGCGAGCGATCGTAGCAACGAAGGGGGGCACCTGAGCGAGACTGCTGATCTTTTGAAAATCATTGAACATGCGGCGGCAACCATCCACAGTGACAGCGAGGACGAGGAGCCTTCTTCGCTTTCGATCGGTGAGAGCGCGGCTCCTTCCAACTCAAACTGCGCCATTGCCCAGGCAAAATTCGTCGAAGTGATGAATCTGATTGAGAATGTCCTCGAGAAGCTCAACGACAAATTGCCTGCGTCTGCGGGTACACAGAGTGATCCTGAGAAATCCACATCGATTGATATGGATATGCCTCCCAGTCCCTTCTATTCGTATCTGGATAGCATATTGAATCAAGTGGATCTGCCAACCCGCAGCGACATACAATTGAAGCTGCTCACTTTGGCGAACGAGCAAGTGAAGAGGGCTGGCGCCGACTCGAACGCGCTCAAAAATGAAGAAACTATACAATAAGCTTACACAATAACCCGTAATAGTCGTAAGAGTGTCTATTTATAAAGAGGTGGTACCCCTTTTAAAGTACCTTAAACGTACCTGTATGTGTCTTTAAATGCGTTCGCAGATTTCCAATTGTACTGTAGCTGCGATAACAGTTCTCATAGTTGCATCTGTAGCGACTGAGAGCCTCGTCCGAACTCTGTTTATGGGAAATACGAACACACATTAGATAAGATTCAGCCACAGGCACATGCAATAGTTAAGAAATTCGATCTATATTAATGTCTATGTACAAAGTCGTGGGCTTTCATTGGATGGGATGTTCATGCAGGGTGAATGCTTAGTGGATAGACACGAGAGTCTAGCAGGATGTGTCCAGCCAGAACCGGGTCTGAGTCTGAACAAAGCAAACACTACGCACCGCGAATTGGTTAACAAACTTGGTTACACACACGCCTACAACAACAACGGAATTGCAGCGATGGAGGAGCAGGCTAGCAGCGGGCTTCACGCTACGATTAGAATGGCGGCGAGGCGCTACAAAAAGCGTTAGGCACACGGCAACACGTTAGACAATTGGCAAAAATAGACGGCTGCTGCTGCAATAAGGGGGGAATGGGGGTGTGTACCTCGTATCCCATGGCCATAAGCTGATCGTCATCCTCCCTTCCGCCCTCCTTGTGCAGGGACTCTGGGTGTATGCAGTGAGCTAATTCATTGTCCTCGTCCGGCTCGTTTTGGTCATATTCCTCGACATAACTGGAGAAGATCAGATCCACAGCAGTGGTTTGGGGTGTTGTATACAAAAAGAGAGAAACATTTAATGGATTCACTCGGGCGGCAGTTGGAAACAAATAGAAAATCGCATCGAGCGGAGCAATTCAATTTGGTGTCAGTGGGCCGTTTAGATCTTGTATATACAAAATATGGAAACGCAACAAATATATACAAATGTGCATACATATATGTATAATATACATTGTATATACTGCACAGATTGCGATTAGTATTAGGGGGTTAGATCGGCAGCAAACAACAACGGCAACGGAAAAACAATAGCAATCAATGGAAAGAATATAGCTGACAAATAACAAAATGAGGGAAAAAACACATTCATTTGCAAAAAAACATGTCTCTTTGTGGGCATTAATAAACAGATTAATTAATATTTAATGTTGCCATGGTCAAAACACAACAAATACCAAGGAAAACAGACGACAGAACGGCCGCAGAAACTATAGAGAAAAAAAAAATAATACAAGGGGTTTGAGTGCGTGGGCACTACGACGGCGTGCCGGGCTGGGTCCGGCTGACGGGCAGCGTGCGCTCCCAGCCCTCCCTCGCCCTGTTCTCACGAGATGCCACTCCCTGGCACACAGCCCCGCGGGTGCCGGGGGACCACTGAAAAATGAGAAATATGATTGAGGGAACACTACTCATAGGGATAAAAATAGTACAGAGTCGTCGTCGCCGGACAGCCAGCGACAAGGGAAGGCGGAAGGAAGGCGCAGAACAAAACACACAAACAATATGGATGAAAAATTGAAAAATGATTGTACCCGAGAATAATTCAAAAGGAAAGCGAGAGAAGCGACAATGTAGGGGAATCTAGACTAAACCTATCCATTGGATATCAATTCGAATAGAGAAAAAATAGCCTCTGGACAGCCTCGATTAATTTATATTCGCATTTTTAAATGTATCTAGAATTCTAATGGAATTTTCCATACTACTCCAATGTATTGGAAATCAATGAGAATATGGTGTAATCCATTCAATGTTTATTGCTTATCAGCAACAGATTTGGAATCAAATGAATTTAGACAAATTCTATGAATATAAAAGTGATCCCCGAGGCCTGTACTATCTTAACCCGTTGTGCCACGTACATATGTATGTAGTTTAATCGAATTATAATTGGGCTAGACAACAATTGACGACTCTGGTGAGGTTTTTCCGAACTTTACCCTTTGCCCAATAACATTAATAGAATTCCCTCCTGCCGTAAGTAGTGCCAAAGTGCTCGTCACTTTCCCTGTCTTTCAGTAAATCGAACTTTTACAGGGGAGAATGTTCTAGGGCGGGGAGCCGAACTATTTCACAATGGTTTCATTTCGTTTCGAATTTACTTTAATTTGAAAACCGGCTCGGGCTCCCCTTTTACACCAAGTGTGAATGTAAATTTTGGGAAAATATCCAAGCGTTTCGTTTCTGGCTAGCTCTATCACAGTGTAGACATAAATATAAGAAGACATACATATACTCGTATATATACATATGTATATGCATAGATATATATTACGATTAGGTGGTGGGTGCGTGGGGGGGGGTTTTAGAAATCTAAATGCGTTCATCGGCGCAACTATTTTTAGCCCAAACAAATGTTTTCAATACAATCCTCATCATAGTCCATCGCTAGCATCAGAATGGGAAGAAGTAGAGCAGCCGCAGCATGCACCGTTAGAATAATTCGAATATCGAAAAGGGATCAGAGAAGGAAGCGGAGGCGGAGGAGGGTGGGACACGCAAAACACAGAAATCAGGCAATTAGCAACAACATGCAAACACTTTGGACACTTTGTCGGACAACAGACGGGACGCCGCCCGTTGTAATAAGCAGAGCAGCGGACACATTGGAATGGTTGAAATTTGCCAAATTTTCGACAAGGAAAAAAAATATGTGAAAATTTTGTTTTCAGTTTTTCTGTTATTCTTTTTAGGTTTTAAGGGGAGAGCAGCCAAACAAAAAAAGACCAGACACGTCACGGCAGACGCTTTTTTGTGTGTGGGCAGTGGAAAAATTAAGCAACGGCAGCCGCGCTACCGAAGGCATGGCCCTGGGCGGGGGTCAGAGCACACACCTGACGACGGCACATTATAATTGGAAAACTGCACAAACAATTCTAAAAATAATCCATAATACTAAAGCGTGCAGCGGGGTTGGCAGGTTGGGGGAGGGGACACATGCAAAGCCTCTTCTTAGACTGACTACCTCGTCTCAATAGTGAAATATGCCGGGGAAGTGGGCTCCGATGATCCCGAGTTGTGGTTGCTGCTGCTGCTGTTGGTGTGTCCATTATCACAGTGCGTAGTTGTTGCTTCTGGGAGCGCCTCGGATGTGGTTATCATGCTCAGGGACACCACAGTGGGCGGCTGAACCTGGACGAGCTTTTGGTTCTGGAACTGATATTCCAGCGTGAAGCAAATGTCGTCCAGGTTGTAGACCTGGCTGCTGCTGTCCACGGTGCTGACGGTGGCTATCAGAGGGACTTCGGTGAGGCTTGTGGCAATGGATTCTGTGTGCTGGTGGTGATGGTATGTGATGGGTATGACCGTGATGGGCAGGGGCGTAAGTGTGAGCTGGGCCGGATCGGTGCCCATTGAGGATGGACTTGTGAGGGGGCGCAGTGTGAAGACATCGTCGTCGTAGTTATCGTCCTCCCGCTCGTCCATTTTGATGATGGTCTGTGTCTGCGCCTGCGGGACATCTGCAAACAGGGCGTATGTGGTCGCCGTCGACATCTCATGGTCGTCCGTCTCGAGAGTCAAACCTAATTCTAATGGATTCAGCACCTGTTGCTCGCCGTTGGTCGAGTCAGCCGTGGATGCAACCGATGCCGATGCCGATGTCGGAAGGCCATAAATGCTCAATATGTCGCTGTGTATGATGCCCGCCGTACGGTCGTCCGACTCCCGTTTGGGCATCAGAAGCGACGCCAGCGGCTTCCCCTCGAAACTCGCGAAATCGAGCTGCAGCTCCGATGACGCAGCGGGTGGCGAGCCGGACAGCGATGTGCGCGACGAATTCGTATCGTAATCCCGGCTGTCTGATAACGAATTTCCATGCTTATTGGCTGACTTCCAGGTGTGCTGGTAGTAGCCCTGTTGTTGTTCTTGCTTCTCCTCACTGCTGCTGCTTGTATTTGTATCCATTTCGTAGTATATTCACACACCCACGCACTCGGACACTCCCGGACACGGCGATAATCGCATGCAGTATGCAGCTTGGCGTATATAAATGTCACTGTTCAATGGGATATATACATATATATGTGTACGATTGCAAAAGAAATCGGGGGAGATTTTCCATTAGCGAGTCCGAACAACGGATCCAATCCAAGAGTATGACCGCGGATCACCCTGAACGGCAACAACAAAAATTCTACTTATATCGATGCACAGGGCTGGCTATGAAAAAATATCGGTATTTTTGTGCGATAAGTGGCATTTGACTTTGACAAGTATAGAAATAACTATACCCTATCTTTGAAGTATAAAAAAGAGTAGTAGAGAACTGAGGAAATGTTTGTCATCTTAGGCTCCATTCATTGCAATTAATGCAGAAAATGTTTTTTAGCTATCTCAACGAAATTTCGCAGTTTATGTGGTCAACTTGGCTATAAACTCTAATGTCAGCTCTTCGCTGTAAGTTCTCGCCAAGCTGGGAGCTTTCGCAGAAAATTCTGTTGGGACATTTCGCTTGGATACAATACATAGCCTTGTGGTATATTTGTGCGGTATATTCAACGATACTTCCGCGGTCACACTGCTGTATATACAAAATTCATTGATTTTGTCAACGTAAAAAACAGAGCCAGCGCATAGCAGCACACAGCAGCGAAATATTAAAGTGAAGTTAACTGAATTAGAAACACTGGTGGGGCAAGTGCATGGTAGCAGCAATGAAATCGATGTGAACAAACTGGGCCGCGAGTAGTTGCACTGCCAATCAGAACTCTGCTCCCAATCAGAAGAAAAGAGAGAGAAGCGCGAGAGAAAAAGGCATACGGGTGCAAAAGGAAAAGCAAAAGGCAGAAAAAACGTACAGAGCAATAGCAAAAGCTGGGAAAAATGCAATAGGGAGAAAATCAAATAAAATGACAATCGTTTTTCCACACTAACGTAGACGCAAAAGGCGCCGCGGCCGGCCGTAAAATGCCAAGGAACACTTGCGGGCCAAGTGGATGCGTAGCTAACGGTAACGGCAACGACAACGGTAACGGTAACCAGGACGACAACCAGGATGCCAGCAACGAGAGTGGTGTCGGCGGCATCGTCAAGCAGGAGTTCGAGGCAGCGCCACCCGTCTGCCACAGGAAGTCGGAGCGCCGAAGAGTAGCCCGCGACATCTTTCTGGTCTTCGAGGAGCAGCCGACCCGACGTCGTGGCAAAGGAGCGCGCGGCAAGAACTCGCGGGCCAAGCGAAAGTTTGGCCACCTCAAGGTAGCGAACACCCCGCGCATCAACAAGAACATATTGCGTGAGATCAAAACAGAACCAAAGTGCAGCAGCTCCGTTGTGGCAGAGCCAGTGACAGTGGTGCCACCTGCAGTGCCGCCACCGCTCGCTCCAGCGCCGCCTTTTTCCCTGCTGCCCGCTGCTGAGGGGATCAAGCAACCAGCCGAGGAGCCACTGCCGCTCCCCCATCCTCGAGTGGCAGCAGTGAAAATTGAAACCAAAACAGCAGCAGCAGCAGCATCGAATGCAGCACCATCTAGAGTCCGAACAGAGCCGGCTCCGCCCACGGAGCGGAGGAAGGAGGAGCATCATCATTCAGCATCATCATTGCCGCCAGCTGCTGCCCATCGTCCTGTTTATGCTCGCAACCCTGCTCCCGCTCCCGCTACCGTTCCTACTAATCTTCCCACTCCCCCTACGACGCCCAGCGTCAATCCCATTTTCCTGTGGGTCAAGCAGGACGACACCAGAATCGTGGAGGTGCGCTGCGAGGACTACGACAAGAGGAATCGCATTCGCCTCACCAAGACCACAAATGGCTGGCGATCCATGCCGCGCACAGATGCCTCCTCCACGAGGATAGTCAAATTCTTCCACGGCTCTGCCGCACCCTTGATGAAGGTCAAACGTGAGCAGCAACACGAACAGCATCACGAAAACGAACTGGAGCACGAACAGGAACAGGAGGAGCAGGAGCAGGAGCCAGAGCTGGAGGCCGAGCAGCAGCAGCCGCAGCAGCAGATGCCCATGCCCACCATTGCTCAGAGTCTCCTGCACGACTGGGAGGACAGTGGTGCCACTCAGCTGCCAGATGAGTTGGAGGACAGTGAAGAACAGGAGGAGGAGGAGCAGCAGGAGGAGCAGGAGCCAGACCAGCATGACAATCTGGCTGCGGTGATTGAGGATGTTGTGGTACGACCAGCTGCCAAGCAGTCCCAGCAGTCCCAACAGGCAACGACGCCCACGTCCACGCCCTGCTTTGATGGCCTGCTCCTCGATGGCGAGGAAACAAACGCCTCCACAAAGGCAACCAAGACCAACACGCCCACATATCAGAGTTCCACGCCCTCGCCCATGGAACTGCAGCTGTGCCCCAAAACGGGTCTGTTCCTGCCTCAGGGCCAACTGGCGGCCATAGCCATGGCCGCCTCAGCCCCAGTTGTGTCCAGTGAGGCGGACAAGTCCTCGGCAGAGAACGGAGTAGGAGTTGTAGCCGATACCGTCGAGAGTCTCGATTGCAATACAAAGAATCTAAAAGATCTGCTGGACGATGCCGATGATCTGCTCCAGAACTGCAGCAGCGACAATGGCAGCAACGGGGCCGATCTGCTCGACTCCCTGGTGAAGAGAAGCTGCGAGGACAACCTGGTGCATGCGAGTGGCCCAGCCAATGGTGGGTCCACATCCGTGGAAGGCGACGTCACAACGGCCGGCGACGGTTTGGGCTCGTTCTGCGTGGCCGATCTGGGCAAGGACCTGCCCAGCATGCTGCACATGGACAATGACGATGATGATGCACCCAAGTGCCTGTCCTTCAACGAGGCCGGGGAGATCGAGGGACTGAACGGTGAACTCTTCCTCGGCATTGCGGCCTTTGAGAAACAGCAGGAGGAGATGGCACGCACGGAGCAGCAGCAACCGACAACGCCCGCCACCGTGGAGCTGACACAGACACCCACACCCACACCGACGCCGACGCCACCGTCGCCGGAGATGGAAAAACAAACAGCGGCCACCGGCTCTGCCTCTGCCTCCGCCGATGAAGCGCCCAAGGATCTGAGCTACAAGAAGCGCGAGGAGGTGTGTCCGCCATCGGAGTCGCGCAGCCAGTGCGCGGTGACCTCCAGCTCGGATATACTCAAGTCGCCCGAGCGGGAGCTGCAGCTGCCGGTCAACTCGATCCCAGCGGAGGTGGAGACCACCTCGGAGACGATCAAAAATCTCATTTTGGAGCAATTCCTCAAGCTGAACAGCAACCAGCAGCAGCAGGCACAGCAGGCGGAGCCGATGGATCTAGGCAAGGCGGGTCGGGAGGGCAAGCTGGAGACGGTCGTTGTCATCCACGACGACGACGAGGAGGATGGGGAGTCCAACCAGCCGCTAAAGAAGCGATCCAAGGCCAGCATAAAGATGGACAAGGATCCGGACGCCCTCACCCAGCTGAAGATGCTAATCAGCAATCCGCAGTGGAAGGTGCCCGATCCGATACTCGTGCCAAAGGATCGACTGGGTGCCGTGCTGGCCTCCCCGGCCCGGGAGATTCCCCTGCTGCTGACCACCAGGCCAGAGCTACGGCTGCCCGAGGCCTTTGCCTACCCGGAGATCATCCAGAACCCCAACATCCTGGTGGTGACCATGGAGCAGCTGGAGGCTATACTGAAAACCGAGGCGGAACAGGCAAAGGCCGCCCAGAGCACCGATCCATCCCAGATGCTTGCTGACCATCATCCTCCCTTGAGCAAGGCCAGGAGCCCGAGTCCGAGCCCGAGCCTTAAGCACTCGCAGACACACAAGGCACAGGCGCATGTGCCTGCGCCTCCGTCTCAGCCAAAGCCACCGGTGGTGGGTGCTCCTGTGGCACCCACTCCCCCCTCGCCAGCCGACTCCAGCCTTTCGACGTCCACATCCACGGACTTGAATGCCACCACCTTGGCCCTGCTGCAGCAGATGCTGTGGCTTCCCTACTTCGGACAGCTGTCGCAGGAGCTCTTCAAGACGATCAAGGATCCCCTGGGCATGCAGAGGAAGTTCATGAGCAACCTGCTCCCGCTGTACAACAGCCAGTTCGGGCTGCAACACCTCGACGAGCTCTACAAGCACTGTCTCAAACAGAAGGCAGCGGGGGAGCAGCCGACTGTGTCCAGGGTGTCCACTCCAGTGGCGGCGACGGTCGCGGTCCCTCACCCTGCGCATCCTCATCCGCCTGTGGCTGTAGCCCCGCCGGTTCCCCCCGCAGCAGCTGCCACGAATTCCTTTGGGGTAAACGGCTTTGCCAATCCCATGGAGCTGGCCATCATGCAGAAGTTGCTGCAGCCACAGATGCCAAATTTTTCCAACTGGGAGGCCACAAAGGATGCGTCTGTGTCTGGCTCGGCCTCATCTTCCTCGCATCACCATCATCACCAGGAGCACAAGCGACCCCGCCGGGAACCCGAGTCCAAGGCAAGTGCAGGAGCAGTTGCTGTCGCTCCTCCTCCTGCTCCCGCAGTTCCTTCTCCAGCTCCAGCTCCTGCTCCGGCTCCGGCGGAGCACAAGCCACGACTGACGTGCAAATCCCTCTCGAATCTGCTGGAGCCAGAGCCCATTGTACCGCTGCTCAATGTACCATTCGACAGCCTGCGTCGCACAGCAGCGGCAGGGCATGGATCCAAAACGGGGTCGGAGCAGCAGCAATCCAAGGAGCCGAACCCTGGACGCCTGCTACGCTCCAGCAAGGCGTGCGTCACCTACAATCCCCTGGAGCATGTCAAGCAGCAGATTCAGCAGCAGCAACAACCACATTCGCAGCAGCGAAAGCGTGCCACGAGCAATATGCTCGGCCAGGATGCCCACCAGCAGCAGCAGCAGCAGCAATTGGCTGAGGCTGCTGCAGTGAATGCCAGTGCGGGAGGAATGGATGCCAACTCTGCGCTCTGGCATCCACTATTCGGAAGGTAAATATCCGTGGCATCACCAGTGTTCCTGCCAATTTCAATCCCTTCCTTCTTACAGCAATCCCAAGCAGGGCTACAACAGCCCCTGGCAGTGGACGACAGTGACGGCTACCGGCGAATGACAGTCAAGTCGGGCTCCCAAGGAGCCAGCACCTGCATCGGTCGCACGGACACCCAGCTACGAGGAGCAACAGCCGGACTACAGCAACTACCATGCGAAACTGCAGCAACTGCAGCAGCAGCAGCAGCAGCATCAACATCCACCAGCCAATAATCAAAACCACAGCAACAGCAACAATAGTAGCAACAAATTTTGTTATCCCACGGCATCGGCGTCGGCCATGGAGAATATGTTCCAGAACAATCAGATGGCGGCAGCCGCCGCCGCCCGCGAGACCCTGCTCAATTCGTATCTCTATCAGAAGGAGAGCGGAGCAGAGCCACCCGCCAACTATATGTCGGAGCAGGGCTACTGGCAACAGCAACAACAACAGCAGCAGCAGCAGCATGCGCAACAGCAGCAGCAACTTCATCAGCAGAAGCAGCATCTCCTCCACCAGCAGCAGCAGCAGCAGCAGCAACAATGGACTGGCAATGGAAGCAGCAGCAACACCAACAGCCAGAGGAACAACAACTATGCCAACAATTATGCGGCGGCGGCAGCAGCTTCCATGTACATGCAACACTTCAATCCCTACATGCAGCAAAAGGCAGCACTGCTGGCGGAGAAGGCTGCCCAGGCGGCGGCTGCAGCAGCATCGTCGGCACAGGGTGGCAACGGCAGCAATAAGCACGGACGATTTGGTGGGGACTACGGTTAGACGGCTTTATATGGACAGATGGAGCCTACCTACCCACATATGTAGGTGCTCGATCGGAACTCTTGCATATTACACATAAACATATAGGCAGATACTATATACATTAACTATATATATAGACAAGGCAGTACCGCCAGGAATTGCTAAAGGATAAAACCATGAGACGATGATTTTTCCTTTAATTTCGTAAACAGGAACAGGAACAGCAACAACAACAACAAAAACAAGGTAACCGGAAAGCAACAACAATAATTTATAACAGAAAACAAAATGGCAAAAAATGCAACAAAACAAAAAACAAAACTTAAATTGAATTAGTAAAAATTTGTTATTGGTAGTTTGTTAAAAAAATCAAAAGAGAAAAAGAGAAAAAAAAACAACATAAAAACTTGAAAAAAAAATATTGTAGTAGAGAAGCGGAAGGCAAAAAATGGAGAAAAAAACCTAATTATTGTATTATTGTTAACCAAAATCTATTATTATTATTATTATCTCAAGCTGCGTTATATTATTATTATTATGAACTCGTGTATGGTCTGTACAAAGCGTTTTTATCTAGATGTATTACACTTAGTGGAGGCCCCCGTCCCTCCCTCCCTCCACCACAAAACCAATCCTCAATCTTATATCTCCTCCCCAATCGCAGCGCTAAAAGGCAAAACAGCAATTTTTGTATTCATTCCGAAATGTTCTACTACTTCTATTTCTATTATTTTTTTTGTGTTTATACTAGTTATTATTATGCTTATTATTTATGAAAAAACGATGGAAATGGAATGAAAAAATCCCCCAAAATGTGCAATCTAACATTTATGTTTTAGGCAAAAACGGAAACAATACAACACAAAAAAAAACAACAAAAAAAACCAAAACCAAACGCATAAATCACAAAAATTATTAACGAGAGAGAATGGCATGAGAAATGTGCGGAAGGTGGAAAATAAAGAGAACCCTTTTAGAGAATTTCGCTGATAAAGGCAACAGAATAGCAAAAAATAAAATTGAACGAGAGACTTTTTCATGGGCATCATCGGGATCACGGCATCTCGGCATTCGCTTTCACTTTCAGCATCACAATCAGATCAGAGCACTCAAGAGTTTTGTTTGCATTTGTATAAATATAAATGTATATATATTTGCATTTGTATTTCAATTAATCGGAGGTGTATAATAGGGATAGGTTACTCGTAGTATAAACTTTAACTTGTGTGTGCGTGTGTGTATATAAATACGCAACTTTTTACTTACAAACAACACCTATTTGAATATCTCACGTTTATCGTTTAAACCGCGTTTAATTTAGATTTATTTATCCTTAAAGCATTTCAAATGCGCGCGTGCGAATGTTTTCGGAATTTGTGCTCTGCGTGCATTTCTTTGTTTCTTTTGTTGTTCCCCGATCCACGCTTCGTGGTGTGGACTATTCAATCTGTCGATTGGCTTCCTGCAGACGCGCCACCACAGTCTGATAGAACTTGATCTGCTCCGCAATAAAGTTCTTGAGTGTTTGCTTCAAGTGGGTGTCGCGTTCGGCTTTGAAGTGCGTCAGTTCGGCCAGCACCGTGTAAGAGACGACATCCGTGCGCCTGTTCACGTCCTGCAGCTGGGCATTGCTCATCTTGCCCTCGGCCGTCGATCGCTCGCAGTCCTTGCGCTTCTGTATGGCTCCCTTGTGCGTGGAGAAGATGTCCGGAAAGCAGCTCAGAACGCCCCTGGTTTGGCAAACAACTCGAAATTTATAAATATATAAAAATAAAGCGAAAGCATAACCCACCTGTAGATGTGCAAACGATCGGAGAGTGGGATCCAATCCTGCTTGGGCTGATCACCGAACGCCTGGCCAACGCCAATGAAGATGCCGCCAATGCGTCCCACGCTCTCGGACAGCGGGACAGCATTGCGGGTGGGTGCTCGTCGCTCATCAATCGCCAGGGCCTTGGCCAGCTCGGAGAGACCATCGCCAATGCGCTGGAATTCCTTTTTGCTCTGCGACATGGACCGCTTGGCCATGTCATTGGAAATGCTGTTGAGGTTGCGCACGGCCGCATCCATGCTGTGTATGAACTGCGTTCCACTGTCCAGCTGGGCGTCCACTTTCGAGTGCAGAAGATTCTTGTCCGGCGGCGATATGGCCAGGCAGTAATTGACGCCCGCATAGGGATCCCTCTCGGCCTTACGCTTGCCCGACTTCCAGATCTTCTCGTCCCGGCAGGTGAGAAAATGATACCACACCTCGCACTTCGAGATGACCGGATGGCGGCACACCCAGTCAACGAACTCCTGCAACTGGACGCGTCGATGCTCCACAAACTGCTCCTCATATCGTCCAGATATCTGCTTGTCCGGTAGCGGTGGCACTGGGATCAAACAGAACTTATCCACCAGTCGTTCGTGCAGCCAATCAAAGTGCTTGTAGCGACGCGACACCTAAATAAAGAAAGGGAAACCCAGATTAGATACAAACAATAAAATGTAACACAGGAACGGGGGAGCGGGGTGTGCACTGCGCTGCGCTGAGTCATGAAACAATCATTGAATTGGCGCTGCCGTTGGCTACCAGTTGGTCAGTCAGAAATTGCCCCACAAAAAGAAATTGCCTCAGCTGGGGCATGGCATGGAAATGGCACCCCGAAGACGGAATACCCTAACACACGATCAATCAATCGGATCAATTGCTGTTGATTGTCAATAAAGAAAGGTGTCAACCCATTTCCCTTGACAGAGTTATCCTCCATTTTCCAATGGCACTATCACATGACCCAACCTTAATTACCCCCAAGCAGAGGCAGGGTACGGAGAGAGAAGAAGCAATTTATGAGTCCCCCAACAGACAACCACACCACACACTCCTAACCGCTACCCCACCCCACACGCAACGGGCGCTTTATCGTATTGTTGTTAATCATGGCGATAGCAGAGCGTCGAGACCCAGCTACAGAGTTCTGGATACGAGAGACCACTTACGGATATGTTATTGAAGCTAGGCGTCAGCTGGTAGGCAATAAACGTTTTCATTCCCTTGAATTTTGATTCCTTCTTGGGGCTGGCCACAATCACGGAGTAGGGCGAACCGCTGTGCGTCCACTGATAAATGGAGTCCTCCAGCTGTGTGATGTACGCCACTTCGCAGTCGGGAATTTTCTCTTTGTTGCTGGACAGGCCGAGTATGTACGAGTCGGAGCTCTTGGCGAACATGCCCTTCTTCATGGTGGCCGTGCTGGCAGCGGTGGACGCCAGCGACAGGGTGTCGTCGCTGGGCGCAACAGGTAGGTGCTTGTTATCGTAGTCGCTGGTGGAGTGCGTGAGGCCGCCAGCGCGAGCTGCTTGGCCAGCGGCGCGGCCACTGGGTCCAATCTCTGAGTATGTATCGTTGTCATCGCTCCAGTCATCCTCGTCGTCCCAATTGCTGCCATCGTCGTCGGCCGTCTGGTCGTAGCGCGGCGGAGCTGGCGCTGCAAAGGGATCCGCCACCGGGGGCACCGGAGTGGCAGTGGCTGCACTCAGTTTTTGGGCCTCCGCTGCCGACAGCACCTCCACGTAGGCCGCTGGAAAGAGCCCCACTTGTCCGCGACTGTTTTTGCCCTCCCACCAGCCTTCACCCACATCACTGCGCGTCACCGACAACACTTCGCCCGTGTTGATGGAGAGCTCCGACGAGCCGGGCTCGCCGCTGAAGTCGTACATGGCGCGCACGTACGAGGTCATCTTTTCTTATTGCACTGTTTCCTTGACGCGAGCTTTTATCTTAAATCAACGGGGTCCATAAAGAGATGGAAAATTTAGTTTCGTTGGGGCTGAATAAGGTGTGAGTCAGTGTGTGTGAATAATAGCCGATAACAGTCGAAATTCACACATTTCCAGCGAGTTGGCACTTCCAAAACTGCATACAAATATTTCAAAATATAGGTATGTGACTGCACAAAATCTTATTGTTTCAAACATATAAATGTCCACACTCAAAACCGGGGTGACCAATCTTGTAGAAAATTAATGCATCCATCGAACAAATTTATATGTTAAGTGCTGAAAGTCTTAGCTTGCTAGTAATATTAAACTGAATATCAAAATCGAGGAATATCAACGCATCTTGTCGTGTCCGTCAGTATATTTACGGTATATTTTGAGTCAGGCGGTATATTTTATTAATAAATCTTGTGGGTCTGGTCTGTCTGTCCTTCGGAAACTAGAGCTGTCAAACGATTGATATCGTAATAGTATCGGGCTCAAATAATTATTAAAAAAACATTGAAACCTTTTAGGAACTTTGTAAAAATTAGATGCCACGTGTCGATTTATTTACAAATTTGCCTTCTTATTTTAGAGCAGCCAATCCAAACATATCAAAGCGCAACAACTGTAGCTCGATACTATGATGATAGTCGATAGTAGCGGATAGCAGCAAAACATCGATACTATCGATAGTGCCCTCGATGGTTTGACACCTCTATTCACTCATTTAAAAGAAATTTTATTTAATTGCGCGTTGGTGAGGAACTCAGTTCTCCAGAAGTTGTGCAATAATCACATTCGAGGTATACTTATATCCCAGTGGGTACACGACATTTCAATTGCAGGCACAATTGCAACGCCAAACGGCAAATCTCATATATAGATATATAGCCAAAACAAGTCGGACGTGCAGTTTTCACGACACAAAGACCACAGCACAGCAAAATGAATCGGCAGGCAAAATTCCTTATCTTGTGCCTATTTGTTGGCCTCTTCTCCTCGAACTTGTGCGAAGATGGTAAGAAACAAGAAAATTCCATTTAATTATGTATATTTTAATGTGCCTGCGTGTACATATGTGTGTTCTGCATATCGGTGTGGGTGTATGCGTGTGGTAAACTTGCATGCATGTATTGTACATACATACATGTGCACATATGGAGGGGAATAATATGCGTATTTATTTGCATTTTAAATGTCAAGTTTGTGGGAGTGGACGGGAGGGGTCCTGGACCCCAAGAGACGCATTGATATTGTGGAAAAACTCTACCTAAATATGATTCATAGATATTCTTTTCGCAGCTACTGCTACTGGACCTGTGGCCACCACCACCGCCACGCCGGGTGATGTTACTACCGTTCCTGTTCCAGATGATAAAAACACGACCACAGCGCCTACAACAACGACTTCGACAACCGAGAAGACGACTACTGTACCAACAACTACGTCCACAACAACCACTACGGAGAAAACTACTACGAGCACCACTCCGGCAACAACTACAACTACAACGCCCAACACCACCACAACCACGTCGAGTACAACTTCTTCAACAACGCCAGCCACAACAACAAGCACCACTTCTACAACTCCGTCACCCAACTCGACAACCACTGCAGCCCCAAATACATCGACCACACCCGCTCCGACGCCAACGCCATCGCCATGCCATGGCTTCAATGGATCCTCTTTCATTGGTGGCATTGTGCTGACCCTGGGACTGCTGGCCATCGGCTTGGTGGCCTACAAGTTCTACAAGGCTCGCAACGAGCGTAATTACCACACTCTTTGAGCCGCCACAGCGTTTACGTCGGCATTTAATGCGGCCGGAGCCGGAGCGGCGGCAAGCAGCAACAACACCGCCACGGATGCCGAGCGTGTGCGCTTTGTTCAGCCATCAATACCATTGCGATCGCCACCGGCACAGCCGCCACCTCCTCCACCAACCGGAGCCATCGGTGGTGCGGCAGCAGCCGCGCATTCAACACCCCAAAATTGTTCGCCTTCGGCTAGAGATCGACTGCTGCATACGTAATTTACTCTCGGGGTATATATATATATATATATATATTATTACAATATTATTGCTATCCAAAGAGCCCCTAAGCCCCAACTTCACCTACTCCCAAACAGTCGTATCTATCACACAATCACAGTCCTTGTCCTTTGACATTCAGCTTTATTGGTTTTTAATATGAATTCTTTCCTTATCAGCTATACAGAAAATTATAAATACAATATTTGTCTTGAATGATTCATGAAAAGTTTTGCAAAACTCAGTTTATCAGCATCTGAGCGGATGTTGAAGAGCAGAGCCTTCGGAGCTGGGGCTGCACAGCTCCCCTGGAAGACCGAGACAGAGAAAACAGTAAACAAAGAACAGAAAATGGAGAGACGAAAGAACAAATATAACAGCAAATATGTGAGACTGCTTGATAGCGCGAGAATGATGATGAAGCGGCGGCCGGCTGCCTGGAGACGGCTTTGGTTTCTGGAATTCATAAATAGAGCTACGCTACGAAAAGGGAGAATATAAATTTTGATTATATTTACACAACTTTTGAACAACTAAAACAATTCATTCTAGCAACTAAGAATATTTACTATCTTAACGAGCTATATACAAAAAGAAACGCGTGTCTATTATTCTCCTTCTGCATTAATGTGCATTTTTATATTTTAATCGAATATAATTCTTACTATTGCGTTGCCCCTATTTTTATCCCCCCAACCATCATCGGGTATATACATTTTGTCCCCCCCACTCTTCAGATTTTGAAATATTGCTACAAATCAATAAAGCTTCGCACGATTACGATGAACAGAGGGGGAGGCACAGCGACTTGAACAGGAACAGGGACGACGGCAATGCAGTTGTGTCTGTGACCGCTGTCAATGATACATTCATACATACTTTTATATGCAATATCAATATGTATATCACAGAGCAGGTCTATTGGAACCAAAACATTATGTTACATACATACATACATACATATGAGTACATATATGCGAATGTTGAATATTTTGTATTAGGATTGAAACTACACATATGAATTACCATTTACCTTTACCTCTATCTCTACCTACCGCTTATTGTTGGAAAACCTTTGAAACTACAAGGAAATACTAAACCCAGTCGTCAAGTTTATGCAAACAAACACGAGTATTCTCTCTGTGCAGATGGAAATCAAATCTCATAATTATATAAGCTAAAAAGTAACCAATCTATGTATATCCAGTAATTCACTCCAGCCGGCTTACTACAATATACTATACATATACATAAAACTATATATCTATACATCATGTATGTCTGTATATCGTGTACGATAATAAATATTTTAAATTTAAATGCTATTCGTTTCAAAGGGAATTAAAATTCGCATCAAATTCGGGTCAAAACATTTTATTTATACGGTTTCTTAGAGTATATTACATTATCTGCTAGTTTGCATTCAGTTTCTTCAACTTTTTCTGTATTTTCGGGACTTCCACGCTTTCTGATTTACGCTTGAGGTTATCTTTCGGCTTTCGTTTCTGCTGTTTGGCGTTGAACCGTAGCTGGAGCTTGGTGCCGGCCAGACTGAGGTCCTGTTTGATTGCCTTGCGTGCATCGAATGTGGTGGGCAGGGTTACGGTCGCCGCACTAAACTCACGGAACTTTCCCTTGCCTGGCTTGATTTGAATATCAACTGCATTCTCGAACAGCTCTCGCACCTGCGCTACGGAGCTCGTCTTGGGCAGGTTCGTGATGACGACGGACGATGTGAAGTTACCCTTGCGTTGGCCCTTCTTGGCTTCACGCTTCATCAGGTACTTGGTCCTCTTGTTCTCCACGGAGAGCTGTTGTTTGGTCACAAGTTCATTCACAAACTCGCCCGAATCGGTCTTCGGTAGAGAGACGAAGATTCCCTTGAACGCCGGATCTGTTTCTATAGATGCTTTGATGTCTGCGAATGCTTTATCGCGATCTTCCTTCGATTTGAAGTCAACCAGGCAGAAACGAGCGTGCTTTTGGCGGGGTTTTGTCGATTTGGATACCAGGGGGTGGAGCGACTTGACCTTGGCCTGGAACTCCTGCTCGTCCAATGGTAACTTCTGGGGAAAGCGAACATAAAGACGCGTTCCCTTAAGTTTCTCATACTTGTTCTGGATCTTTTCTTCGATAATCTCTGCTCGGCTCTTGGTCGTTGCGGCTGTCTCTCCATCGTCGGAAGATTCCTCCGCGTCGTCGTCTTCATCGGATTCCGTTGAACTGGCTGCCAAATCCGGTTCGCTTTCGTCTTCAGACTCCTCAGAGTTCTCGGCCAGGAGCTCCTCCGACTCTGAAGAGCTTTCTTCCACCGTTTTCTTCATATTTTTAAATATTTATTAATGTTTTCGTTCGCACGTGTTTCGCAGCCACAACAAGAGCAGAGCGCTCGATGCTATCGGTTTGCGAACACTTTATCATCGATAGCCTTATCGACAGCTATCGAGCACTACACATCTCTAAGCCATTGTTGTCATATCTCGACCGAAAGTGCAAAATAAAAAAAATTATTTTAATTACGTTCTAAGTACAATAATGGGCGTGTTAGAGAATGTCAAGGAATGGTTCACATCAGACACCTCCAGGAATAAGAATTCCTCGCTTGTAGCTGGCCTACTGGTACATATAACACCCACCCCATGAACTATGCTTTTGTAACAGCGCGATTTTTTTCAGTTCTTTGCAGGATGGTGGATCCTAATCGATGCAATGTCTGGCGACGGCAGCCACCAAATTACAACAGGACATGTTTTTATAGGCATATTCGGGACCGTCAGCTTCTGTATGGTGAACGCCGTCAAAGGCGAGCATGTAAGAATTAGTGTCCATAGTGTATAGATAAAATGACTCACTGACCCTCTGTTTAGATTTCGGAAGATAACTCGTCGGAGTCAGGAGCCAGGATTGCCAAACTGTGGCTGCTTGTTGGCTTTGTGATGGGCTTCGCCTCAATCATAGCTGCCATTTGGGTGATGATTGATGATTTCATCAACAATGGTGAGAGGAAAACTTATGACAAGTGAAAACAATAGAATAATCAGTGTTTTTTCGCCATTAGATAAGAAAGAGGCCTGGCTAGGCGTCGCCCTCCTTCTACAGAATGTCTTCATATTGTTCGCAAGTTTGGTTTACAAGTTCGGGCGCAACGAGGAGGAGTGGAACGAATAGAGTCATCCATCGTTTTCTGCATATAGGAAAGACGCTGCTTTTAGTATTTAAATCCATACGTACAAGATATTCAAAGTCCACAAGGATTATGTCGGAGGCAGAGGCCATCTCCCACCGCCTCATCCCGTTTTAATACATAATGACACACGTATAATCTCATTTATAGAATACTAAATAAACGACAAGTCACTTGCGTAAGGTCACTTACTGGGCTGCAGTTTATTTCAGACGGTTAGAGCTATGACGAGCAGTGAGCCAAGATGACTGCCGCTCACCCAATGCCCTGTGCGCCCACCGCACTGGCTATTGCTATAAGAACATGAAATTGAATCAAAGAATGGTTAAGCGCTGATCAAGCTTGTGCATCATACGCGTCAATGGGGCATTCGCGCTCATTCTGCAGACACCACTGAGGCTGCAGGGCCTCGGCTCCCAGGCCGTTTTCCACCAGCCGCTCCCGGTGGAGCAGCAGACGCGACTCCGCCTGTTTCCAGCTTTCGGCGGGATTCGACCAGAGGCGTTCGGCCAGGGCACTGGCACGCGGCCAGAAGCGGTTGTCCAGGGTATGCTCATCGATTTGCTCCGACCAAATGGCTGCCTCGGCGCCAAGCACATGATGCTCATAGTCGCCGGCAATGGCCGACATGGTGTTGTCGTACACCTTCTGCCAGCCAATGTAGGGGGAGCACCAGTTGTTGCCGTCGGTCACCCATCCAGCTCCGCCGCAGTCAAAGTACAGGGCATCGTAATTGGAGACAATCGTCTTGAAGCCACGCTTCAGTATTTTTTTCACCTGGGGATCGCCGCCCATCGTCCAAATCTGGATAATATAACGCTCCGGATTCAAGTACTCATCGATAAAGGGCTCCTCCGTGAGATGACTGGTCCACAGAATGATGGGTGTTTGGGATCCATTGGCCACAATATCCACCCGTTTGAGTGCCTCGGTCTGGAAGTGTCCCCACAGGCGCATGAAGTCGGCAGTCTCTAGACCCCAGCCCTGGGCCTTCATCCATTGGCGGATTGGCAGACTGCTGTTCCAGCAGCTGGTGGACACTTCGTCGCCGCCCATGTGGAAAACATCTGGGCTGAAGATCTCCCACATCTCGCCATAAATGTCCTCTAACACATTATAGAGCCCTTCGGCAGTGGGATCGAGCTGTCCGCAAGGCGGCTCCACGCAGTAATCCTTCCAGGGCTGAGCATTGAAGCAGGCCGTCATATTCTTGTGCTGCCATCCCTCGCCCACATGGGCCGGGGCGTCGAACTCTGGCATTACGCGGATACCCCGCACGCGACCATACTCCACGATCTCGGCCACTGTCCGTTGGGTGTAAACCTGGCGGGGCGAGTAGGCACCCAGCTTGTATAGCTCTGGCCGCTTGCGCATTTCCAGTGGGAAGCTGTGGGAGTCCGTAATGTGCCAGTGGAAGGTGTTCAGCTTGACCAAGGCCATGCCATCTGCAAAAAATGAGAATATTGAAGTGGAATTCACGGGGGCAGCAGATACCCAAGACGTACCCAGAGTGCGCTTGATTGCCTTCACGGAGTAGTAATTGCGAGAAGTGTCCAGCAGCAGGCCGCGCCACTTGAACGAGGGAGCATCGCTGATGGAAGCGTTGGCCGTCACCTGGACCTCGCGCCTTATGTCATCGTAGACAATCAGTTGGGAGAGAGTCTCCAGGCCATGGCGGGCACCAAAGAAGTTGCCCGCAGCTATGCTGGCCACCACATGGCCAGACGGATCGGTGTCTATGTCTAGACTATAGCTTTCGTCCGTCTCCAGGGTAAGTTTAGCCGGATCCGCGTCTTCCGGCGTGTTAATGTTGATGGTGAGTCGATAGCCGCCCCTCGTGAGGATCTTGCGATCAGGAATCTTGGCATCAACCATATCCATCCAACGGTTTTCGGCCGCCTTCCATAGCTTTTCCTTGCGTGCGATGCCAGTAATATTGAAGTCAATGAACGAGATGTCCACTTGGCGCATCAGTGTATCCAGTCGCACTGCTCCCGTGGGCTTGGGCCACAGCGTCCCAATGGAGCTGCCGCAGAAGAGCCGGCACACGGGCAGACTGATTGCCTTGGAGAAGTTCTCCTCGCTCAGCTCCACCTTGCGGCACAGTCCAAGGTGGCATTCATAGCCATAGACCAGGTCTCTGCAGGAAAAACAATATCCAAACAAAGGGAAAGTTCGTACATTGCTCCCAACCATGCAGGCAAAACATTTACATACATAAATACATATGCAAACTTACTCAGATGTGTGTGATATTGTGGGTGCTACAATGGCCGCCAGGAGCAGCAGCAGGGCCACTGGTAGTGCAGTCCCCAACATATTGTCAACGTTCTAAGGGGAGAAACGCTGAAAGTCAACTGGCGAATGCTAGTGGAATACCAAACGAATACATGAAAATTGATTATTTCAAAACAAGTTTTGGCCCACTCTGTGTCTCTGGGGGTCTTTGCAGCAGGTCGAAGTTCGTATACCCTTACTTTAATATCCTACATATGTAGATTAAAGCGTTTGGGGCTGATGTAAAAAGTGATTTCCCTCTTGGCAAATAATTATTGAATTCCCTGGCACTTACTCTGTATTCCAACTGGCTATGAGAGCACTTCACTGTAGACTGAATCTATTTGCCTTTCGCTGTTGCCAATTTATTTGTACGGCAAGCTGCATCGATTGCCAACACACATTTAGCGGCATGGGCATGTGAAGCACTCAAATATATCAGCAGGAAGGGAAGGGGTCGGTTGTATGTCAAGACAAGATTACACGCTTTTGCTTTTTAACTATCTTTCCCTGCTCTTGATGTCGTATTTCTAAGTTCAAAGCCATTGGAACTGGAAGATAGCAATCCGGTTTGGTTTCCCGTAAATCATTGGGGAAAGAGTCACATCGCGAACTGTAGCACCCCGCGAAAGTTCTCAATGAGATTGTGCATAAGCAAACGAATTTATGACGGTTGCTGTTAAAAATCTGTTTTTTTTATACCACCTCGTTTCACGCATATGTACCAACATATGTAGGTACACTATTCGTTCGTCTAAAGGAACTAAAAGTTCATTGTCCATCAGTATACATCTGTATTCATATCTAATTACAATCATATATCTGCCATACTAGTAAGATTTTGTATTAGTATTAGAAACACGGTTTTTTAATGGGTTCCTTATTTCCTAGTCATTAACATTATCTCTATGTAGGATTCACGCCCTTCAGCGTTAGGGTATTATCCTCGTAGATTTCCAGTACATCAGCCAAATGCTCGTTGTCTCTGGGCTTCTTGAACTGTCGCTTCTTGTTGGCAGCCTTTTTGCGTTTTGGAACAGGCTTCTTGAGGCCATGATCTTGCATGGATCGTATACCTGTGGGGACACAAACGTTGCCATAATATGCGACGAATCTATCCGTATGTTTTCGGCATTATCATTATTACCTTGTTTCTCGAGATATTCGTCGATTTTGGCATCGTCCATAGCATCAACAGTAGCCGAACGCCAGAGTTTTTGGAATTCATCATCCACCTATGGGTACAATTTCGTTGCATAGTTCATGAATTGAAGCACAAGCAAAAATAGGACAAAGCTCACCGAAAAATTGGCTGTTCGGTCGTTGTAGAACAAAATTTTCTTCTTGTCAATGGGTCTGATAATAAAAAGTATTTCCGCTGCACGATTTTTCAAAACTTTCTCGCAATGCGGCAGGGACTCCTGCACATCCTCCATCAGTATGCCACCCAGGCCTTTCAAGTCATGCTGCTTTAGCAGTCGCATCAGAGTTTTGCCATCTTTGATTTTGTAGACGGGCTTGAAGCTAAACTTTGTTCCACACGGGCTGACTTCTATCTTTGGGTTGTTGTTTAGAGCTTCCCCAGACAGCCACTGCAATGGATGGGTAGGACATCAGACTATCAGCCTGTAAGGACTTTCAACCTACTTACATTTTTGACAGACTGGCCAATATCCAGTTGGTTGGTCTCGTCGAGAATCTCCTCAATCTGCAGTGGATGATCATCACCGTCCTGGTGACGGGTGCGCATAAACTTCACTATCTTGGCCAACACTCCAAAGCGATACTGCGAGCTGCCAGACATGGTTTTGTACCTAAAAGTGGATCATTTGCCGATGAGTATGGACACGGCAATGAGTGTTTTCAACTTACGAAGATGAATCCAGCTTTGGAGCTGTTGGCGGACGCATTTTCCTCTTGGCGTCATCGCTAGGCGGCGGTGGCAGAGGTCTGTCTGGCTTTGCTTTCTTCTCAACGCTGCGAGGACAGGACAGAAGAGAATGGGCACATTTTTAAAGGACCAACATATGCATGGAAATAGAGAGTAGCTTACGTGGGCGTGGCCATTGCCCGTTTTTTGAAGGCCTCGCGTTCGCGAAGCAGCGCTGGATCCATTTTGCTAGATTTGTGTGTCCTCGCTTATAAACTTAACTTGTTTTTGCTATAATTTTAGAATCGAATCGAATCCAAGCAACAATACAAAACAAACCAACTCAGCTGCTAGTTTGCTGGGCTGCCAACTCGTTTGGATTTTCATCGCCAGGCCAGGGCTGCACTGCTTCGTTTTGTTGTCGTGCCAGTTGGCAGCACCAAATGAATACATTTTTGTTTACCCTGCATCTACACCAAAGTCCATTAGGTTCCACATACAATTGAAACAAATTTTGTTGTGTGGATTTTCCATTTATTAATATCGCTTTAATGGCTTACACAATAAAATATTGATTAAAATACGTCATATATATACTCGTAAATATATGTATGTAATTTATGCATGATTAATTCGCGGTTTCGCGAAGATGAATTTCTTGTTTCTTTATCATGTCGTAATACGTTAGTATGTAAATAGTACATGGTAGACAGAGTTCGTATATGTTATGTAGCTTGCTTCGTAACGGTATTGCGGATAGATCCGATAGTCCCCTAGCTGTTGGTGTTGGTTGGTTGGTTGGTTGGTGTGTTGGTTTCGTTGGCTCCGTTTAAGGTCTGGGTCTTTCTACGAGTACTCTGTATGAGAGCCCACTTGAGTTGTTAGTCAATTGTACGGGTGGATTCGTGTTGGCTGTTTGTCCTCCGTTCTCCGGTCAGCGTTCGAAGTTCTGCGTTCTCGTTCTCCGAGTCTGTATCGCTTTTTCACTGTGTTCTTGGTTCTGCGTCCTGCGTTCTTGTTGCTTTCCGTTTTGAGTGTTTTGTTGTTTGGTTGGTTGGGTCAGTTGAACTGTGTTTGATTGGACTGTTTTCTCAAGTTAGTAAAGTACTCGTACATATAGTTCTCTGTAAGTTCATTTTGTTGTCAGTGGGTCTGTGGAAATAGAAAGATAAAAATGGTTTTGTTCTTAATATGTTCACGGTCAGAGGCACCGCATCGTCAATGCACAATGGTCCCCATTGTGCGCAAGGTTTGTAGGTACGAATACCAATCAGTAGACTGTCTGAACAAAAGCGTTAGGCGTATGCATAATTTCAATAGTGTAGTTCTAAAATCGAGCTTAAATACTAACAACTTACCTCATACCACGGCACCACACACTCATTCCAACTATGGCTAAATTAATACATCGAGGCGAAATTCGAGTATGGTAAAGTTCGTACTTACACTTAGTTGCGTCTCAATCGCTTCCGGCCGCCATCGTCACCGTCAGATCCGCTTCGCTCTTCAGCTTCCATAACCTGCCACACAATATTCTCACTTAGACATGTTCATTTCAATGTTAAACAATTTGTTACCTTTATTTTGGTGCCGCATATTTCAGCTCCGTTCAGAACATGAATGGCCCTTTGGGCACTTTCGCACTCTGCGTACTTTACGTAGCCACAGTTCTTGTTGGGAAGCAAATATACATCGATAAGTCCTTTCCAGCACGAGAAAATGTTCTTCAAAATGGAGTGCGGAAGATTCTGTCAAAGAATAAGATAAACCATAATTAGTTTCACCTCTACTTTGTGCTGTGGATCACCTACCGCAGAAAGCACAATGAAAAGTCGTTGTGCAACTTGGGCATCGGGTGATGCTAAAGGCTGGGCAGGAGGCAGGGGCACGTTGCATATGGCATCCTTTTTAGTGCGTTCTGAAATTGATAAATTATAAATAAAGCAGAATAAAATACTAGATTCCAATAAGCAGTAACAAACTCAACAAAACCAAATGGTGAACTTATAAAGTAATTAATTTTATGTTAGTATCGGCATCTACCCCTAGAAGCTTTTTTCGTACTGTCAATAAATGAGGTATCCATCCGTGCAGAGCTCATGCCATTCACTTTGACAATGATTCGCTCGCCCATGGGGTACTCCAGTCCGTGTAGTTTGTCCCTGCAAGGATATAGATACAAATAATGGTATAAGAAACCTTTTCCAGCGTCATATAGATTGACGTACTTTGCATAGATGGCAGCTTCGGGATTGTCGTAAACCACCATCGCTTCATTGGTACGCGGTCCATCTGCAAGTCATTTCAGAGTTTGGTATATGTATTCCTTGATAGATATTAGGATCTTACGTTCGCGCATGATTTGACAGTAGTCTAAGCCGGGTATGATATCAAAGAGTCGCCAAAGCTGATCCTGATTGACGCAGTTGCTGACGGTGACCTCTAGGCACGATGGCTGAGCGACTGGCACATTTTGCATGCGCAAAAATGCAGACATGTCGTTGTTAGTGGAAGTATTCCAATCATTGTTGAAGCTGCCGGCCCCACTGCTGCCGCCATTGTTATTATAGCTGGAGCCCCCGCGTCCAGGATTGGTGTAGACGGGATTATCCTCGGCCGGGCGACCGTACTGGTCGCGCTGTGAACGCGTTGAGCCCTTGGGCTCGGCAAATACAGCCTTGTACTTGGGCGAACAGTTCTCAAAGGCCACGGCAGCGTAGTAGAATCTGGTGGAAAGCCAATATTAGTCCTGTGTGTTCCCTTAGTCACGACATTTTCATACGCACTTTGTGAAGCGAACGTAGCCAAATCCCTTCGGATTGCCATTGTTCTTCTCCCTGACAATGGTTACGGATTCAACCTCGCCCCATTGGGCAAACTCGTCCCGTATGTCATCTTCGGTTGCCGTCTTCGGGATCACAATAAACAGTCTCACGTATTTTTCCTGTTCGTTTTCAGACTTATTTGAGCCTTGGTTACGACTGCAATTTTAGTAATATAATTTAATTACAAATCTCAAATCCACGACTACCACTTACTTTGCGGCCACCAGAACCTTCAGTGTTCTGTCCATTTTCCCGATAGTCTTGCCATTCATTTCCTCCTGGGCCTTCGCCGCATCGGAGGTTTTGGAGAACTTTACATAGGCAATGCCTTTGTTCTCTTGGGTGTGCTTGTCCTTAACCACCCATATATCTTCAATTTCCCCATAGGCAGAGAACGCCTCACGGAAGTCATCCTCTGTATGTGCCTTATTGCATATGATGAAGAGCCTTGACATGGGCGGATCATCATCGTTTGAGTAGTCTTGACCGCCACGTCCTCCGCCGCGAGATTGGGAACGATAATCAGACATATATAATTGGATTAATAATATTTTTTCTCAACTCCGAAAAATTTTCCCGCTAGCCGCTTTTTTGCTGGCGTATACATATAATGTAGGGTTGCTTTCTGATTGAAAAAATCGAATTTTTGTCCAGCGGTTTTCAGCACTGGGAATTCGAAAATAATGCAAGATAGGTAGAAAAAACAATTTAATCTTCTAGTGACAGATGGTAATCTTATGCCTACCTGCCTAAGCAGTAATTTCTACCTGGAAATGTGAACTGATTTATAAGACATGGCCGCACTTAAACGTCTTAGTTGCAATTAGTTCTTCAGCATGAAAGCAATTATAAACAAGCTAGTGAAAATCATGCTTGCCTTTTCTTATTTACAGTTCGTTTGTGGTGATTTGGCGAAGCTGCAGAGAAAATCCCACACCGAGGAATTTGAGGGAGCTCCTGCCCTATTTAGGGCAATGTCATCTGCTCCAAACGATGGCTACACATACAATTGGAGCGTGGTCTCATTTTCGACGGATGATTACGACAGTTACGATCCATCCGAGTCTCCCGTCAACTGCACGGTTCTCTACTTGGATCAGTGCACATCCTGGAACAAGTGCCGCCAAACATGTTTAAAGACTGGAGCCACCAGCTACAGATGGTTCCATGATGGCTGTTGCGAATGTGTGGGCGAACATTGTGTAAACTACGGTATAAATGAGAGCAGGTGTCGCATGTGTCCCGAGCCGGGTTCCGATGACGAAGATTAGGCCTAAAAGCATAAATTTACAAATCGCTTTAATCTGTAATAAATATAAAAATATTGAATTTAATTTAAATGATTAATTGATTTTCTTCAAATGATGAGTGCTGGAAAACGCATCAGAACGAACATAGCACGTGCTGTTGAGACCCTGGCTTGCTGCTTGTCCATCCCTGTTTGTTTTCGTTCAAACTCCACGTTGTTTTGGATCGGATCGCTGCCTCATTTTAAAACGCGAAAATCATTAAAATAAAGGGAAATGGGTCGAAAATTCCAAAAGAAACAGAAAGTCGATCAGCTGGAGATTGTGCCGGTTGATGAAAATCCGCCACTACCTCCACAGAGGAAATCAGATGATGTTATTCCCAAAAGAGTAAGGTGCTTACAAATTCATTCTCATGGCACTGCTAAAATATAGCCACTTGATCTTGCAGGAAAAATGGGTGAACAAACAGCGTGTGCTGGTGTTCGCTGCGCGTGGCATTAGCCACAGGGACAGACATTTAATGCGGGATATCAAGACCTTGATGCCGCATCATCGGGCCGAGTCGAAAATGGAGCGGGCTAAGACTCTGTCGGTGGTAAACGAGATGTGCGAAATGAAGCATTGCAACAAGGCCATGCTCTTTGAGGGGCGACGCAAGCGGGACCTGTACATGTGGGTGTCCAACACGGTCGGCTCCGAGGGTCCGTCAGCCAAATTCCTTATCGAGAACATCCACACAATGGCTGAGCTGAAGATGACCGGAAATTGTTTGAAAGGTTCGCGACCACTGCTCTCGTTCGACTCCAAATTTGATGAGTTGCCGCACCTGAAGCTTCTCAAAGAGCTCTTTGTGCAGACCTACTCAGTGCCCCACCATCATCCCAAGAGCCAGCCGTTTGTGGACCACGTCTTCACCTTCACCTACCTGGACAATCGCATCTGGTTCAGGAATTTCCAGATTCTCTCCGAAGACGGTGGCCTGTCAGAGGTGGGACCACGCTACGTGATGAATCCCGTCAAGATATTCGACGGTTCCTTCACCGGCAAAACCCTATGGGAGAATCCCGACTATGTCAGCCCCTCCAAGCAGCGACAGATCCTGAAGAAGTCGGCCAAGGATAAGTACGTGAACCGTGTGGAGCAGAAGGTGCAACATGAGGCGACGCGACCAGTCAAGGCATACGACGGCATCGACAACGAGGAGCTCTTCGATGATGAAGACCCCATAGCAACAGCCAAGATCCTCGCTGCGATAGCCAAAAAGAAGCAGCAGGAAAAGGAGCAGAAAACGCCAAAGTCAGCGCTGACCAAGAAGATCAAGGAGAAACAGTTGAAGGCGGTGAAAAAGGTGATCGACCAGAAGAAAGCAAAGGTAACAAAACGTGTAAAAAAGGTCTGAGTGGCTGGTGTTAGAAAATACATTTAAATACAAAACGATTACACTTTATAAACACATTCATATACATGTAAATTGTGCATTCTTAATTTGAATATCAATAGACAAGAAGATTACATGTTACTATTCGCTCTCACTATTGGGCTTTGTACGTCGCGACGGAGATAGTCCTCAGACTGGGCTATAAGTATATATAAATATTAATATATTAACATCCTAGTGAGATGTGCGTTGAGTTGCGGAGGGGCTTGGAATAAATAGAAAGAAAGAAAGCGTCTTTGTGTATTCGCCCTTAGAGCGTTACTCCTCCGTCATGGGGGCAACCTCTGGGTCAGATGGCGGGATTCGTGTAATACTGAACGGCTGCTTGTTGATCGGCATCATTTCCACCACCTGAATGGGCGGCTCCTCGCCGGGCTGCAGCGGTTCCTCGCCAACTAATTTGGCCAAATTGCTTTGAGCCCAACGACCAGCGCGGCCATTGATTTGTTTATCCTCGCAAACGCACAGGAACAAGGTGTCCACCACCATCTGTGTGGGGATGGCATCATTATTGCATCGTTAATAATCGTTGACATTGGATTACTCACCTCAAAGAGCGACAGGATAATGTGGGCGATGAAGAATGAAAATATTATAATGAGTATTACGGGGGCCATATAGAAGTTAAGACCCGGCAAATCCTTTAGCATGAAAATTCCAATCAGGCCGGAAAGAGCGGCCACCACGACCTTTCCCAAAAAGAGAATAAAGTCGCCAACGCTGTTGATTGTGGCCACTTGCAGGACATTGGTGGCCATGGCATTCCAAGCCTATGAAAGGGGAGGAATGCATACTTTTAGATACCTCTAATCGGATTATGTCAAGCTCAAACTTACAATTCCTGCAGCAGGGCAAAAATTAATCGACTCGATGGCCACAACGGTGTAGGCATTGTGGTTGAGAAAGCGGATGAACTTCTCCAGCAGCCAGAAACCACAAATGCAGCACTTTAAGCAGCAGGCGGCACACTCCGAACCCTTGTCTTCGCCCTTTTTCAGCCTGTAATGGCGAAATCAATCGTGACCAATAGCTATAAATTGTATACAGGCTGAGAAACTTACTTGGCATACAAATAGGTGAGTATGAGGCGAGGAATCTTGAAGATAGTGATCACAAAGGATCCCTTGGCAACGGTTCCCAGGTGATATTTGACCAATTTGCCAATGGCATAGCATGTGGGCGTTGTGGTGGGCTTGCCAAAGTACCAGAAGGCGACAGCGGCGGCCAATGCAAACTGCTGACAGGCGAAAATGAACTCCACCGTCCAAATCAGACCCACCACATATACCCAGAACATGCTCCGCAGGGCACCGGCATCGGCATACTCTACACGGGAAATGGCTGTTGTAAACAGAGAATATAATTAATTAAACTGAAGCAAAGTTCGGTGATAAAAGAAATTTGTTGTGATCATTGTATGTACACAGTAGATCCGAAAGTGGTTTAGAAAAAAAGCACACAGAAATATGTACACAAAAGTTGAAGATGGAACTCGGTTGTGCCTTTAGCAAAAATCACTTACTTATTCAACCATAAATTACATCATAAAAACACACACACAAAAATACAAAAGATATGTTAGATGTGTTTGGTTAATTCAATTAGCACTGCTCCAAAGCCCATCCAAAATAGAACCTGGCCAAGAAATGAGTTCATCTCGACACCATCTCAATATCTACTCACTTCTCTGATCGTTGAGGCTGGTATTGTTGCTCGCAAACAACGCATTGGCAGGCAGCGGCTGCTGATGGGCGGCCGTATTGTCAAACGGAGCAATGGGACTCTGACCCGGAGAGCTGGCTGTGGCCAGGCAGATGACCACCGCAACCCAAAAGCTCAGGAAGGCAATCAGCACAACGAAAGCTAAGAGCGGAGCAATTAAAAGACCCGGCAGATTCATCATGCATTGGCCGGCTTCCTCGAAGAGGGCCGACAGACCAGCCAGTTTGTTCTTCAGAAAGTAGATAATAACCAAAAGGATAATCTACAAAATAGAGTAGCACATGAGAAACGATCCATGGGTCAGTTTTATGGGCATAGCAAACCATTGTTATGGTGGCCAGGACGGCCAGCGTTAGCACAGCCTCCTGATTCCGCATAAACTCCCTCAGCATTGAGTACTGAGTGTTCACTTGTTCCGACTTGTTCCTGATATTGTAGTAGGCGTACCACAGAGCAGCCGTCAGGCCAATGCTGGCCACAATCACCAACACGCAAATGACCCAGGAGACGATGCGCGAGAGCCAATGCATCATGGTAACCAGAGCAATTGAAATAACTAAAGAAATAGAAAATTTAGAAAAGATTCCAAGAACGAAAAGAGGTACATACGCAGGGCTATGCCACAGACCATGGCAATGATGTGCCAGCTGGAGTAAATGTCGCTGAGAAACTGTGCTGCCACGTCCCAGTTATTGAGAATCTTGTAAAATTCCCGCACATTATCTCCGGTGCCCTTTGGCACGCAGCGATGCAGCACAGGCGAACTAAGAGGGAAGCAGAAATTTGAGAGTCCAAATGGAATATAGAAGTGAAAATAAATCGTACCTCTCGTAGATCGGGAAACTGGGACATGGCCCGAGGAAGTTGAAGGTCTTGCCATCATTGCCCACCGTACTAAGTTGATCCATGTTGTAGTCATATTTGCAGAGATGGTTGCTCGTTTCAGTGTAGTACTGCAGCAGCTCGCTGGTCTTGGTTAGGGTTTTGGCGGGGCAGGACTTTACGCATATCTTCAAGGACTTCTTCAGCTCCTTCACATCGAAGTAGAAGAGCTCGGGCTTGTCGACGGTGTTCATGCCGGATAGGGGGAACCCGTGGAATCGCTCATTGTGCTTAACTCCACAGGTGTTGCCAAAGGAGTCGTAGCCATTAATGATTCGCAGAGGATTACCATAAACAAACGAAAATATCGCTATCACAATCTGAAAAGAAAATCCCTCGAATCAGTTAATAGCAATGGAAAGACGGCGCCAGCAGAGATAGCAAGCAAATACATATGGAAATGCTGAAATTGTCCGCCAACGCCCATGAACATGGCATGTCAAGGCCCATTATTATTGTAATCGGTTTAATGGACGTACCCCATGGATATATGTATATCACATGGAAATGCTTTCACGAGAAGGGAGTGGCGTGTCCAGCAGGACACTGGCGAAGCGGAAATTGATTTAGCTCATACTGAGTCGAGTCTCAAAAGAGCCAGTGTTAAATCATCGCATTCATTAACTGAATTAACAATTCCATGCTCATATGATGGCAACGGCGATGACGACATGACTTGCTCGCCTAAGTAACAAGTAGTCATTCGCCTCCCCTCCCCTCCACAAAGACAACGACAAGCATTTGCGCACTCACACAGAGACAAAGGAAAGCGTTCGCATTCGCATTAAAGTAGATTGATCTCTCACCGCTCGCTTTCACTTTTTTTATACACTCTACCGCATATATATCCGCCATATAGCGACAGGGGATCGGAATGGATGCGTATATTTACCAGAAATAGCCAAAATATAATGAAGAGCGCCAGCCAAAAGACATCCGTGCAGGACCGGTATTTAGGCCTAGGATTTTGTGTCTCGCCCTCCCCATCATCTTTACTCTCTGCACAGCCCATCTTAAGCTGAATTCACTAAAATACGAATCTGCCGGCACAAGTCTAGTTCCTTATCACAAGGCGGTTTGTATATAAATTTTTGTAGAATGCCACTTGTTTGTTCCTATTTTGATTTACAACCCGCAACAACATTAACCCACTTACACCCCTCTATTTAAAAAGTTGAGCACCCTTTGTTAAACCCCGGAACATAATACTGTTTGTAAAGGCTCCTTGTAGCTCCAGCCTCCTCATTAGTTACAAAACAAAAATGACCACCGACATCTTTCACCTGTAATGCGTAAAATATGTTAAAGGTACATAAATTTCGTGGAAATATGAAATACCCCCCTGGTCGACAATGGGTTAACGTTCTATTTTATTGATTGAAATTGTATTCCATAAATTTTATATTCCGTTTGATATTGCTAGCTAGTTGGCCCATTCAGCTTTAAAAAAGTAATTTTATCCGATTCCTCAATAAATTTTGTTCAGGATTGGTTAGTTTTCAGAACTCTTTTTCATTGGATAGTTTACATAATAAGGTTCAAACAAAAACGGCCAAAGCATAAAACGTAAATGTTGACTAAATGTGACGTCTATGTTGCTGGTCAACCCAGTTTCTTCTATGCGTATGCACTTTTGTATACCATACCTTATTTCCTTTAATTGATGTTAAATTTGTTGTTCCAAGCTCCATTGAAACATTAATAATGATTTGATCTTAGATTGACATGTTTTTTACCTATTGCATATGTTTTGTGTTTTATAACATTTTGAAATTCATTTCATTTTGAAACATTTTGACAAATGATATATAAAAAATTTATTTAATATGCGCACAATAACGCAGCGAAAGAATATATACTGAAATCATTGGTTCTCTCCCTTTCAATACATTATTTTCTTTCAGATAAAAAACCTTCAAAAATATTCAATCTAGCAACTGTTTGACTGCCCTGCCCTGGTTATCAACGTCGTAACATCTGATGACTGGAAAGTGCGACACCCTGGAATAGCTTTCACATTAATTACAAGCAAAAAAAAGTAAAATAAAGTAAAACTACATTATTGCCAGACCAGACGCGAAAATATATATAGTAAGCCACAAAATGAGTTTCCTCAGCTACATATTCGGGCCCAGCCTGTACATGGAGTACAGGGGAGCCGAGCGAAAGGTGTACGAGGCTGGAGCTGTTGAAAAGTTCGGTGAACAAATTCTGTCCACGGTGAGTGTACCAACCAAATCGAATGGAGCATATGGGGTCTGGTCTAGATGGTCTACTCATTCCAGCTATCGGTTATGTGGTCGGTGGGCTACTATACGTCGCCATTGATTGTCACATTCCTGTACCGTCGCGGGTACTTTGTTGCCGATTCGATGCCGACGCTGGCCAAAATCACAACCAGCGTGGGATTGATTGTGATTATGTCGCTGGTCATGCGAGGCATGGGCCGCAAACAGTCGCGGGTCTACTCGAACATGATGAAAGCCTTGGCGGAGGCGCGGGCCAACAAGACCAGCGGGGAGCTGCGCCGCTTCGACATTGAGTTCAGCTCGTGGCCTGTGGACTTTGATGTGAAGTCCCTGACTGGGTGAGGACACCAGATCCTTACAAATGATTCGCAGCGTAACTTTCCCCATTTAGGGATACCAAGAAGCCCGTTGTTACCGCCAGCCGACGGGAGCCGCTGCGTTTCGCCACACTGCCGTGTGAGGTGATTGCCTACCTGGCAATCAACACCTTTGGACTGCCTATGATCTATCCGGGCTCAGTCAAGCTGCTGCAGAAGTTTATGCGTATGTAATACTGTCTTAATGTTACAAGTAATGATTAAAACTTTTGGTGTATTGCATTGCAGGACCAATGTTGATCTCAGGACGTGCCAAACTTGTCGAAGACGACAATGGCATCCGCTATAAAATTAAGACAATCGATTCGAATGAAATTGACACTCTGTTCATCGATAATCGCATTGACAACGTGGGCAATGGCAAGACTCTGATCATTTGCTCCGAGGGAAATGCGGGATTCTATGAAGTCGGCATTATGGGTACTCCGGTGGCCCTAAAATATTCGGTTCTGGGCTGGAACCATCCTGGATTTGCCGGCAGCTCGGGCACGCCATACCCGCATCAGGACAAGAATGCCATTGATTCTGTTGTGCAATTTGCGATTAACCATTTGGGATTCTCTGTGGAGGATATTATATTTTATGGCTGGAGCATCGGGGGCTTTAGCGCATTGTATGCCGCATCCATTTATCCAGATGCCAAGGGAGTTGTCCTGGACGCCACCTTCGATGATATCCTCTACTTGGCTGTACCTCGTATGCCCTCCCAGGTGGCCGGCATTGTCAAGACGGCCGTTCGCAATTATTGCAACCTGAACAACGCCGAATTGGCCCAGCAGTTCAACGGACCCATTTCGTTCATTCGGCGCACTGAGGATGAAATAATCGCCGAGTAAGATAGATGCATTTTTATTCTATTTATATTTATAACACTTTTGCACTTGTTTAGGGACAACCGCATTGAAACGAATCGCGGCAACTTCTTGGTTTTGTCTGTGCTGAAGAATCGCTATCCAAAGATCTTTGGCGCACAGCAGTTGACACGTATCCAGGGTTTGTTGTCAAAGCCCCTAGAACCGTACAGCATCCCGGCATCCGAGGAGAAGCTGAGCATGTCGCGCCTTATTACTTTTGCCTCCGATGAGGGCAAGTCATTCCCCATGCTGATTGGAGCCGACTACTCCGAGGAGGTGCGCAACAACATGGCTGTATTTTTGGTATGTTCCTGCCCGCTTGCCCTTATCTACGAGTGGGCTAAATATTCCTTCCATTTTTCCATTTCAGTTACGCAAACATTTACGTGATTACAACTCTACACACTGCACACAGTTGCCAGGTGAATTCTTCACCATGCCGTGGGACATACCCACCGAGCAGGGATTCGTATTCACCTAGGCCCATCATAATCACAGTCCCTCCCTATCTTAATATGTATTCGATTGTGGTGTGGCAGTATGCTTAGATATAGTGAAATGGTTTTAGCCCTTTTTGCATTTCGACTGCTTAATAAATTATTCATAACTGGGAACAGCCGGGAAGCTGTTGTACAACAGAACATGCAACATACATATGGTGTTAAACTGTACCGTCTTATACGTACTATATAAACGAAATAAATGTCACAAGCTAAAAACGGATCTCGTTCGTTGGTAAGCGTTCTTTCTATTTCACTTATTCACCTAAAACTAAAAAACGTAGCTAAAGCCTACGAATTCTTCTTTGAGCCCCCGAAGCCGGAGAAGCCCATAATGGCAGCCATATCATCAGGTATTCCTCCGGAGGCCAGGTCACCGCTGTCTTCGGCCTTGCGCTTGCGTTCTTTCCTCTTCTCCTTTCTGTGCTCCTTGTAGCGTTCCTCCTCCTCTTTGGCCTCGCGCAATCTCTTGTCCAGCTCGTAGTCTTTTTGCTTCTCCTCCATTTTCTTTTTGTTCTGCTGGAAGCGCTCCTTCACCTGGTCAACCGTGCTGCGCTCCACCTTCATGGACATGCCCAGATTGCGCTGGTGCTTCTTTCCATTGATGTGATCCAGAAAGTTGATCGAGTCTTTAACAACGCAGTCACACACATTGCAGTAGTAGCCGCCGGATTGCGAGGTCGGTGTATTCTTGTTTATCACAACGCTCTTGCCCAATTTGCTGTCCAGATCCACCTTATAGTCGCGTCGTTTCAGGTTCTCCCTCTGAACAGGCTCTGCAGGGAAAGTTGGTTAGGACTGTTTGTGAAGACCAGATCAGGTACGAACCTTCTTCTTTGGGGGCCACCTGGTTCAGCAGGCGCTCGGCGGCAAGCTTCTCGTACTCGTTTTTGTCCCATTTTCTGCGGTGGTCATCAGGTCGCATCGTCATGGTGCTTGGTTTATGGCTATTTATTTTTTTTAATTTTGTAGAAAAATGGTAAATAAATAGATATGCGAGTTGAGTTCCTACTAAGTGCGATGTATCGAGTGCCACATCGACGAAGGCGTATCGATATTCGGTCATCGGCTATCGAGAGTTTATTGATTTTTCGCCTTCCTAAGTTGGAAAATAAAACGGATATACAACAGAAAACTCGTGCAAACCAAGGGAATCTTTATCTTCCAAGCATTAAAAGGATCTTTTAAGTGTTCAGCAATGGGCGCAGCATTTTTTCCTGTGCTGTTTTTCACGGCGCTCTGGGGAGCTGTTGGAATTGGAATGCCCATTATGACCCCAAAGGGTCCGCACCAGAATTTAATACGCTGCATCCTAATGCTGACGGCCGCCTGCTGCTGGCTGTTCTGGCTGTGCTGCTACATGGCCCAAATGAATCCTCTGATTGGCCCCAAACTAAAGCGGGATGTCGTTGCCATGATTGGTAGGTCGTGGGATATGAAAATCGTCGATGGCTAAAATGTGTATCCTCCAGACTGGAGCAGTATCCGCAGTATTTAAAGTGCAATCCTATCTCAAGTAATCCACGGGTTGCTTATCTTAATTAATCATGTTAAAAAGTGTATTTAAACTATGTTGAAAATAAAAATCTAACTGATTTCGATAACCATTCAAATGTCAGATTATTGCGCTCGCTGCAGCATTGCCATGTCAAAAAGAGGGAGCCCAGGAGAAAGAAAGAGAGAGAGAGAGAGAGAACGAGCGAGAGCGGCTGATGCGCAGTCGCAACTGACTCTGTATATTCACATCTGAAGCCCGCAATACTGAGATTTTGGGGCCACTGTCTTTAGTTTTCTTTCAGTCACGGGCGCGATAAGTTGTCGTGAAATGCTTGTTCTGTTGCTGTGACCAGAATACCGTGAATATCTCAAGCGATAAATGTTAAATTAGTATCAATTCTATAGCCAAGGGCCCAAGGGAATCTGTGCAACACTTGTGATTGTGTTTTGAATAGAAACAGCTTGCAGGAATTATTTAATTCGGACCTACCAGTCTACCCATCAAATGGAACCACACTTCCACTGCTGCCTGGGACGATAGTTAATTTTTGTAAGTATTTGCAGTTTAATTAAGAGGAAGATTGCATTTAGGACTATCGGAGATCCCACACTGAAGACTCTCCCTAAGACCAAGCGGTCTTAGCGGAGTCGAGTTCATAAACTAGTTAGACACATGCACTAAACCAGAAAAAGTAGTTGAAGGTACAAAACTGGTTACATTACTCAAAACGAAGTCTTCTTCCCCGCTGCCAAACCAAAAACAAATCCAAGTGTAAGAAGTAGAAAACGATGAAATGTACACAGGCCCACCACCAGGCATGAGCACAATAATCGCGCACAAACGAGCTGGCGAAGCTAAAAAATTATGGATGTTAAAATGAAAATGGCAATAAAAGGGGCCCAAACACAGACACAGACCAAGACCTGGGGGACCCAGGGTAAGGCATTGAGCCAAAACCAGTTGAAATACCATTTTACACAATGCGGACAGACAATAAAAGAAATTAGAAATTAAGATTCCACCCGAAAAAAGGGCGGCAAAAAGCAAAAAGCCAAAGAGCACCTACGTCGGTTGCTACAGCTACTGGCACCTAAAAACACACCTCAATAAAAGTGTAAAGAACGACAAAACAAAAGAGTGTACACTGTACAGGTGAATGTCCAGAGAACAGAAACAAAAGCCGGAGAACGTTTTGTTGTCCGCTTTGGTCTGCTCTGCTGCTGGTGCTTTATATGTCGCTAGCCGCGCAATTACCACGTTTATGAACTGGGCCAATTGACAGTTCGGACCCGTTGGCCACAGAGCCACCAAGAACACCAAGAGAACACCATCATTATGTGATCCCACAAAACGGCGATGAGTGTGGGTCTTGTCTTGTCGTCTCCCGTAATGACGAAAGATTGTTGTACTGGTATCTGAAGATCTAAGCGTTTTGCCTCCGGAAATTGATTTTTGCTCTGTGTGTGGGGCCTAACGTTTACTTTACTGTTCGTGTTCTGTTCGCTGACAGGAAGAAGCTGCTATGTTTGACCCAATTTTAAGGCGGAGCTTCATAATAACCGACAATTTACGCAAATTCACTCCCTCCTCCTCCTCCTCCTCCTGACTCATACTCATTGATAACTGCTGCAGTCTGCCGGTGAAAGTCCCAAAACTTCGAAACTCCGAAGCTGAGCCAAATGACTCAGACAGACTGGAGAGCGACACACCAGAGACCAGACACGGACAAGGCCAAGACAGGTTGCCAAATCCTAGACGCCGAAAACACACCCATATCTGTATGTCTCTCCTGTCTGTCTATCTGTCACCCAAGTATTTCTTTTTGGTTTTTGGTTTTTCCTTTTTTGTGTTTGGATAATTTTCACCTGAAATTAATTTCACTGAGGCAATTTTCATTTTTCGTGTGTCGGAAGTGGATCAAAGACAGACAGAGAGGCCCGGCCCGGCCCGGCTCGTCTCGGCCCGAGAGACCAGAGAAATAGAAATGCGAAAAACCAGATTCAGATTGAAAAATTATGTACATTTTTACGAGCATTTCTTTGGTGTGCGTTTACTTTTGATTTCGTTTTCGTTGTCTTGTCACAAATTATTCATTTACGAGTTAATGAAACACTTTCGCTCGTTAAGAGGCTGCCCTGGAATCGACCCCCAACCAGAATCTGAATCCCAGGCCGAACCAAGATCTTGGGCCGCCTTTGATCCCCCGCCATCGTTAGCGGTCCGATCGGATCGGGGGCCTGGGATTCTCTGGCCATGCCCAAAACTGTTGAGAATCGCAAATTGGTCAAGAGAACCGAACGTCATCATTATGAAGATATGCTGGCCTGGCCCAAATTGGCAGCTTTGCTGATCATCTGTGCCGCACGATTCTCGGACGGCGGCAAACAGCTCCAAATGACAGAGACAGACACAGAAACGTAGACGGAATCAGAGACAGAGCCGGAGACTCTGGCTGAGCGATCAGATTGATCTCTGCAGCTGACTTGGTCTCCGTGCCGTGCCGAGGCGAAATAGAACATAACGCTAAGCTGCGACTAAATTGCATTCAAATGATGTAAAATCGCCTCTAATGGGCTGATCTTTTGTTTCGCCTGTCGAGCCGAGGCACCGCTCGGTCGAGTGGAGTGAAGAGTGTGGAGGAAAGCGACCTCAAATGCAAGAGTTCGTTGCGGTAAAGAAAATGCACTGGATTGGATTGGATGGAAAACATTTCCCCACACAGACAGAGCAAAATGAAATATACAGTCGTCCAATGCAGGAGAATGGAATGGGTATGGGTATGGGGATGTGCGTGCTGCGCATGCGGAATCGCGGCACTAATTGCATTTCGGGTTCTTATCTGCTGAGTGCGTCGATGCATACTAAGAGGAAGCGGACACAGCCATGGCGACATTTGCATTAGACATGGACTCAAACTAAATAGAGTTATCTGCAACTGGTTGTGGCTTTCCCCACTTCCCCAAACCATTAATTTGGGGGAATCATAAATTTGAATTTCGATTACAAGCATCTGATAGACTAACAGTTTAACAGGGACATGTTAATGAGGGCTCTGCTAAAGCAAATTAGATTCTACAAGTTATGTAAAATAGTTACGAGTATATCCATGAAAACGTTCCCCATCAATTATGGTATATCTTATAAACGTTTCCCAGCTTCGCTGACAAGTCACCCGCCAAGCATTTAGCACTGTTGTTAATACTGTTACCTCAGACTAACGGTGCTCACTCCCTGACTTTACACTTTTCAGCCTTTTCAGTTGCATGGAATTCTATTCTCGGTAGTCCGAGCCGGGGCAGGGCGCCCTGTCCAATACGTCAACCTGTTGTGCTGTACACCTTGCCATGGCGGACAATGAGTAATAAAGCTCCCCCGAATTATGCTCGAGAGAGCACACAGCACACCACACACACACACACACTTAAAGGGTTTCGGAGGGGAGTGTGTGGGAAAGAGCAGAGAAGCATCGGCAGATTTGTTGGTTTTGTTTTTAATTAGTTTGGTCGTCGGTTAAAGAGTAACGGTGAATACTTTTAATGACTCGGCGCTCTTCGCTCTTCGCTCTCCACTCTCCCACCCCACCGCCTGATGAGCATTCGCGTGTCGTTCCCTAAGTTTAGCTTAGCCCCTGTTCCTCAGAGGTTGCGATACACTCTCTATCCTCTATCCTCTCTCCTCTCCCCTCCCATCTTTAGTTACATATGTGTTATTGTTAATGTTATGCCTGTGGGTTCTTTCTTGACAACTTTTCCCCTCCGTTTGTCGTAGAAATGAAATGCACTTTTAGTTCCGCACAAATCGTAATGGAGAAAGAGAGGAGTGACGCATTACATTTCCGTGTACATTTGTATTCCGTATTGTTCTTCTCCTTCTTGTATCGTATTTGCCAACAATGTTGTTCTGCTCCAGTAAAAGGCCTCCGCAGCGCCGTTAGAGCGATTATGAAACTGCAAATGTTGCACAGATTGCTCTCCACGCATACATATTCATCTCCTAGTGGCTATTAAACAATTAATTCATTGCACAATTAGTGGAACGTTACTTATTAAAGGCATCATCCATTGTGAAATTGAAATTGCACCGCACCCACCTGCTGCTTACAGCCGCAGAGCTGTGTTCGGTTAGGGTATCGGTATCGTCTATCGTTCATCAATTGCCGTTTCTTTTCGGCCAGAGAAGATTGCATAAATTTGCACATTCCTCAATCCACAATGTGTTCCTCTAACAATTATGACATCTATCAACAAACAAACAAACAAACAAAGAGCTAGCGGTATCCGAAATTTTATAATGAAGCTACCAAAAACACATTTCAGGTCTGCCAATTTGCAATCACTTTCAAAATTAAACAACAAAATACACAAATAAATAAACACGAATTCGTATAAGTTGCCCTTTTGATGGGACTGGGACTGGACTGCATTGTTTGGATGATTCAATTTTCGATTTTCTAGTTTGAAATGAACTTTCCATTTCGGTGCTTTCTGATAAGCATCCCATTGACATCGATGCCTCTGCTACATGTGCCCCTGCCACTCCACTACCTCTCACACACCTGTCACTTTTCACTTTCTTCGTGGCCTCCACACTTTGTCGGCGTCTATTATTATTGAAAGTGGTCGTGGATGTGGATAACTCTTCTTAATCTGGCCGAAAATCGCTCGCATGCGATCGAGGTAAATGCCAACGCATTCGGACACAATGTATATGGATATCTGTACATTTTGGGTATATTTTTGGATCGCAAACGGGTTAATGTTGGGCCCGGCCGCCCGACTTCCGTTAGACAGACGCCCGTCGTAAATGGTAGACATTTTTTGCAGCCACTGTCCAGATCAAATTCTCATCAATCATTCTTTGGCTCTTTTTCGTCGATCTGCCCGTTTGTCCATCTGTCCCGACAGTCGTGTCTGTCTCCCTGTCTCTCGTTTCGTTGCAACGTCTTGAACAATTTCACCGATAGAGAAAATCGGCTAATGCGAGAAATTTAATCAACTTATGCGTGGACGACGACGTCTTAATACTTAACGCTGAAAAAGCACTCTGCCAGTGAGTGTGTGCCAGCATTATTTTTGTCTTTTATTTTATTATTTTTGTTAAGTTTTTTTTCACGCGGCTCAGACGTAAGTCAATTTATTCTTTCTTTCTCCATTCGAACACACACACACACACAGTGTAGAGAGGGGTGGAGTACTCGTACCAGTTACCAGTTTTGGTTTTGGCTTTTGGCTCTGGCTGTCTGTCTGTCTGTCTGTCTGTCTCTCTCCGTTCCCCATAGCGGCTGCGCGCATGCGCATCTAGGTCAAGCGCTGATGGGATGCCTATGGCTGTGGCGATGCCGATGCCGACGCCGATGGCTATGGCTCCCCAAGCGTTCTAACTGTCATGGGAGCAGTAGGGTACGTACTACTACTACTACAATGTAGTACCTGGAACCTCTCCTCCACACTCTCTTCAAATAAACGTGAGTGTGCCTGCTGGCCGTGCCTCCCTTTGGCTTGGTCTCTAATTGTGCCTGTTCTGTTCTTCAATTTGGCGTCTTTTTCTGGTACTTGGAGCCCGTTTTGGCGGTATTTTTTTATTAGGCAAATGTGTTTCCGTTCCATTTCAATGGGAAGTGGCTGGCAGCAGATACGAAAGAATGCTTCTTAATGGAGGTAATGGAGTTTGCCATGGGAAGAGCACATTGAAAGATATTACAAACAATTAATGGAGTTAAGGAATTAATTCGAATGTACACTGGGGTTCGAACTAACCTTTGAAATAGGGAATACGAAAATAGAGATTCCCACATTAGGAACCCCATCGGTTCTACGAATTATATCATTTAATTTGAATATATTCGAACGGTTATTAGTTTCTCTTCTCGCAGAAACAAAATACCCAAAATCGACCCCGACCCAGACCATCATCAAGAAATTCCAAAAATAACAGAACTTTTACTTTTGGCAGTCGGCAGGTTGCTGGCGAGACTTCGAGAGCTTCGAGCGCTTTGGGGCCTCACCTCATCACTAACGATGGCTTCCCGCACCGAAAACTATTTTTACCCCAACGTTTCTCCTCTGAACTCTGCTTTGATTGCACATGTACTACATTGTGGCATTACCGAGCATTAATACGCGTGTATCGTACATGTGTATATGACGGTGGAACAAGCAATAACCCAGCCACAGTCCCAGCCACAGTCCCAGCCCCAGTCAGGCATCAACTTAACCATCTCCATCTCCATCGCCATTCCAGCTGAACCGAAGAACTGGTTTCTGGGCACCACTTCGGTGTGGGCTGATCCGATGGTTTGCTCGTTCGTTCTTCGAGATGTTATTATGGAGAGTGCAAGGTGGAAAAGAAGTGAAAATTCCGAATTTGTAGGGCTCAGCCGGCAAGCGTATCAAAGTGTCAGGGAATTCTCTAATTAAATCTTCTTCTTTTTTTGTTGTTGTTGTTGTTGTGGGATAGCTTTCGCTTTTTATGACTGGTGGTCACCTGAGAGGTCTGCACTGTTCCCATACCAGAGTGGTGGCATCCCCATTAATTATGGAATTTATATCATACGACATTCCTTCATTAAGAGATTTCAATGTGGGGGTCGGGTCTTGTGAGCTGGGCTTTGCACGGGTTTCTGGGAGGGGAGGACTTTGACGTAGCCTGGGCTCGAGTTGGAGTTCGGGAAATGCAAATGGAAACCGGTTAGACTCTTTCGTTGTTCTTTTCCTTTTGCGAAAAGTGAGAATTTTCGTTTGGCTAATGGTATGGCCAAACAGGATTAGCCGGTTCCTAGGCATGCTGGCCCATTAGCTTAGCGGGTATTTTCACGGAGAGAGAGAATGAATCCGCCACAGCCAGCACTCAGAGTGGGCTCAAAAGAAAGCAAATCCAAATCCCGCTCAAACAAATTTCAACGAAAGTGAAGCATCGAACCAAAACATAATGTAATCCCGATTTATTTGATTAATATCTTTCAGAATCAGCGAACACCGAACACCGAACACCGATCAGCGATCAACGCAACGGCAGAAATATGGACACGGTGTATGGGACAAAGAAATACTTCCAGAGTCTATCGGGTGTGAGTGATATATACAGAGCGCAGACATGTCGGCAAATGGTGAGTCGTTTATCACACAGGCATCACAAAGGGATTACTGTTTTATAAGTACGAGAACCCAATTCTGGGGAACATAATCAACATACGCCAGGTGTACCGCAGGGGGAATTCGGGTCTCGCCTGAATAGAGGAGCGGCCCGCCCGTCCGTCCATTTATCGCGATCAGAATCTCTTTTGTAAATAGAAATGTTACATCAACTTGGGGTTTTCTTTTCTTCCACTCCAAACTGAACAAAGAACGCAGAATGCATATTTATTGTTTGTTTGGGATCTGGAGTTGGCTCGGGCTGTTTGCATTCCCCATACCCCATTCCCCATTCCCCATCATCAGCTGCTAGACTAGCGACTAGTCAGCCTCTGGCCTAGCATAGGTAACCAGCGAGCCAAACACGACGGAGACGGAGACGGAGACAGCGACAGCGGCAGTGGCAGAAGAACTACGTTCTAAAGGTGAATGACTTTCTCTGCCACAGGCAGCCACGAAAGAGGAGGCACACACAGAGAGACAGAAAGAGAATGAGAAGAGGCAAGACGAGAAATTGGCCAAAAGAGAACGCGGTGCGTGCTCCGGGGAGGAGGGGCAAGAGGTAGCTCAGGAAGTGCCCTGCAGCTAATGAATGTTAAATGGTAATCAAGAAACAATCAGACTCTCCCTCGAGAGGTGCCGGGAACTACTATGCCCATGCGGATGGGTGTCGCAGCTGCCAGATCCCAGCGTACTCCCAGTGCAATGACTTGTGTTCCCAGGCCAGGCTAATTAAATGCACCCGATCGTAGCAACGGACATTAACAAATCATGACAAGTGTCGTGCTTGCCCACCCCACCCCTTTCCCCGTCTGATACTTCGACCGATCGCTGAAAATGAGCGCCAAGTGGGGAGCACCGTTAGAAGTGCTAGAGGTGCGCGTATTCACTTCCGAGAATGAGTTCTCAGACTAACAGCACAGCACACAGAAGATTGGCAGCTGGCGGCTGGCGGCTGGCTGCTGGTGGGACTGTGACCCAAGAAAGAAAGTCGCCAAAGGGCCGAGAAAGTTGTCTCGTCTCCGGATAATTATCTAATTAGCAGCTATCGGGATCAATTGGCAATGGGCCGGCAATCTGGGGTGGCATGCTTTAGAAACACACTTACACCCAACGACGATTCCACTCCAATCTTTGCAGAGCACGGACTACACGTACCAGAACACTCTGGGGCGTAGATCACAGTTGGGGGCCTACTACCACATGAACAAGCAGCCCTCGTACACAAACGATCATAGCATCAACAGCCAGTACGGATACAATACGTGGGGCATCTGGCGGGATGGCCGGAACATAGCCCCGTCCACGTTCTCGGCCAAGACGCAGACGCAGTATCCAAAGAACCGATCCTTCTCCATCATCCTCACGACGGCCGCTTTTATAGTTCTCCTGGCGGTGATCTCCATAGCGGGTCTGGCATTCTACTTCAGCTCCATCAAGGCCACCCTCGAAGATCGTAAGTATCCAACATTCCCGGTAGGGGGTCGTCTCCTATTGATATTCTCTCCCATGCCACAGCAATCATGGGCTTTGAGGGTTCGTTCCGCATTGCCAAGGGGGATCTGTACTCGACGGGCCTGAAGTACAACCACACCACCACCTACAAGCAGAAGATCGACTTTTACAAGCGCTTCGTGGAACGATCCCTCACGGACAATGGCCTGCAGCCGCTACGTACCGATGTCTGGGGATTCGGCGATGGTCCTCTGATTAAGGTCTCTTTCCGTGTGTTCCTCGACGTCCGTAAACTTCCGCAGTACGTACATCCCACCCATCCCCATTCCCATCCCCATCCATTCCATCGCTCTGTGGGTGTAACGAGCCTTTGATCTCTGCAGGAATATACTCAGCGTGGAGGAGTACATCAAGGAGTCTCTGTTTTTGGAGACAGCGGCCACCAAGTCACTCTATCGCTCGCTCCGCCTGGACACGGAGTCTGTGGAGATCAAGCGGATCATGGACGAGCAGGTGGTGCGATCAGCGGCAATCTTAAAGGAGGCTGTAAGCAGACGACAACCCACCCTGATCTCCCCCCGGGATCTCAACTAATCCTCACTAATTACTTGCAGCAAACGGTGCCCACTAGTCAGACCCAGCTGGAGAAGCGGCTCATGAAGAAGGGAACGCCTGCCCCGGCACTGCACCCACTGAAGCCACTGGGCAACACCACACCCAAGCCCCGCAATCCACTCGTTCGCAATCACTCAGCCGACGAGGAGCCGGAGATCGATGTGGAGAATGCGCCCGTCATTCAGGGCTCCTTCGAGGGATCCTTCGAGATAACCAAAACGGATGCGGACATTGCCCGCAAGAAGATCCCGCCCACACGGGCCTACCAGAGCAGCAGCAGCAGCAGCAGCAGCCTGCCACCCAAATCGATAGCTGTCACGCCGTACTCCCTCCGGGTGAAGCCCAAGAAGCCCGGCATTGAGAAGCTGACGACTATTGTGCCCCAGCAGCAGCAGCAGCAGCAGCCTTCCATGCCACCGGCCACCACTAAGGCGACCAAGAGGCCAACAACAACAACAACAACAACAAAAACGAGCACAAAGAGAACCACTAGCACTAGTACCAGCACCAGCACCAGCACCAGCACTACGACAACAAGTACAACAACAACCACAACACCCAAACCGACAACAACAACAACAACCACAGCTGCAAGTACCACCACCAAGGCAGCAGAGCCATCACCACCACCACCCCTGAGCACCAGCACCCCTCTGCCCAGCACCACGACATTCACGTATCCGCCCGTGACGGCGCCCACTCCCACCCACAGCATGTCCCTGCCCAAGCTGGATGCGAATCTCTTCACCACGTTCCCCATACTGGACACGCAGCCCTGGCGACCGATGCACCGTGAAGTGCCAGAGCTCATGGCTGGACCGCCGCCCGCTTTTCCAACCAAAACTCTGCCTGTGGCAGGCGGAACCACGCCCACTGTCAATCATATACCGCAGAGGCGGAACGACGAGCTGGAGCTGCCGTTTATAGGAGACAATCCCACGCCACCGACAGCCGCTGTGGCGCCAGTGACCATCGATGATCCGTATGGGCCCATGTCCATTGCCGGATTCCTGAATCAGGGAGTACGCATAAGCGAGCCGAAGATGCCGGAGACGGCAGGTGCAGGCCAGGAGCAGCAGCAGCAGCAGCAGCAGCTGCAGGATCAGGATATGCTCTTCTACCACAACTTTGGCAGTCCGATCTTCATGCCAGGCACTGAGAATATTGAGCGCCTGGGCGGAGCTCTGGTCGAGCCGCATCCCCTGCCTGTGCCCCTGATTGATGACGTCATTATACCACCATTCAAACCGATCGATCCCACGCTGGGAACGGGGGACAAGCTGCCCTTCAACATCGATGCCAGCAACGAGAGATTCGAGCACTTGGGCGGCGGTGTCATAGCCAAGAAGCAGGAGAAGCCGCAGAAGCAGGAAACCTCCACAAGGCAGGGTCCCGTTGATGTCACCACGCAGAGGATCAACCACACCAGCACAGCTCCTCCTCCTACCCCTCCTGCTCCAGTGAGGTTCGTGGTCAGCAGCTCACCCAGGCCCACGAGCGCTCCCGCTCTGCCCTCGCTGAAACCGACGGACAATTCGGTGCTGGCCGACACCATTGGAGAGTTCTTCATGGAGCTACTGAACCTGCCCAAGGAGGGTAATGCCACCACCAGGAGCAGCACCCCACAGCCAGAGCCAGAGCCTGAGCCTGAGCGGAAGCAGGAGCTGGAGATCGATGAAGTAGAGTCAAGGATAGAGCCCGAAGAAACCGAGACGCCGAAGCCGCACACTGGGCATCATAACTCCAAGCCGAACTTTATGAACATGAAGGAGCACATCCTGCAGCGCAATACTCCATCCTTGATTCTGTCCAATGACAGCCTTGAAAGCACGACAAGCTCCACGACTACCACGACCACGACCACGACCACATCCAGCACAACTACAGAGGAGCCAAGAACCGTCAGTGGCATTTCCAACAGAAACCGCATCCGGACGACCAGCGAGCGGCCCACAATGATGGACGACTCCAACCTGTTCCCCTCACACTCCAAGTGGGAGTTTGTCAACAGCTCGTCCGCGCAGAACTACGGACACAATTCGAATATGCGGAAGATCTTTAACAAGACGCTGCAGGCGTGGGTATCGGAGGACATTGACAAGTCGGAGAACCTGACGCTGAACGACATCAAGACGCGGATCAACAATGCCAGCAACATCCAGGACATTTCGCTGATCTTTGACACGCTGGCCTCCAAGCTGGGCATCACGCCGAGCGTTCCCAACAAGTTCCCGCCCTTCTCGCAGAACAAACTGAAGCATCCGCCGAAGGAGGAGACCAGAGTGAGGCCAGCGTTGCTGGTTTCAACGACCACGGAACTGCCAGTCCAAGAATCGAGCTTGAAGAGCCACATAGACCAGCGGGAGCCATTCATTAAGCCAATGTCCAGTTTTATGGACGACGGATCCTCAGAGGGGCTGGGAGCAGCCATTCCAGTGGTTGGCGAGGCGGAGGTGGAAGTGGTGGACCCGCTGAAGTACGAGGAGCTGCTGAAGATCTCACAGTTCGCCCACGAGCCCACATCCACCACGGAGCCGAGCGTGCATCGGCTGGTCACCCTGCTACCCGTGCGCTCCAATTCGGGCATTCGCACCTACAAACCCCCCACCGAAGACTTCGAATCGCAGCGTAGCAGTGAGAGCGGGACTTCCCCCGTTCCCGGCCAGGGAAGTGGCGCAGCCAACATACGGCGAAAGATCAACCTCAACCAGAGCCGTAGGTTCGGGCAGCCACCGGCCGAGGCGGTCGTTAAGGGTGGCATCAAGGTCACAGTCAAGAAATGATCATCGAGCAAGGACAGAGTCGGCCAAATAACTTCAAGATGAGATTATAAAAAGGATCAAGATGAGTTTTCAATATGCAGTAGGTCTTTGGAAACGATTTGTAGCTAGCTCTAAGTAGGGAATAAAACGTTGGTTAGTTCGGTTCGTTAATCGGAATGTGCAAATAACAAAATCTTGTTCGAAAATTGTTCGCGTGCCGGAACAATTTTGGAATGACAATTCCTGTTATTCTTTGGGGCGCTATCTGTGTGGTGTGTCTGCCAATCCTCAGTATTTAAGATTCATTATACATATTACATTCCTTGTCTAAGTGTGGAATCAATAAACTTTAGTTATAATTTGTATACGAAGCTACGATTTAAATATATTATTTTTCAGTTCAATGCGATTCTTATGTTAATGTTAGATTTTTGGATGTGTAAGTCGGTAGCGTAAGTTTGACCCATTTATTAAATGTGAATAATTTATTATTTAACGTTTGTGTTTCCATCGCAATGTGGGTGGCTGTAGGAGACAGGCCCGAATGCTAACGATTAAAAGCAGTGGGAGTATTGGAAGCATATGGGAATTCGGCTTTCCACAGGACTTCATGGATAAGAAACGTAAAGCAAAAAGCGGTGCCAACTTAAAGAACTTAACCTGTGTGGATTTGATTTAATATTGAAATTACAAGTGACGTCCGGACCACCAGGATGATTTTAATCAGAGTATGCATTAAAAAACATCCCATCCTCATGTGCCCCATACAATTTTTGATGGTTGTCATTGCAGATACCGGTACGTAAAGCAATACTATCCAGTAGTAGATCAGATCTCAAACACTTTAGGAATTCTTTAGCAATTTAATTGCTCGCTGACAAAAGCTGACTGATATGAAACGAAACTCTAATTGATCGCTGACAAAAATGAAAAATGTAAAAACTAGAATGCAATTAGCTAAAAGCAATGCGTAGCTTTGTTATTGTTTACAAATTGAACAATTCAAACGAAAATTACGCGCTTTAAAGAGTTTTTTCCGTTTTTTTTATTCCGTTATTGAGTAGAATGTCGCTGCTGGCACACCGAGAAGTGAATACAAAGTTGATAGTACGGCAGTCCCTGCATGTACATATACATATATGTATATATAGAAAGATATAAGTTTGTACATAATTTTATCGTAATAAAAAGTTTTCTGAAAAATATAAATTGAATGACTGAGTCGAAAACCGACGGCATTTGCACAATATGTAATTTTCAAAAAAAAACCTGACTAAAATAGGGATATGTATATGTAAATGTGCAATTTCAAATAAATCAAACAGTTCAGATTTTTTATTTATATATATTGTATTTATTTCCCACCCACTCTGCCCATTCCTCTTATGTTGCGGCAGGTCAGCCCAGGTCGCTGCACCAGCTGGCTGACGACACTGAAATCAAAACGAAAAACAAATTTCGGTTCAAGCTGACAAAAATTGTAGAACCCAAACAAACACAGTATGTGAGAATACATGGCACACAACCACTAACCATACAGTATATAGATGTGCCAGTTCATACAACGAAAGGGGCGCAGCTGAGGTTTCTGTCCCAGCACCCCCAGGTCTTCGGCTAGGGTGCTGGGACCATTCGGCTGTGGTGCTGAGACGTTCGGGTCGTGGGCCTGAGACGTTCGGCATTTTTTCGACATGTTCGATTCATGACGAGATGCGAAAGCAAGCCGAGAATTGCAAGTGTGTGTGTGTACGCAGGCACGACCAAATATTTATGAATTCTTATTTTCCGAAACCGTTTTGAGTTTGTTCTGAGTTTCGTTTCCAGGTTGCGTAAATGTGTGTGTGTCTTCTATTCACACATACTGTGCTTGTGTGTGGGCTCTACAATTTTTTGCCGCTTGAATTGGTTTTTCGTTTTGTTTTGAGGGCTGATGTAGCAACCTGAGCTGGCCTGCCGCAACATAACTGAGGAATGGGCAGAGTGGGTGGGGGTGGGAAATAAATACAATATATAAAAATAAAATATATTAATTGTTTGATTTAATTGAAATTGCACATTTACATATACATATGTACGTATCCCTATTTTAGACATTTTATTTTTTTTTCAGAGAACTTTTTATTTCGATAAAATTTGGTACAAACGTATATATTTCTATATATATATATATGCATGGAATTGGTATATACCAGGGCTCCACGCGCAACACCCATTTGCACCTCCTTCTTCCCTCACCGCGCCCTCTTGTGCGACGGGGCATACGCGTGTGCTGTTGGGCCATCAATGTGTAAGTTGCGATCTCTATCGACTGCCAAGTATAATCTATTCTATGTGTAACATCTTTCTCCTTCCACAGGAAATCCAGTACGACCAATTTGAGTGTCATTATTGCACGTGTCTACAATTTCAATGAAAAGGGAGATCTGAAATCTTCAGGTGCGCATAACACGAACAACTTCCATCTGGCATTCATTTAACATCCCATCTTTTCCTTTTGTAGATTATCCCTACCAGCCAACGGTGACATCATTATAGATGGGAAGAGACTGAGAGATTGAACACAAAAAATTGCTCATCTGCGTATGGACTCTGGTATTCGCTAAGCTAATGATTCATTTGGGTGCCACACCACACACACACACTCACAAATGTGTGAATATATCATATGTATTCGGTAGACAGTATGCAGTACATTTCTAGGAAGTAATTGCCTTAAGACTTTTTTTTAATAAACTAAAAATTCTGTAAAATTTAGTAAACTAAACCCCAAATGTCCTGTTTTGACGGGGAATAATCCTACATGTTGCTTAGGTTTAAGTCTACCCAGATAAAATAAAATAAAATGGCGTACGACTATATAAACGTGCGTTTTAGCATTATTAATAAGCGGAAATCAACGTTTGTACATAATACGATGTTACTTACATATATAAGTAATGCCAGTTAGTAATACCATTGTATAGTGTTTTTGTATTGCTTTAGCAGTAACATGGACGGAATATTATATAAAGCTACATACATACATATATACATCAAATATGTATTGTATAGTTTATTAAAAAATAAAAAAATACAATTTATATGTGTGCTTTAATTGGAGTGGGCGGGAGGTCAAGAATATTCTTTGAGGACTTTATTAAGGATCTAAAAGCCATGGAATGCACAGATCGGGCTGCGCAATGAATTGACTTGAAATGTCCTTGAAAAGGAATCTAAGAAATTGTGGATATTTTCCCGATCACGGGTAGGCGTCGCACGCCCTGATCGGACGATAAAACAGCGGAGTTATAGGGATTTAATGGCAATTTCCTTATTGTCCTTAAAGCGAAATGATGGGGGACATCCTGCTGATTACGAGGATACTTATCACATTCAGATCGGATGAAAAATGACAGAGAAAAGTAATTATTTAAGAATGGGAGAAATATCCTTGATCCTTGGTCCTTTTTAGAACTCCAAAAAATCGAGGATTTTCTTCCGATCACGAGGACACGTACCACGTCCTGATCGGTCGATAAATAACGGAGTTAAAGCGATTGAAAAACGCTAAAATTATTTACACAACAACAGCACATTTGAATTTGGCGCTCAATTTCAAAAAGTTAGTTCCAGCATTGGCCGTCGGTTATCAGTGGGGCCACTGTGCGTACAAAATTTAATTTTTGCACAGTGGATCCCCCATGATCAGCGACGGCCACTGCTGGAACTAAAGTATGGTAGTTCCAGATTTCACCATTCATTATGGGGGCGTCACAGTGCAAATAAAAATTTTGTTGTTGCACAGTGGCGCCCCCATGATCAGCGACGGCCACAGCTGGAACTAAAGTATGGTAGTTCCAGAAATCGCCGTTAATAAATGGGGGCGCCACTGTGCAAATAAAAATTTTTGGATTGCACAGTGGCGCCCCCAGTGTTGAACGGCCACTGCTGGAACTAAAGTATTGTAGTTCCAGCAATAGCCGCTCAACACTGGGGGTGCCACTGTGCAAATAAAAATTTTTCGTTTCACAGTAGCGCCCCCATAAACACGGACGGCCACGGGAGGAACTAACGTATGGTAGTTCCAGAAATAGCCGCTCAACACTGGGGGTGCCACTGTGCAAATAAAAATTTTTCGTTTCACAGTAGCGCCCCCATAAACACGGACGGCCACGGGAGGAACTAACGTATGGTAGTTCCAGAAATAGCCGTTCATAATTGGGGGCGCCACTGTGCAAAGTGGCACAGTTGCACAGTGACGCCCCCATTTATTAACGGCGATTTCTGGAACTACCATACTTTAGTTCCAGCAGTGGCCGTCGCTGATCATGGGGGCGCCACTGTGCAACAACAAAATTTTTATTTGCACTGTGACGCCCCCATAATGAATGGTGAAATCTGGAACTACCATACTTTAGTTCCAGCAGTGGCCGTCGCTGATCATGGGGGATCCACTGTGCAAAAATTAAATTTTGTACGCACAGTGGCCCCACTGATAACCGACGGCCAATGCTGGAACTAACTTTTTGAAATTGAGCGCCAAATTCAAATGTGCTGTTGTTGTGTAAATAATTTTAGCGTTTTTCAATCGCTTTAACTCCGTTATTTATCGACCGATCAGGACGTGGTACGTGTCCTCGTGATCGGAAGAAAATCCTCGATTTTTTGGAGTTCTAAAAAGGACCAAGGATCAAGGATATTTCTCCCATTCTTAAATAATTACTTTTCTCTGTCATTTTTCATCCGATCTGAATGTGATAAGTATCCTCGTAATCAGCAGGATGTCCCCCATCATTTCGCTTTAAGGACAATAAGGAAATTGCCATTAAATCCCTATAACTCCGCTGTTTTATCGTCCGATCAGGGCGTGCGACGCCTACCCGTGATCGGGAAAATATCCACAATTTCTTAGATTCCTTTTCAAGGACATTTCAAGTCAATTCATTGCGCAGCCCGATCTGTGCATTCCATGGCTTTTAGATCCTTAATAAAGTCCTCAAAGAATATTCTTGACCTCCCGCCCACTCCAATTAAAGCACACCCATTAATTTTTTAATTTTTTATTTTTTAATAAACTATACAATACATATTTGATGTATATATGTATGTAGCCTTATATATTATTCCGTCCATGTTACTGCTAAAGCAATACAAAAACACTATACAATGGTATTACTAACTGGCATACTTATATATGTAAGTAACATCGTATTATGTACAAACGTTGATTTCCGCTTATTAATAATGCTAAAACGCACGTTTATATAGTCGTACGCCATTTTATTTTATTTTATCTGGGTAGACTTAAACCTAAGCAACATGTAGGATTATTCCCCGTCAAAACAGGACATTTGGGGTTTAGTTTACTAAATTTTACAGAATTTTTAGTTTATTAAAAAAAAGTCTTAAGGCAATTACTTCCTAGAAATGTACTGCATACTGTCTACCGAATACATATGATATATTCACACATTTGTGAGTGTGTGTGTGTGGTGTGGCACCCAAATGAATCATTAGCTTAGCGAATACCAGAGTCCATACGCAGATGAGCAATTTTTTGTGTTCAATCTCTCAGTCTCTTCCCATCTATAATGATGTCACCGTTGGCTGGTAGGGATAATCTACAAAAGGAAAAGATGGGATGTTAAATGAATGCCAGATGGAAGTTGTTCGTGTTATGCGCACCTAAGATTTCAGATCTCCCTTTTCATTGAAATTGTAGACACGTGCAATAATGACACTCAAATTGGTCGTACTGGATTTCCTGTGGAAGGAGAAAGATGTTACACATAGAATAGATTATACTTGGCAGTCGATAGAGATCGCAACTTACACATTGATGGCCCAACAGCACACGCGTATGCCCCGTCGCACAAGAGGGCGCGGTGAGGGAAGAAGGAGGTGCAAATGGGTGTTGCGCGTGGAGCCCTGGTATATACCAATTCCATGCATATATATATATATAGAAATATACGTTTGTACCAAATTTTATCGAAATAAAAAGTTCTCTGAAAAAAAAAAATGTCTAAAATAGGGATACGTACATATGTATATGTAAATGTGCAATTTCAATTAAATCAAACAATTAATATATTTTATTTTTATATATTGTATTTATTTCCCACCCCCACCCACTCTGCCCATTCCTCAGTTATGTTGCGGCAGGCCAGCTCAGGTTGCTACATCAGCCCTCAAAACAAAACGAAAAACCAATTCAAGCGGCAAAAAATTGTAGAGCCCACACACAAGCACAGTATGTGTGAATAGAAGACACACACACATTTACGCAACCTGGAAACGAAACTCAGAACAAACTCAAAACGGTTTCGGAAAATAAGAATTCATAAATATTTGGTCGTGCCTGCGTACACACACACACTTGCAATTCTCGGCTTGCTTTCGCATCTCGTCATGAATCGAACATGTCGAAAAAATGCCGAACGTCTCAGGCCCACGAACCGAACGAACCTCAGCTGCGCCCCTTTCGTTGTATGAACTGGCACATCTATATACTGTATGGTTAGTGACACAACATTTATGATTAACCCATTGTCGACCACTTTCAGTTTACGCACGAATATTATGAAACTTGCAAAATTTTAACGCAGTTCAGGTGAAAGATATCGTGTTCATTTTGTTTTATAAGTAAGTGTCGCGGGACGATAGTTTGTATCGATAGGTATTTTTAGTACATCTGGTATATTAAAATGGATGGATTTTGAGCCCTGGAATGAACGGGCATATTTTCGGCCACGATGAATTGCCGCCATATTTTAAGCTGCACTTTTGTATTGTCGCGTGGTTAGAGCAGGAGGAAATACTGCGGTAAGAATATTGTGGGACTTCTAAGAGGTTATGTGACCATCCTTTCTTATCTAGAATAAAACGGGCTTACGAGAAAACCTGCTTCTCTGGGAGTATATCGGCCGTTGAAGGCAACTCCGTGGGACCACCGACATGATCTTTTATTCGCAGTCCTAGGCAAGTCGACTGCAAGGGCAACTTGCGCTTGAGTACAGGCAGTCAGCCATCTCAAGTAAGAGAGTTGCCAGAGACGCGGACAGCGTAGATTGGACGGGCCGCAGACAGCGACCCAGAGTAGACGCAGACAGCGCCGATTAGCTGGAGTACTGGGCAGAATAGAAGGATGCAACATTCTCCCAGACGAAGTAGCCGGTTGAACGAGGAGCAAGCGACTCCAACAACAATGAGCGCGGCTTCCCAACCTGGAAGTAGTGGTGCAGGAAAGAAGCCGCCAAAGCCAAAAGTAACATCGGCGCCGCTGATTCCTAACCCGACCACTGCTGTTACCGTAGTAGCTTCCCAACCTGGAAGTATTACGACCACAGCTGGAGCTTCAGTACCAGGACAGGCCCAGCCACCTCCAACCCAAGATCTCTTGGAGAAAATTGCAGCGTTGGAGAAGGAGCTGGAAAGGGAAAGAGCCCGAAACAACGTGAACACTGCCACCGATACCGTAATATCGAGCGATGTCGGGGTGAGTAGTGCGGCGTCACTGCTGACGCCATCTTGGAGCGATACGCCATTTTCGATTAGTAGCGATCCGATCCCATATAACGGAGTCGGTGCGAGCAGTGCAGCATGTATGGAACCACCATCATGTAGCGGACCATCGCTGCTTATGAGCAGCAGCTATTTTACGCCATTTTGTGCAACCAGCACCGCCCAGACAGCGCGTGGAGCTGTGCCGCCGGGTATAGGGATCCATAACGTCATAACGCCGACTTCACTAGCGGGGTCCTACGCCTGGACGACACCGAATGGAAGCAGTGGAAACTATATGCCACGCAAGCTTCCAGATCTGCCAGTATTTGGAGGTCAGCCAGAAGATTGGCCGATCTTTCTTTGTGCGTTTACGGAAACCACTCACGCGTATAATTGTACTGATCTGGAGAATAACCAACGCTTATTGAAGGCGCTGAAGGATGAAGCTCGTGAGACCGTCAAGTCGCTCCTGATTCATCCAAGTAACGTCAGCGCTGTGATCGAGCAGCTGCGCTTTAGGTATGGCCGACCGGAGCAACTTATACGCAGCCAGCTAAATGGAATTCGAGACGTGCCTTCCATTTCGGAGCACAACCTGGCGAAGATTGTACCCTTCGCAACCCGTGTGAGCAATCTCACTGCCTTCTTGCAGTCAGCGAAGGCAGATCAGCATTTGGGGAACCCAACCCTCATGGAAGACCTTGTGGCCAAGCTCCCTACAAGCAAACGAGTGGAGTGGGCAAGGCATGCCGCTTTAATATTACCCTTTCCAACCATTGTCCATTTTAGTTCGTGGTTGACGAGTACGCCAACGTGGTATGTACGATCATGGATGTCGAAGGGAAAGAACCAAGGCGTCGTTTGCTGCATGCAAGCATCGACCAAGACCGAGGCGAGCATCAAGACAGTCGATTCAGATGTTGTCCAATATGTGGAGGACAACATGCAGTTAAGGACTGCAGTGATTTCAACGGAGCTACGCCACCAGACAGGTGGAGGCATGTGAGGAGGCATCGACTTTGTTTTTCGTGCCTACGAAGTGGTCACATGACTAGTTCCTGCAACAAGCATGGTGAGTGTCAACTCAACGGGTGTCGGAAGAGGCATCACCGTCTGCTGCATGGTGTGGATGACCAGCGAAGAAGGTCGCCGCAACGAAGCAGTAACAGAAGTTACAGCCAGCGGAACCAGCAGTCAGCTGTTCCTAGACGTAGCCTGGACAGAGGGGCGCCACAGGCAGTGGATGCGCCAGTACAGAGCAGAGGGGCGCCGCAGGCAGCGGAAGGGCCCGTACAGAGGATTTTAAGTTGTGTCGACGCAGAGCGAGGTCGCCTGCTGTTCCGTATACTGCCAGTAACGCTGTATGGAGCTGGTCGACGGGTGGATACATACGCACTCCTGGATGAAGGATCATCTGTCACGATGATCGACGACGAACTCAGGAAGGAGCTGGGCGTGCAAGGTGAGCGTCGACATCTTAATATCCAGTGGTTTGGCGGTAGATCCACCAGGGAACCTACCAACGTGGTAAGTCTGCAAATCAGTGGAGCAGGCAAGCCAATTCGCCATGCGTTGCGAAACGTGTATTCCGTTTCGAACCTGAGCCTGCCGATGCAGACTCTACACCGACGAGATGTCCAGGGCGTGCACAAGGATGCCCGCCTGCCAATGAGGCCCTACAGCAATGTGGTGCCGAAACTGCTCATTGGACTGGATCACGGACACTTGGGACTTCCACTTCGAACGAGACGGTTTGCCAGACAGGGACCATATGCGGCCGCAACCGAGCTGGGCTGGGTTGTCTTTGGGCCGACAAGTGGACAATCAACTACGCCGAGGTCCTGCTTCCTAGCTGTTTCATTGGATGACACTATTCAGAGAATGGTGGAAGACTATTTTGATGTTGAGAACTTTGGTGTGAAGCCTGCGCCACCAGTCGCCGGCAGCGACGACGTGCGGGCGCAGAAGACATTGGAAGATACCACGGTGAGAGTGGGGCAACGTTACCAGACAGGTTTATTATGGAAGGATGACTACATTGTGCTTCCACAAAGCTATGACATGGCGTACAAGCGGTTGGTCAACGTCGAGAAGAAGATGAAGCGCAACGGGCAGTTCGCGCAGGAATACACTAGGATCATCAATGATTACGTGTCTAAAGGATACGCTCGACGGTTGAAGCCTCATGAGGTCGCAGTGGAAAGTGACAGGCTATGGTATCTGCCACACTTTGGAGTAGAAAACCCAAACAAGCCGGGAAAGATTAGGCTGGTTTTCGACGCTGCGGCAAGAGTTGGTGGAACATCACTAAATTCGGCACTGGCCAAAGGGCCGCAACATTATAAACCCTTGCCAGCTGTGCTCTTTCATTTTAGAGAAGGTGCCATCGGAGTCTGTGGCGACATCAAGGAGATGTTCCACCAAGTTTTGATCCGACCCGAAGATAGATGCTCCCAACGCTTTTTGTGGAGAGATGGAGATGACAGAAGGGATCCTGACATCTACGAGATGATTGTAATGACCTTTGGAGCAGCCTGCTCGCCAAGCGCTGCGCATTACGTGAAAACTGTAAATGCTGAACAGTTTCGTCATTCGGATCCAAGAGCAGTCAAGGCCATCATCGATTGTCATTATGTGGATGACTATGTGGACAGCTTTGCTACCGAGAGCGAAGCCATCAGTGTATCTACCCGAGTAAAGGAGATACATGCGAACGCTGGATTCGAGCTATGCCAATTTTCATCCAGCTCACCCATTGTGGAGGCTGCATTGGGTCCACCAGGACGAGGCGAGAGCGTCGGATGGGGTGAGGCTGAACAGAAGATTCTGGGAATGTGTTGGCAAGCAGCCACAGATGACTTCAGGTTCAATGTGAAGTATCATCGAGTTCCAAGCAGCGTATTGAACGGCGATCGAGTCCCTACCAAGAGGGAGTATTTGAGCTTGGTCATGTCTACGTTCGATCCCCTGGGATTCTTGTGCTGCCTCATGATAACAGCCAAGTTATTGCTACGAGAGATTTGGAGGCAGACGATCCAGTGGGATGAACCACTTCCGGATGAGATATACAGAGCCTTTGTGAATTGGCGCAAGGAAATGAACACCGTGGGACAGTTCAGAGGCCCTCGCCATTATTTCGGGAATGGACTCGTGCGAGCTATAGAGATGCACGTCTTCGTGGATGCAAGCCAGTCTGCATTTGCGGCTGTGGCCTACTGGAGGGTCACTTATGAAGATGATAACGTGCTGGTGAGCTTCGTATGTGCCAAGACGAAGTGCGCGCCCATGAGAACAATGTCAATCCCACGGCTGGAGCTGCAGGCAGCAGTTCTTGGAACTAGGCTGATGGACACTGTTAAAAAGGAACACAGTGTGGCCATCAGTGACATCGTGTTATGGACCGATTCCAAGACGGTGCTAAGATGGATTGGTAGCACCCACCGCCGATATAAGCAGTTTGTCGGCAATCGTGTGGCGGAGATCTTGGAGTCGACGAAGGTATCCCAATGGAGATGGGTGCCAACAGCCGACAATGCGGCGGATGACGCAACACGTTCGCAATGCCACGTGGACCTCAGCCAGAAGTCACGTTGGCTAGGCGGACCAGCATTTTTGAGGCAGCCAGCGGGCAGCTGGCCACAGCCTGAATCTGGAACTGAACCAGGTCCGGATGGTAATGACGAAGAGGAGATGCCAAGTGAGTTTTCGCTTGTTGGTGCGAACGACTTTTGTATTTCCTTTCAGAGATTCTCGAGCTACAGTAGGCTACTCAGGACAACAGCCTGGGTCTTAAGGTTCACGCGCTGGTGCCGTGGACAAAGGAGCGAGCTCGAGAAGTACGGCCTTACTGCATCAGAGTGTGAGGCCGCGGAGAACCTGTTGGTCAGACAGGCACAACGTGAAGCGTTTCCAAACGAGATGCGGTCGGCAGAAGACGGTAAGATGGTTGCCGGCGGGAGCGACACTCGAGGACTGTCACCCTACATAGATGACCTTGGAGTTCTGCGAGCCTATGGCAGAGTTGATGCCGCATTTTGCATGCCGTACAGTGCGAGGAGGCCGATAATTCTGTCACACAGGCACAGTCTTACGGAGATGATTGTGCATCATTTCCACGTCAAGATGAAGCACCAAAATGTGGATGCTACGATTACGGAGATCCGGACGAGGTTCTGGATTACGAAGCTGAGACGTGTACTACAAAGGGTGATCTCAGCATGCAACGTGTGCAAGTTGCATAGGGCGCGGCCAACGCCGCCAATAATGGGACCCCTGCCGGAAGATCGCTTGGAGGCCCATGGTTGGCCGTTCAAGAATACAGGACTGGATTACTTCGGACCACTGTTGGTGACGGTGGCGCGTCACAAGGAGAAGCGATGGGTCGCCCTGTTCACTTGCTTGACGACCAGGGCGATTCATCTGGAACTGGCGTATGACCTGTCGACGGATTCCTGTATAATTGCGATACGGAATTTCGTCTGTCGTCGAGGGCCAGTACATAGACTACGCAGCGACAACGGCAAGAACTTCGTGGGAGCTGACAGGGAGGCCAGACGATTTGGTGACGTTTTCGAAATGGAGAGAGTCCAGGATGAGCTGTCGAGCAGAGGTATCGAATGGGTATTCAATTGCCCAGTGAATCCATCTGAAGGAGGAGTCTGGGAACGCATGGTGCAGTGCGTCAAGAGGGTCCTGCGCCACACATTAAAAGAGGTGGCACCGAGGGATCATGTACTGGTGAGTTTCCTGATCGAGGCGGAGAACATCGTGAATTCGCGTCCGCTTACCCACTTGCCGGTGGAGGCGGACCAGGAAGCCCCGCTAACGCCAAATGATCTGCTCAGAGGAGTAGCTAACTTGCCGGACACGCCTGGCGAAGATGTGGAGCTGCCCAAGGAGTGCGCTACACGCAAGCAGTGGCGTATAGCGCGACTAATGAGGGACCGTTTCTGGAAGAGGTGGGTCTTGGAGTACCTGCCTACACTCGTGCGCCGAGAGAAGTGGTGCCAAAGGACGGAGCCGATTCGCCAGGGTGACGTGGTCTTCATCTGCGATCCAGCCTTGCCGCGAAGAGAGTGGCGTAAGGGCATCGTGGAGGAGGTCTACAAAGGAGTTGATGGAGTCATTAGACGCGCTAGTGTGCGCGTGAACGACTGCGGCCTATCCAGGATTATGATGCGTCCCGTCTCCAAACTGGCGGTTTTGGATTTGAGTGAAGCGGTTCTTCACGGGGTCGGGGATGTCGCGGGACGATAGTTTGTATCGATAGGTATTTTTAGTACATCTGGTATATTAAAATGGATGGATTTTGAGCCCTGGAATGAACGGGCATATTTTCGGCCACGATGAATTGCCGCCATATTTTAAGCTGCACTTTTGTATTGTCGCGTGGTTAGAGCAGGAGGAAATACTGCGGTAAGAATATTGTGGGACTTCTAAGAGGTTATGTGACCATCCTTTCTTATCTAGAATAAAACGGGCTTACGAGAAAACCTGCTTCTCTGGGAGTATATCGGCCGTTGAAGGCAACTCCGTGGGACCACCGACAGTAAGCAATTACAAACATTATTATTTTCTAACTCGAGCTGTTCACCTGTTTAAATAAAGGGGGTTAAGTGGGCTAAGTTCGTTTTTTCCTCGGTATATTTTGGTATATTTCTGAAGGTCTCTGCCGTTGAAGGAACCGGCTTAAAAATGGAAAAATTTAATAAAGTGCAGGCAAAAAACCTTGCTGCAGCCCAGAAACTTGTAGACGCCTACGCCTCCAGCTCTGAAGATGAGGGGGAACTGGATGAGAAGAAAATTTTGGGTAAATAGCCCCCCAAACCAGCAGCCGTGACGTGTCCAATCAGCATCTTTATCTCTTCTATGCTATCAATGTAGATCAATTGTACAAGCACTATCAACCCACATTGAGTGGGTCTAGTGGAAAGCCGGAAAGTGACAAGGATGCCGCCCGCACCACTACCTTCCTGGAGAACACCCTACACTCTGGAGCGGCCACTTGTCTCATCTGCATTGGCAGCATCCGACGCGTGGAGCCGATATGGTCCTGCGAGAGCTGCTATTGCTTCTTTCACCTCAACTGCATTCAGCGTTGGGCCAATGACAGCATGATGCAGATGAAAGTGAAGGCGGAGCAGCAGAATGGCAACCAGGGCCACTACAATCATTTGGGGGAGTTTGTGCCGCCCAAGCGTCAGAAATCGCTCCACTGGTGCTGTCCCCAGTGCCGAAGGGACTACCAGCCAGCGCAGAAACCAACGCAATACAACTGTTTCTGCGGTAAGGAAGAGAATCCACAGTCGCAGCCATTTCTAGTACCGCATTCGTGTGGCGAGATTTGTGAGAAACTTCTCCAGCCCAAGTGCGGGCACGATTGTAAGCTCCTTTGCCATCCGGGCCCGTGTCCGCCCTGTGCTCAGCAGGCGCAAGTCTCCTGCCTGTGTGGTAAATCGGCTCCGCGCTCCATGCGCTGCATAGACAAGCAGTGGAAGTGTCAGCAAGCGGTGAGGCAGCTCTTTAATGTGATGAAGGTCCTTTTCACTCTTCTTCTTCACTATAGTGTAAAGAGCTCTTGGCCTGTGGGAAACATAGGTGCAGCCAAGTATGCCATCGACCAGGACAGTGCCCGCCTTGCAGCAGCAAAAGCAACCAGCCATGCGAGTGCAACCGAGAGTCGAAGGTGGTTAGCTGCTCGGATCGCAAATGGAAGTGCCAAAATGTAAGTGATATGAACCATAGCAAGGAAATCAACTAAAATAACTTGGCAAAACGTTTCAGATTTGTGGAGCGACATTTGCCTGTGGCCTGCACACTTGTGAAAAGGTGTGCCATGCAGGACCCTGTGGCGGTGGAGAGTGTCCTTTGGAAGTGAGGACATGTCCCTGCGGCAAAACTGTATGTATTAGTGTCCATCTGACCGCCTAATGTCCATCGAAGCAACTCAATCAAGCAGCTCTTATTAATCTCTTTCCACAGAGCCAACTGCGGCCCTGCAACGAGGCTGTGGAAACCTGTGGCGACACTTGCCAGAAGCTCTTGTCCTGCGGTCAGCATTCGTGCACGCAGCGCTGTCATCGCGGCAACTGCATTTCGGTAAGGAATTTTTCCCGACACATAGTCTCCGTAATTATAATTAACATTCCAGTGCCTGGTAAGGACAAAGAAGAAATGCCGCTGCGGTCTGCATGAAAAGGAGCTACCGTGCTCCAAGGAGTTCACTTGCGAGTCCAAATGCAAGCAAATGCGCGACTGTGGCAAGCACGCGTGCAACAGAAAGTGCTGCGGCGATCAGTGCCCGCCGTGTGAAAAGATCTGTGGCAAGCAATTGAGCTGCAACAAACACAAGTGTCAGTCCGTGTGCCACAACGGGCCCTGTTATCCCTGCAAATTGGAGTCCCAGATTAATTGCCGCTGCGGCAAGACACGACGCAGCGTGCCCTGCGGCCGAGAGAAGAGTGCGCGCATCGTCTGCTTGGAACTTTGTCGGTAAGTTGGGCTAGAATCGCCCTCACCTCACACAAACCCTTACGACTAACCAATGGAACGATTCCAGTATATCGGCCAAATGCCATCATGCCATAAAACATCGCTGCCACAAAGGTGAATGTCCGCCCTGTGGCCAGGTGTGTGGTCTTCCAAATGCTGCCAGCGGCTGTGGACACATCTGCAAGGCGCGCTGTCACGAGGCTGTCAGAGCGAACCGACCTGCCGAGGCGTCGGCCCGCCCTCAAACCAAAAAGGTGCGACAAAATTCTATGATTCCAAGAGCTCCTCTTTAACGAGTTTTTGTTTTAGTATGAATACAAAGCACTGCCACATCCACGCTGCGAGGAGGGCGTCAGCGTCACTTGCATTGGAGGCCACGAGGTGGCCACTTGGCCTTGCTGGAACTCCAAGCCAACTTCCTGCCAGCGCAAATGCTCGCGGAAACTCAAATGTGGCAATCACAAATGCTCACTGGTCTGTCATTTCGTGTCCAATCCGCAGGATATGCAGCAGCAGGCTGGCTGTGCCGCATGCGAGGAGGGTTGCATCATACCCCGTCCTACTGGATGTATACACGCCTGCCCCAAGGGCTGCCATCCGCCGCCCTGCACTCCATGCAGCTTTGTAATCAAGAGCAAGTGCTACTGCGGTCTCACGCAGCTGGTGTACAAGTGCAGCGAATACTACGATGAGGCGGGCACTGTCCAGGAGATAATCGAGCGGAGGGAGAGATTTCGCAGCTGCGGCAGTCGCTGCTTAAAGAACGTAAGTGCCTTAGGTTGAGCTTTGACAGATTTCATTTAATAATGATTGTCATTTGTAGTATCCCTGCGCACATAGGTGCATGTCCATATGCCACTCTGGAAAGTGTCCCAATCCGGAGTTCTGCCGCAAGAAGATTCGCATTTTCTGTGCCTGTAAGAGACTCAAGCAGGAGATCGCCTGCGACAAGCATCGGGCTGGACAAACGTCGCTGGAGTGCGACTCCAGCTGTGTGGCCGAACGCACCCGGGCCCAGGCGGCGGAGCAGCAGCTTCTGGAGGAGAAGCGCCGCAATGAGGAGGAACGCAATCGCCAGGAACTGGAGAAGTTCGAACAGAAATTCGGAAAACGCAAGCACAAAGAACGCAAAACCATAGATGTGGGCCCGCCCAAAACGAAAATGAATTGGCAACGAACAGCCATTTATGTCGCGTCGGTAATGATTGTTCTGGGAGCCATAGCGGTGGCATTCTATGCCGACAGTTAAAGGACAACAACAAAACGCTCTAAAGATGAATTTATAATATCAATTTAAACGGATAAGAATAAACAACAACAACGACTGATAATCTTGAGCATGGTTGGATCTTAGGCCTTCTTCACCTTCTTCTTATAGAAGCAGGCGGCTGCGAAGACGGAAGCACTGAGGAACGTCGATATGAGGAAGTTCGAGAGCAGCATCAAGTCATGCGACTGCACATACACCGTATAGATGCGGGCTGAAAGGGATTATGAAGATTACGATAAAAGATAAGTTTGAATCTGATTCCACGTCTACGTACTCATGTTGGTGAATGCCGAGAGCGCCCAAGTTGTGCGGCTGACGGAGCTGGCATCCTTTGTCCTCAGTATGGCCAGCAGCTGGAGCACCTTGCTGGTTGCCCCAATGGGCGTGCAGAAAGGCTAATACAACGGAAAGAGGAAGCAATTATTTAAATAAATATATCAGGTGGTCAAGGGGACCACCGCCGGCGAGAGTATTATAAATAGCTGCACAAACATTATACAACAATAAAAATGTTGACCTTGGGCAAAGATGAATCCCAGTTAGGGGCAATGTGCCTATCTATATCGGAGACAACAAATGATCTAAAACAAACAAAACTCGTTTACCGAAATACCAGAAACATAATTAGTTAATTGGAACGGCGATGGAGGTGTTCGGGAAACGAGTTTGAAATACGTCGAATGCGTTATCTAGTCAACATTTTGTGTGAGCTGCGGGCCGTCAAAAGCCTCTAATCAATGACGAATGTGCACATAGACGCTATCAATTGACCCTATGTATGGAATTACTCACCACCAAGAATGTAAGGATGATAATGGGAAAGAGTTTCAGGTATATGAGCGTAGCTATGATCACATAGGCGACGGCAAATATTTGCGTCTTCTTGCCGAGAAGATTCTGGTACTTGAAAGCGTAGTAGATGAGGACATATTCCTGCAAGAGCAGCACAGGATACTCCATATAGGAGAGGAAGTCGTAGTCACTTGTGTAGTTGTAGGATATCATCACTGTGTAGCTGAACAGCTCCAGGCATAGTCCAAGTACGCTTATACCTATGTATTACACGAAGAGCGGAATGTGAGTGGGCGGACTCAATGTGGGAGGCTGATGCTCACCTTTCGAGGACTTGTTCTCCTTTATGGTATTTATTTGGGGCACCTTGATCACCAGGCATGATGAGACTGTGATTAAGCTTAGCAAGTCCGCAATCACGAGCACTAATCCCTTTTGCAGGTACTCGGACACAACCTCGGACAGACCAGCAGCCATCTCGACGGTCAAACGAATTTTAATAGTTTCGCCGTGATTTATTTAAACGCAAACTTTCGATGACCGGCTGACTATCGATGAAAGTGGCTGCTTTGCTAACTCATCCATGCAGTCGCTTAATTCCTATGCCCAAAGGATTTTCATAGATCACAGCCATGAAGAATTTTGTAATTTTGTTTTCCGGATTTTCCCAATAATTAAATATTTTCTGCGTATCGATTCATTGCACTGTTTATGGTCGTATGACATCAAACTTTGCTAACTGACTAACTGCTAATGGGCGTATGACATTAGACTCTTGCTAACACTGCATTCTATTTACAGCTCTTCAATTGAAGTGCAATCCAATGCAGTTAGCAAAGTCTAGTGTCATACGGCCGTAACGACACCATCGATAGTCAGTTCGTGCGATACCTGTGCTGTCTTCGATAATTAATAAAAGGCAGGCTCGAGTCATTAGTTTTTTTCGTCTGTCCAAATAAAATTTATGTTTCTAAAAATTAAATAAACAAAGTAAGGTTTAAACGGTACCACTCCAGAGTCTACAGCACTCCCCGGAGCAAACGGCGCAAAGAAGTATGTGGAAATTCGATTGAACGTGTGCCCCGTGTAACTGTATGTGCGCGTGTGTGTGTGCGTGAGTGGGCTAAACGTAAAAAATTTCAAGCGGATGGAATAGTTAAATAATTTAACCAAATTGCAACTGTTTGCCTTGGGTATGTTGCACAGACCCAATTCGCTCTGCAGAACATTTTAAAAGTAAATTATAGAAGGGATAACGCAGCAAACTTTTCTCGTGGATGTCGTGACATTTGCTCTGTATGCGCGTGTATGTGTGTCTGTGTGTACAACAATGTTCACATTTTTCTTTTGTTGTTTGCTCCACGAATTATGGGGCTGGCTGGCTCGCTCTCCACCATCGCCATCACCATCGCTGCAGTGCAGGTGCAGAAAAGTGGGGTTAGGGCCAGGAATTGAGAAGGAAATGCAGCGGAAACTGTTAAATTGGCAAACTAAATATTGCATTTATCGTAACTACTGGTCTATTATCTGCTAGCTTATGTGTGTATGCATGTATGAAATACTCGTATATGTGCGTATTTAGGGAGCAATGATAATGACGACTCCACCCGTGGCTAAAAAATTCTTTGGGCGCATTGAAAATGTGCTGCGGTATTGGCTATCCTGTGGCACAGGTAAATGTAAGGCAGACTGAATAAATACGGCGTGAAAGCAGAGACCCCGAAGACCCTAAGCAACGTTTTTTTTTGTTTGTGGGGAGGTCAACAGCCAAACGCCGAAGGGTGGGAAGGGAAAGAAGAAAAATATATTCCCGAGAATACCTCTGCACATCTGATCTGTTGTCTGTTGTTGCGAGTGATGCAACAGCAGGAGCGCTGCTGAAAATTCCTTTGTGATCGCCCCTTTTGTGTGCTGCGGATGCTGATGCGATGCTGCCTTGCAATGGCTGCTGCGCCTCCCTGCCCCCTCCTTCTCCTCAGCCAGCAAAGATCCGATCCCTTTTTCTACACGCTTTTGTGTGTGTGTGTGTCTCGTTTGTGTGCGATCGGTCTTTGGTTGGTTCCCGTTCCCTGGCTGTTCCCTGTTGATGATGCTGTGTGACAGACAAGGCACGAGATACACGAGACGACGACGACGATCTTCTTGCTCTCCCCAAGCCAGTCCCAGGCGGAGGGAAAAGATAGCGGCTTGAATTGCAAGGTGTACGTGATGTTGTTGTTGTTGTTGCTGCTGTTGCTGCTGTGTATCTTTGCTGCTGCTTCTTCTTACGTCCGTTACTTCTGGCTCTCTAGCCATCTCTTCTCCACGATACATTTTTGCTGCTGCCTGTCTGCCCTGCCGCTTGCCTACCTGCCTCTTACTGTACTGCATACATATGTGTGTGCGTTCGAGTGTGTGTGTATGAGAGTGTCTTCTTTTTGTTGTAATACCCGTTTCGTCTTCTTTTTCCCATTCTACTTCGCGCCGTTTTAGCCTCTTCCGCCGATCCCCGATCCGATGCACTTTTGTGATTTCCTTTTTCGAGTTTTAACGACAACGTCGTCGGCGGCGGCGGCTGCCTTACAAAAAATTGTTCCCACTGCTTTTCATTTCTCTTCGCTTTTATTTTATTTTTTTGCATCTTGTTGCGTGGGAACTTTCAGAGTTCTCCCCGAGCACAAAGGATAAGCATTGAAATTGATCAAATATATATCATAGGAGTGTCTATAAATTGCAGTAGGAAGTGCTAAAAGGTAGAAAAATGGATGGAAAATCCATGGTAGCATCTCACTCCTTTTCACCCCGTTCTCCCCGTACCTTGCATATGGAATACCTAAATGACCATCGTTCTCTTTGCAGGAGCCCACTGGCAGCGAACTGGTAAACTGGTAAAGCGCGCTGCCCCGTTTTCGTTTTGGATGCTCGTCAAGTGTTATTATGGAACAAGGATGTCCTCCAGCTGCTAGCAGGAATTCCTTGACCAGTGCAGAGGAGGAGGGTACTCCGACGTCGATCACCTCGTCGGCCAGCGGCCAGCACATTGAACTGAAGAGTCAGGCGGCGGCAGCGGCAGCGACGGCGACTACCAGCCAGGAGGCAGGAGCAAAAGCAGCACGAGCAGCTGTATCAGCATTTTTATCTATGTCAACACTGAGGGAGGATGTGGAGGACGTGTGCGTGTCGTCGAATTCTCAGCATGGCTTCGCCGTAGTGCTGGATGATGAGTCCAGCACCTCCGGAGTGCTGGAGACCTTTGAGATTAGCTCTTCCAACTCACTGCCCACCAGCACGAGGCCGGCATCCACCGTTGGCGTGGTGGTGGCCGTGGATGACAGCTCCTCCACAGATACCATTAACGACGATGACCATCCCTCCTCAGAGCACAGTCGTGGGGGCTTCTTCAATGATAGTGAGGAGCCGCCCATTGTCTGCCTTATAAACGACGACGATGATGAGGAGGAGGACGAGGAGGAGGAGGATGAAGATGAGCTGATCGAGGACGATTATGAGGACGTGGAGGTCATTGTGGCTGGCATCGACTGCCCAAACACATCACAAATGGCCCTGCCCGACGGCACCATCATGACCGCCGATGGCTCCAAGATTTTCCTCGAGACCCCCGTCGTGGAGGATGCTCTGCCCCATTCCCATCCAGGTCATCCCGATGGGAACGACGTCCCGTCAGAGTTCGGCGATCAGGTGGTCGGCAAACCGAAGCGCCTGAGCGACGAATTTATGCTTAGCGAGGATCAGGTGGAGGACCAGCACCATGCAAGAGGAACCAAGTCTGAGCCAGCCAACTCCGACAACAGCCGGCAGGAGCCAGACGATACCGCCACGTCTACATCACTCCACGACAGGCTGATGTCAGTGCGGCTGAAGCAGATGAGTCTCACAGCCAACGCCACGTCGAATCCCTCGCCAGCCGCATCGGCCACATCTGCCACATCTGTGGCATCAGCCTCATCAGGTGGGGCGCAGGAGGAGGCCTCCACATCCAGCTGCAGCTCTAGCTCCAACTGCAACCCCCAGCCACTGTCTAAGGCGGACATTCAGTCGATGGATCTGATAGAGCGGCGCGATTTTGAGACAGAGCAGCGCCTCACTGGCGGCATCATTCTGCGCACCAGCTCCCTTCTGAGTCGGAACAAATTGAACCTAAGTCTGATCAAGTCCATGGGTGGCGGGGGGACAGCAGCAGGCCCAGGAGCAGGTGGTGGCGGAAGCGGCGGAGTCACCAGCAGCAACAGCAGCAGCGATGATTGGCCCAGCGGCAGCAACGGACGCACCGTCTCCTCGGATAGCAAGGTGAGTTCAGTTTTATCAATCAATATGGAAAGCCCCACAAGCACAAGGAGTCCTAGAGCTGTCAGTCTCGTAAAGCGAGAGAGAGAGAGAGAAAAGAGAAAGTAGACCCTTAGAGATTATTCATCCCAGAGAACAGAGTTTTGTGTGTCGTATCCCCTCCTCCGACTGTCAGTCCTCTAATAACTCAATAAATCCTTTCCCTATCCGTTCAGTGCACGTACAAGGATCTATCGACGACCCCAACGAGCAGTCGCAAGTATACCAACAGTCGGCTGAGCAAGTCCACTGCCAAACTGAATCTAGGATCCACCCTGGGCACATCCTCAACAGTGGGAGCAGCGGCAGCAGCGTCAAGCAGCTGCAGCCAGAACAGCAGATCCACCATGTCGCAGTCGCAGTCATCAGAAGCGGCGGGCACCAGCTGTACGGGAGCTGCTCGAACGGATGTGTTCACCAACACCAATTCGAATGATGCTCCATCCACATCAACATCCACATCTACTTTGAGCTGTCAGGAGCAGGAGGAGAAACCTAGTGCATCATCATCCTCCCAGTCCATCTCCTTCAGCTCTGTGGGTTCGCAGACCTCTCAGGATGGCGGCCGCACATACGCTTTACACTCCACATCATCATCCGGATCGGCCTGTTCCGGATCGGCCGTTGCCGATGATGCCCAGGCCTCGACGTCCACGTCAGCATCAGCATCCTCCACCGCGACATCGACATCGAACGGCACAACGCGGTGTGAGTACGTGGCCACAGCAAAGGCGGCGCGCCAAGTGAACGCCAGTGCTCAGACACAGGAACGTCTATTCGCGCGCCTTCCAGGTTGCGGCGGAGTGGCCGGTGTATCAAAGGCAGCGGGCGGTGCCGCAGCTCATGCATTGGTCACACGGCAGAGACGCAATGGCTCCAACGATGTCATAGTCCTAGAGGTTGTGGTCGAAGAGGGTGCCGCGGCCGGAGCCAACAACAACAACAGCAACAACAACGTGGTAGATGGTGGTCTGATCGAGCCGGGAGATGGCGACGAGTCGTGGTTCAACTGCGATGAGGAGAACAACTCGGACTTGGAGGAAATTTGCACATGCCAGAATGGCAATAGTGGTTATAGCAGCGGCAGCAACGGCAGCCTCAGCGAGCCCTACGACATGGAACCAGTGGAGTATGACGAGCCAATCTCCCTCTCCACATCGTCCTCGGTTATTTGCGACGGCGGCTCATCCTCCGCATTGACCAATACCGGGACATTGATTTCGCAACAGCGCAAGCGCAAATACAACGAAGTGCGCATTCTCGAGGGCTGTGAGTATTCCATGGCCATCTCGGCTAGCGGCGGGATGGGCGGTGCTGGCTTTGGAGTCGGCGATAATAGCCGCAAGCGGATTGCCTACGATTTTGCATCCACACCGCGATCGTCATCCCAGCACATGGGACCCACAGCGGTGCTGTCCATTACGCCATCGCTGGTGGTCAGCGCCAGTGCTACGACACCGATTGGGCGTCGTACACCGCGCGGGGTGTCCGCCCGTGACAATCCGCCACCAGAGCTGCAGCATTGGTTGCAGCAATTCCAACGCTGGTCCCATGTGGAGCGGCTGCTCGCCGTCGATCGTCTAATCGACCATTGCGATCCCTCGCAGGTGCGTCACATGATGAAGGTGATCGAGCCACAGTTCCAGCGGGACTTCATCTCGCTTCTGCCAAGGGAGATAGCACTGCTGGTGCTGTCCTACCTGGAGCCGAAGGATCTGCTACGGGCTGCCCAGACATGTCGCAGCTGGCGCTTCCTCTGCGACGACAATTTGCTGTGGAAGGAGAAGTGCCGCAAGGGCCAGATCCAGACGGAGTCGCGCAGCGATCGGCCGAAACGAGGCCGCGATGGCAACATGCCGCCCATCTCATCGCCGTGGAAGGCCGCCTATATGCGGCAGCACATCATCGAGATGAACTGGCGCTCGCGACCCGTGCGCAAACCCAAGGTGCTCAAGGGCCACGACGATCATGTTATCACATGCCTGCAGTTCTCTGGCAATCGCATTGTGTCCGGCTCCGATGACAACACCCTCAAGGTGTGGTCTGCAGTCAATGGAAAGGTAAGTGAATCTTCGTTTATGAATGCTCCCTGAGCTCTCGTCTGATGTGATATTTTTCTTTAGTGCCTACGCACACTGGTGGGCCACACTGGTGGTGTTTGGTCCTCGCAAATGTCTGGTAACATCATCATCTCGGGCAGTACGGATCGCACGTTGAAGGTTTGGGACATGGACAGCGGTGCTTGTGTCCACACACTGCAGGGGCACACGTCCACAGTGCGATGCATGCATCTGCATGGCAATAAGTAAGTGTAGGCAGCAATTGAATCTCTGGAGCTCCAACTAATCCCCGTTTCGTTACGTCTCGTCCTTCCAGGGTGGTTAGTGGCTCCCGAGATGCCACCTTGCGGGTCTGGGACATCGAATTGGGCTCTTGTCTGCATGTCCTTGTTGGCCATCTGGCTGCCGTGCGTTGTGTACAATACGATGGAAAGCTTATTGTGTCCGGAGCGTACGATTACATGGTCAAGATCTGGCATCCAGAGCGACAGGAGTGTCTGCACACGCTGCAGGGACACACGAATCGCGTCTACTCACTGCAGGTACTACAACAAAGATGCCTATCGATAAGCCTGTTCTAATTATACTCTGATTTCCCTTTTAGTTCGATGGTGTCCATGTGGTGTCGGGCTCCCTGGACACTTCCATTCGTGTGTGGGATGCGGAGACGGGCAATTGCAAGCACACTCTGATGGGCCATCAAAGCCTGACGTCGGGCATGGAGCTGCGCCAGAACATACTCGTCTCTGGCAATGCCGATTCCACCGTCAAAGTGTGGGACATCACAACTGGACAATGTCTGCAAACGCTTTCGGGTACGTGACATGGCTGAGAGAATCTTAAAAATCTAAAAATGCTAATTCTGCTTTCAATTTGCATTCCAAAGGTCCAAACAAGCATCAGTCTGCGGTCACCTGTCTGCAGTTCAATTCACGATTTGTGGTCACCAGCTCGGACGATGGCACTGTTAAGTTGTGGGACGTGAAGACAGGCGATTTTATACGCAATCTTGTGGCCTTGGATTCGGGTGGCTCTGGAGGTGTTGTGTGGAGGATTAGGTAAGCGGTATAATTTCATTTAGAAGAGTGGGATCTAACGCTGTGATGCTGTGATACTTTCAGGGCAAATGATACCAAACTGATTTGTGCGGTTGGCTCACGGAATGGGACCGAGGAAACGAAGCTTATGGTCCTTGACTTTGATGTGGAGGGCGCTTGTGTCAAGTGTTCATAGGAGCCACTCAATCGGCTGCAGCTGCAGCTGCAGCGACCACGTCTGCTGATCCGTCTTGGTATGGCAAGCAGCTTCTTCAATCGAGATTTCACGCATGCAACAAACAACAATACATTTAGAACCACAATCCACACGCAACCACAACAACAACAACAGCAACAATCATCCAAACATCAGAGATACACATACAGCGGATGGGTGAATCCGTAACGTAACGTAACGTAATGTAAATGTTAACGCTTGCCTTGCCAACAAAAATGCAGCTGCTAACATATATATACACACACACACACACACACCACACACTTACACGAAAATATTGTGAGAGAGAGACGCGCCAAATGGGCGTAGTTTTTTCGCGGGTGGGGAGGGGGTGTGGCTGTGAGGAGCAGAGCGGAAAGGAGAGGAGAGTGTGTCTTGTTAATAATTTGTTTCTTTGATTAACGTTGCTTTATAGCCAAAATTCGTTTTCCACCGTAGAATAATTTTTTGCTCCTTAGTTTTTATTACGATTATATACATACATAACATACATATTTAGATATATAGAGATCGATAACCAGCATACGAGTATATAGTAAGTTGTCGGTCTGAAGAAGCGCGTCTTGGAAATAATAATAGAACATTACGTATTACAAAATCATCTTAAGTATACAATTACAGTTACAGTTAAAAGTTACAGCTACAGAAGAGAAATATTTTTGAGTTGAGGCCCTGAAAGAGAGAAAGGCGAACGTTTCGTTTATGAAAAACACACACAGCTTTATATTGATTAAATTGGTATTTGTTTAATTTGAATTTAAAGATGATTAATGATTATGATGAATGATGTATATGTTAATATTTGCACTTGATTTGAGATTGAGTTTTCGTGACGTGCCGTTGATTATGTTACAAATTTAGTTGTGGTTTTCGTTTCCGTGTTTTGTTTTGACTGTACCCCACATAGTACCAAGTGTATCCATGTTTATCCAAGCATCCATGTTGTAATTATTTAATTGGGTTTGATTCGATTCGACACCACACCACCATCCACCATTTGGGGCTGATTCCAAATTCCATGTGGGAGCGAGAGTGCGCCTTCATTTGATTTTGACTAAAATTCCTCATTTGCCAGGAACCTGCCACAATTGCCGAATATATATATATATAGCGTTAAGAAGAAGAGTCATCCCGTTAGTAGTCTCGTGAAGAGCAGCTCACACCCACATAAACAGACACACACACACGCTGACACTTACACACACCACATACATGCATACGTACATACATACATACATGAAATCATCAAGCGAAAAACATATATTTTAATTATAGACTGATTTATTAGTAATTGAAATTAATCTACAAATATGTATGTGTAAAACGGTACCGTATGTATTTCAATAAATTTATCGGTTTAAGCATTGAATAAACGCAGGAATAACAATAAAAAACAAAAAATAATAGTTAATACCAGCATAATACCTGTATATTTGCTTCTGATTTCAACTTTATTTGTTCATATAATCATCAAGGGGCAGGGGCGGATATGTACTATAAGAAAAATATTGAATACTTTGCAGTAAAACTATTTATTATAAACCTATGAATGGACGTTGGGTTCGCACTCATCCCACGGCCATAGGCCAGTCGGAGATGTTGGAGGTGCTATAACTCAGTTGCGAGGTTAAGAATTCATCGATGTATGGAATATTTATACAGATTATTTACTTGGCTTTGATTGCAAAAAACAAAATCACTTCATTCACTATTCAACTTTAAGGGCGTGTAATTAATCAACTTATATTTTATGTTACGTTAACTAGAAAAATAATCTTAATGGGAAAGCAACTTCAAGAACTACAGAACACAACTATGTATTTATCGGCGCTCTAAATCTTTGTCTTCTTGCTGCTGTGGCCCTCGATGCCGAGGTTGCAACGCGAGGCCACATCCTGGACGGAGGTGACCGTGCTGGGAAGGGCGCTGGTAACGCCCATAGCCGACATCGTGCCATTGCTGGGACGCTTTCGCGTTGGTGAATGGACGGGCGACTTCTGCTTCAGGCACTCCACATCGTTGAACACCACCTGGGCACCGCCGCCACATGTGGGTATCACATTGCCCTTGTACAGCTTCGTCTCCACATCACCGTCTGTGTCGGCCTCCTGTGAGACGAGGCAGTATTTGTTGGCGCCGTGTTCGGTCAGCGTCTTCATGTCCGTCAGCTTAGTAACTGACTTGCGATTCTTCAGAAAGGGCTGCATAATGGTTCCGAGTGGCACAGGATTGGCTGCACGATGCTCCAGCCATTTGTCGCCAGCGGACCGTGATCGTCGATGTCGGTTGTTGGCAGCTGCCACTCCCTAGATGGATGGATGGATAGACATTAGATTACAACTCACAGATAGGTGGGACAACTACTGGCTTACGTGTCGAGGCGTGGCATAGATGTCTGTTCGAGTGGCCGGCACAGATGACTCCGTTCGAGCTGTGAAAGCGCCGCGATCCTTGTCGTTGAGTAAATCCTCCGAGCTCTGCGAGCGCGGCAGGCTCGGCAGATCCTCGGACTGTAGGATATTCGAAACCAGGCGCAGTTTCTCATCCTTGATGCGCATACGTTCATGCAGTTTCTCCCGTTGCTGTCGGAGCTTTATCTCCAGCTCCCGCTTGTTCTTATCCGTCTCCACGGCCATTTTGGAGCTGAACTTTTTCTTCTGCTTCTCCTTCTCGTGCTCCTTTTGGGTAAGGAGGTTCTCCTTCTCATTCAGCTTGAATGTCAGTTCCTCGATCTGCCTGTCCCGCTTGCTCAGCGTATTGTTTAGAACATCTATTGAGCTCTCATGAATTCGCACCTTCTTCTCCAAGGCGGAGCTGCGTTCGCGCTCCTGCTTGTAGACGGCCTTCAGGGATGCTAGCTCCGTGCGCAGCTGCAAGTTGTCTCGGTCCAAGTTCATCAACATCTGACGAAAATTGTCGCCTACGGGTATACAAAATTAATAAGAATGTGCTCCCTTTTAGAAGAGTGAAAGCTGTAAGACTAACATTTGATATCCAAATTGCCGCGCAACCTCTTCCGCTTCTCAATGCGCTGCTCCAGGTAATGCATGAGCTCCTGGATCTTAATCTCCGCCTCAGGACTGTCCATTTGGTAGTTGGGAAAATCGGGTCCCAGACTGTAGACCAGGCCCACATCCACCTCCAGGTCCTTGGCCTCGGGTATGCCCAGCTCGTTCAGATTGTTGACTGCAATCTTGAACAGCTTGTTGGCCTTGCGGCGGCCTGGTGTCAGGCCCAGGTCCGTTTTCATGGGCGTGGCCCGGGCTATTTGTACTTCCTGAGTCATCTCGGCAAACTTCATAACTTGCTGCAAAGTAAAAATGATAATTTGAGCAAAAGGGGGCATTTGGGGGAGTAGCCTTCTCCTACCATATTCTCATCATAGTCCTCCATTCTTGGATTGATGCACACGATCATGGACACCTGACCCTCGCCGTCGAAGTAGTTCTTAAACATGTGAGTGATCTTGGAGTCGCGATATGGTATCTTCTTGGGGGCAAAACCATTGCTGGCCGCCTGCTGATTCTCGCGCAGATACTCGAGGCACGTGCGCAGCGTCATCAGTGAGTTGTTGATGTTTCCAGCCTCGCGAAGTCGCACCCCAGTGTTCTTGGTACGCGAGGAGCGCTCACTGCCGGCCAGATCGACCAGGGACAGCTGGCTCACTGTGATGTTCTTCCTGTCCTGGACAACATTCTCGCCCTGGCTGTCGGTGGGCGCCTGGACGAGGCGTATGTTGAACACCGAGTGGCTGCGGCTGGACTCGGCATTCAAGACCGTGTGGCCCATGCGCTTTTTCTTTTGTCCCATCTGAAAGACCTCTAGGGCATCCTCAACAGTTTTCACCTCCACCTCCGTGACGCCATGGACGAACATGTGATGATGGGCATCCTCGCGAATGATTTTGCTTTGCAAAGTCCTGCAAAAAAGAATAAATAGAGGATTACTAACTGGCACACTCCAAGGATATCCCAGCCACTTACTTCTGTATGCCCGTGTCCTCTAGGAGATCATACACACTGTTGTTGTAAATTTCTATGTAGGTGACAAACACCGAATACATGTTGTCCTCGTCGAGTCCAAGCAGCGGCGTTGGCTCCACCGACGCTTGGGAGGCGATCTCCGGATCCGAGTCCTTGTTTCGATACGCAAAGCGACCGGAACCAGCAAAGCGAAGATTCATTTCATGCTGCCGCTCCAGCAGCGCATCCTCCTCGGACAGAATCTCGAAGCCATTCAGCTTGTCCGGCTTAAAGACAAATTTCTTGGCCTGAAAATCGGATATGGTGCGAAAGAGCACATCCAGGCAGCGGGGCATTATGCCGCGATGCCTCAGGTTGCCCGTCATTGTATACGTCTTGCCGCTGCCCGTGACGCCATAGGTAAACAGCAAGCTATTCCGTCCACGCACCAGGTTCTCGACCAGTGGCTGCGCCACGGACCCGAACACATCCTGCTGCGTGGCATCCGACTGAAAAACGTGCTTGAATATGTACTGTATCTCGCGCTGGGCGCCGTTCTGTTTGTGGTGCTGCAGCAGCTGATCCTGCGGATTCAGTGCGATTGTCGTGGAGCTCTTCACCCGCAGAGAGGTGAGGTCCGCATCCGATTGGAGCGGGCGAACGCGGCAGAACACATTCACCGGATCCTTTGCCTTTTCTGATGTGTCCCGTCGTTGTTGCTCTGTCGTTTGATGTACTCGCGGTGTCTTAGGGACGCGCATCGGCGTTCGTGATCTGCAAATGTCGATTTTGTATGTATTCTACTGCGCACTTTTCAGGTCTTACATTATACTCACACTGCCTTCATTTTAAACTAAATATATTCCACTCAATTAATCTCCGAATGTTGTTTACGTTGGGGTTTTTCCACAAATTGGCTTCTTTTCCGAACGTTAGCTTCAAATTTCCAGCGCCAAGCGACGCCACGCTTCCTTTGTCGGTATGTAGTAGGGCAGTATCGATAGGCACTCGAGGGCACTATCGATAGTATCGATATTTTACTGCTAGTCTCTACTATCGACGGTTTTGCGACTTTCATGATATTATCGAGCTACAGTCGTTGCGCTTTTGATATGTTTGGATTGGCTGCTATAAAATACGAAGACAAATTTGTAAACAAATCGACAGGTGGCATCTAATTTTTAAAGGTTCCAATGGTTTTTTAATAATTATTTGAGCCCGATACTATTACGATAGTATCGATTGTTTTTTTCAAAACATTCAAAGCTATCGATGGCTCAACTATCAATCGTTTGACAGCTCTAGTATGTAGTGTATTTATTGTTAAAATATACTGCCTAACCCTCAAAAATATACCAAATAATTGATTAAATATACTATACTATATACCGAGATACCATAAATTTCCATATTTGATATTTATTGTATTATATGTCGCGGTAACACGTATGGTCACACTATTATGCACAATGCATTGAAATTATTGGCGCCTATTTAATATTTGAATTCACTACGCAAGAATTGTATAGTTTGATTTGTCATAAACTTCTTTGTTTTCATACAGTACGGTGCCATTTTTATATGATTTTAACATCAGTTAAATTAAACGACTTGAAATGACCAGGGCTGCGTGCTCGACCTACAAGAAGAAGCAAAGTGCCGCCAGCTGTTCGTTCAGCCTCACAACAAAACTAGTTTATTGGCGAATTTCACCGGTAATAAAAATGTGGTGTTGTCTTGATTTTTAGCGAAATATTAATAAAAGATGGGTGCTCTGACTGTGCGTTTGTGAATAACTTTTAAATTAATTTATTGAACAGGCAATGTTTGGTTTCCGCGTTCCTTGAATGATTGTGTGGGTGTTTGTGTGTGTGCGTGTGTGTGCGCTACTTTCTTCCGCCTTGGCCCACAAATCCCAGAAAGAGAGAAATATTTAGCTAAATTTATAAATAAACCCAAGTAAACAATCTTGTTCCCTTGTTTGCTAACGAAAACTTGTTTTGTTATTGGCAGGCATTGACCGGGCGCAGATTCCATCACGCAGCAAAAATCCATCAACAATCAACCGACAATTACAGTGCGTTGTCTCTCCATTCCATTCCATCCTCTTAACTGGATGGCTTTAGGGGAGAACGGATTTCTCTAGCTTCTCTTAAAGGTTAACAAACTTTAACTTGAAGGTTAATGCGTGCAGGGTACAAGGTGTTAGTTTTCCCGGCCCTTATCTTGTATGTGAGGCGACCTTCAGGGCCGGTTGGATTAGAGTGCTGATAAAACCACTTGAACTGAATTGTCATAAACATTTTTCCATGGCGGTAATGAATACTCTTATCGCTTGTCCTTGGCCTATATTTCAATGGGTCAACTTGTCTATAGCCGTCAAAATCCAATTAGTAACCACGGAATTATTTGTTCTTTGTAAACGCTCTGTTAACCACTGAATTTATAATAGTAT